GAATTCTGATTCTGATGATGAAGCGGGTTCTTGCTGCGGCGATGTAGAGATTTGGGAGGACGAAAGTCTGGGCTCTATCTCTCTCTATTTGTCTCCGTCTTTGGAGCCGTCGAGATCGAGAAACGCGCGCACCGCACGCGGCGTTGCAAGCGTAACATCTCGCACGCGCGATCGGTCGAGTCGAGGACAGCCTGGCGATGTTCTCGGGCGGGGTGATCGCGCGCTAGCGAGATGGACTGGGATACGTGAGGTGGGGAGAGATCGCGTGGGCGGTGGGTGGGTTGCGGCGTGCGTGGAATGTGAGATGGAGGCGGAGGGCGGAGGGCTGAGAGCTGAGCCGGGCGGTTCGTCTCTGTGGTCGGGAGGCTAGGCTCGTGCGGATCTGCCACCTGTGCCAGGTGACGAAAAATACGAAAATAGCGTTCGTTCTTAGCGCTAGGTGTGTGTGGGACCCTTGCTTGGGAGAGGGTGGTGTCTGACGGTGGTGGCAGCACGCTGCTGCGGTCTCTGGTCAGGCGATCGTGCGGTGTGCCAATGTGTTTGTTGCATCGCGAATCGCGAATCGCGCGGCCGGACCTGGGCAGGTCAGTAGGTTGGGATGTCGTAACGTAATGGAGCGCGGCCTCTTTCGCGTGTTCAGCACCCAAGTGGCAGATGTTCGGAAGGCGTACGTATACATGCTGTTATTATTCCACCCGGGGCTCACCTTGAGTGCGTTCGAATCGCCCTTGCGGCTCCGTCGTGCACGACGGGGCTTGCCGCGCGTGATATTTCAGCCAGCACTCCAGCGAGCGCGTTTGGGGGTTTTCATGTCGTTCGCATGGCAGACTTCACACCGAGGAGGCTTTCGCGAGGTCCCGAGCCACCTTCTCCCGTGACCGTGAATTTCGCGTTCGCGCTTGCACGGTTGTCTAGATGTCTGCAAGCCCTAAGCGAGATCACAATTCGGATTGACGAGCGATTCCGAGAAGACAGCCGAGGCGTTACGTGCTAGAGCGTATTTGGCGGATAGAAGTGTAGAAGTTGGGTGGGGAGCCGGAAGAGCTTTGTCAGGCCCTCGGTGGGGGGACGAGAAACGAACCTTCGCGTACGTTCAAGCGGCACTTCCATTGCCTGCACCCTTCCGTTGAGTGATAGGCAAGTCTGCACCAATACGATTTGCGGCTTTGATGCTCCGATCGCGTTCAGTGCGTGTCTGTGTATAGGAAAGTTCAGCTAGAGGCCTCGAAAGGACACTAGGCGAGCTGGCAGATAGAGTGCCGGCATCCGGGTCCGTGTATCCCAAACCGCAGTGAGCTTCTCCCGCTGCGTCGTAAGTTTGTAACTTTGCAACTTTGCGCGCGCTCGCATAACAACCGTGTTCATCATGATGCTCCTCGCGCACTGACGAAACGCAACCAACGCGAAGACCGTGACGAAGGTGACCGTTACGCGATCGGCGGCCTGGGCTTCCCGCATGCCATGCCGCGGCTGGGCTGGTGGCGGATTCTGTCCAGGCAGCATGGATGTGCACCCGCGTTGCGTCTCTGACACTGCTGGCACTGGCACACAGCTAACGGCAGCACGTCTGTCCGATGTGGGCTCGTTGAGATCGCGGTTGGGGCGGACCGAACGGGAGCATCTGCATACGTGCAAATACGCTCGCATTGGATGGTTAGGCTCTTTTTGTTGGCAATCCCAAGTGGCACACCATTTACCATAACCAAATGAGCAAGTTACCGGTGGGGTGGCCGCCGTTATCTATCTTAAACGGGCATAAGGGGAGAGCTTGCCATTGGCCCGTGTATGCGATTGGCCGGCGGGGGTCGCGCGCGACCCGGCGATGGGATCTCTGCGAAAATCCACATCGGGTGGTCCGCGCATGTCGCATAAATAATGTGCGCCAGATATGGATATATGGGCCCAGGAGGACGGCGGCATCGATCTGCATGGACGAAATTGAATGTCTGCAGCGAATGGGAGAGCGCAGCGGGAGCGCGCTGCCGTTTTGGGATGAAGAGGGTGGCTCGCGACACGTGGGGCGAGCCACCTTCGCTTGACGCCGCGTCGTCCGTTCGCTTGGAGCGCGGTGCTGCTGGCTGTGCGCACGTCGAGATGCATCTCTCTCTGCTCACGTTTGTTTTCGATGCGCGCCGAGGCACACGGACGCGCAGCCGTCGTGCTCGTTCGGGCGGGCAGACGTCGACGACGGCTCCCGCCTGCTACGGACGACGGCACGCGCTGGGCTCTGCCGACGCGAGGGCCGCGGTGGCTCAGGAGCACGGTGCAGGTCAAGACGCGCGTCGCGAGGCAGGTGAGGTTCGTCCGTTCGGAGGGAAAGCGCAAAGGTGGACGTCGGGATCGGACCGCGCGGTTACGTAATGGAGGAGGTTCTTTCATTGAGCATCGAAGCGTCGGCTGGCGGAGACTCCGTGTCTGGGCGTCTGCGGTGATCTGAACAGCGATCGTGCATGGAAGAACCGCTCCCCGGCACTGCTCTGAGCCAAAGATTCGTCCCGCTACTCGAGCTGAAGACGCCGCGGCTGGCAGGATCGGTTTGGGTGATGGCCTCTGATTTCGCGATTGCCCCCGCTTGGCTGCCCACTTGAAACTTTCCCACTCTGCCGATCGCAATCAATATTCCTTCTAGCCCCCATCACCACCTTATATTATATTCCTTCCTCTCCCTCCTCCGCTCTCTCCACCGCACGCGTCCCCCCTCGGTCCCTACCACCCCCCGTCCCACGCACCGCTCCCGCCACATCGCGTCCCGTCCCCTGAGGCGGTGTCTTCCATCCACGCTTTCCGCGCATATATAGACCTTCCCTCCTCGGTCGGCTCTGCCATTGCCATATCTGCCGCCCTCGCCTCAAGCCATGTCTTCTCCCGCATCCCGTCAGTTCGCACAGCACGTGCGCGTCTCCTCCACCGACGAGCTCTCCTATGCCTCCTCCGCCAAGGGCGAGATCAACGAGACCATCCAGACCATCGTCACAGGCCGCAAGTGCTGGAAGACCATGAAGGGCAAGGGCGAGGTCGTCTGGCCGCCCTATCTCGAGGCCGCCCTCGTCGAAGGTGCGCATCTTCTGCGATTGCCCGAGCGACCCTAATGCGATCGCGCGCAGGTTTGGAAAAGTACCAGCCCGTCGAGAGCCGCACGACGCGTGCCTTTGGCCGCTTCCCCATGCGCAACAAGTTCATCTCGGACTACATCTTCCAGCGCACCGGCAAGCGGCGCACCCCCAAGCAGGTCGGCAGCCGTCTCCAGCAGCTCCGAGACACCACCGAGGGCAAGCGCAGTGAGTGCTAGTCTAATTGCGGCTCCCTCACCCGCATATACCCCGGCTCTGTCGTCCGTGTCAAGCGTACATCATACTAACAAATACCCGCAAACAGTCCTCCAGCTTCTCTCCAGTCGACATATCGCCATGATGCAGCCCAAGGCCGAGCGCTCCCCAGAGCAGCTCCCCTCGTCCGCATCCTCGTCGGGCTCCAGCATCCCGCCCGGCCCGCCCTGCAGCTACGTCTCGATCGACGTCTGCCCCGACTCAGAGTACACCTACTCGCCCGACCCGAGCCCGAGCCTGACGCAATACTCACACGCGCAGGGCCAGTACCGCACGCAAGCCCCGCGCCCGCTGCGCGCGCTCGACCCGACGGTCACCTTTGTCTCGCGCTGCGCGCTGCAGCATGCGTACTCGGCGTTCCGCGTGGTGCGAAGGGACATGGCTCACTCGTCTGGCATGGGTAACGGGACGTTGCATGGCCAGGCGCAGGTGTTTGCGGAGCGGACGGACCTGATGCTGCACTCGAGCAGCATGACGCCCGCGCGTGTGTGGCCATCCCAGATGGAGTGCTCTTTCCTCTATCGCACGCCGTTCGTGCCCGGATTCTGGCGCGCTCTTGTCGAGTGTGGTGGTGAGTGTCGGCTTGGCTCGCACGGCGCATATGCTGACTGTATGCGTGCCCCTCGCAGACCCGACGCCATATACCATCGTCCAGGATATCGTTCGCTTCTCTGGCAACGGCAATGCCCCCGGAGACGAGCACAATGGCAAGGACAGCCCGGGAGGACAAGAAGAGGTGTTGTTGACTGTGGTATACTCTTTCAACCTCGTCCACGGGCAGACGCGCAGCTCGCTTCTGTCGCCCCCTCTGTCGCCCGCACACTCCGTCGGCACCTTCTCTGCAGAGTCGAGTGTGAGTGAAATCCACTAATTTGTCTTGCGAAGAAAGGGCGCTGACGAGATCCCCATTTTCTCCTCTTCGCTTCCCGGCCTTTCTCATGACCGGCGACTTGCCTATGTCATCCTTGGATGCTTCTCCCCCGGATGTGTCTTCCCACTTCCCACATCCACCCGTCATCTTCCCGCGCCGCCGATCGCATTCGATCGCTTATGATAGCCCGAGCTCGGCTCCGAGCTGAACGACTACCTCCTCTACAACAACCACACGCTCTCGTCGACCGCGTCCGCGTCCGCGCCGTCGCTGCCTCTCCCGCCCGTGCACTCGCTGCACCACATGTCGTCCTCCGGCTCGCTCGAGCCCGCGCTGTCGTCGCTGCATTCTTCGCCGCACGCGAGTGGGGGTCGCCCGGGCACGAGCGGCGGGTACAGTAGCGCCGCGACGCCGCAGCTCGTGCAGGCGGGCGATGATGGATACGCGAGCCTGCCGCCGAGCCCGCTTGATTTGACGTTTGCGCATGGCGTGCAGGAGGTGGGCGTGCCGGCGATGAGCGCGATGGGCATGTGTGGTAATGCGTATGGCGTGGAGTACCATAGCCACCATGCGGGGCCCGCCGTGTACACCGGAGAGGGCACGCACCACGCTCATACCCACGCGTCGATGTCTCAATATGTACGTCACTCGATGTCGTCGAGCGCATGGAACTGACTCGTGTGGGGTTGTTGGTGCAGAACTTTGACGCGTCGTTTGGCGCGGTTTAGGATAGCGCGATGCTTGTCAGATGTGTATACCCGCGCTGGCTGTCACGATGCTTTATCAGACGCGTTTGTCGCCCTTTTCGACGCCCGCTTGCACCCTCCTTGTCCTTGATCCTCGATCGCCGCTTGCGGATATGTATCCATGTATCACCTATACCTGTAGTAATGCCCGCCGTTATCCTCCAAGCCCTAGGCCCCATGCCCACGATTGCGGATATGCTTTTCTGCATTATATTTACACCTTATTTTTCTCGCTCCCTCCCGCTCGCTCTCTTGTTTGCTTCCACTTGGTTGGATGTCTGCATGCATTTCTAGGATCTGTTCACGCATTTTTCAGCAGCTTGCTACTGTACATAGTCATTTGCCCGTTGCCCCATTATATTCGCTGTTCATGGTTGGAGGCCCTATCGTACCATACCCATGTTGTAAAAATAATACGAAGCTTGCGCAGTTTGTTGCAGTACCCCGTCGACGTCTTGCTGTCTCTCCGTCTCCATACACATAGAACATTATTTTGTCACATAGAGATCATCGTTGTCGATGCAGCTTGGTGCCCGAGCGGTTGGCGGGCGTGACAGAACGGGAGGACGCTTCTCCGAGCGCTCTTGGTGGGCGCTCGGTGGGGATCGTCGCACGCCCGCAAGGACGCGTGCCCGAGCCCGTGGACCAGGCCTGACCACAAGCCGCCACTAGCAGGTACACATTCGACGCCTCGTTCTTCGTCAGAGTGGTGTTCTAGCACGCAGATGCGTCCCGTGTGTCTGGTCGTACGTAACAGACCACAATCGTATCAAGGGGACGCGGAGGAAGGATCGCACGCACGTAGCGGAGCGGACTCGTGGACGCGTCCGCATCCGCGAACGCCGGCTCGCCCGATGTGAATCTCAGAAGACGGTCGACTTGTCGCCAACAGAGCCATCAGAAGAGTATGTGGTAATCTATACAGCTGCTTAATGCGCTAGCGACCGTGGATTGCACAATCCCCATCACCATCGCTGGGCCGGGTGTTGATGGGGGCCGTGACGACTGGGAGGGCGGCGATACACATAATGAAAGAAGCTCAGGGACTGACTTGTGCTCAGCCGGCTAGGACTGATTTAGTTGGGACGTGTGTGGGTCGTAGAGCTGCTGGAGAGGGTGACACGCTAGCTGATTGTTGCTGCCTCGGGAGGGTGATTACGCGGGCGTATCCACAGAAGGGATATGCGTGCTCGACGTCTGTGATCCATCTGTCTTTCAGACGCACGAAGGTGATGCGTGGTCGATGGCATCTCCGGCGCGCGAGGATCGTTCGTCATCGCGGGACGCACTGGGGCGATGGACGATCCGAGTCCGTGTTTGTTTGCGGGATATACGTACGTAGTCGACGTGCGTTCCCGCTTATTGCCTCACTATCCCCCATCCCCATCCCCATCCCCGATCGATTCTGATACGCAGCGATTGTTCTCGTAAAGAAGCGCAGTGCGTCTCGAACGCGCTTCTCGAAGTCGTCGTGATGATGAAACCTGTCGGTGTGGTTCATTCTTGCAACGATCCGTTTGGGATCGGGGGAAGGGAATACAATAGGACGTCCTCGCTGAGGCTGGCCACCACCATCTATCCTGCAATGCGGCCTGCTCGTGTCAACGCCACAGGGGCGTCGTCAGTTACAACGAGCACCAGACACGGATTGCCGAAGCGAAGCGGAAAAAAAGGACGGACACTATCATCAAGCCGGCAGTGGCATGCCTACACGTGTGGCTCCCGGGGAACATACTCCCCGATGCAGCCAGGATAGGCAGGAGCGGATTGCTGGGATCAGGACGAAGCGCCGCCTCTCTGTTGCTCAGCGCTCAGCGTTGGCCAGTAGACTGTGTCGGCCTTCTGTACCGAGGTGCAATATGTTATTCCGAATCTGAAACGGTGCGCCGTCGAATGTTAGACAGACGAGGGTGTTCCCCCCACCAATTACCAATACGTGTTGGAGGATGAGCAGCGCATCCCGGAACGGCGCGGAGCCGTTGAGGAGCACACATTAAAAAAATTCTCCCTCCGCACACTCGTCTTCTGTGTTTCTCACCAAGTGCGGCCGGGGACAGTTCCCCATTCTTGGGCTAGCGCAGTGCCACACGAGAAGCGCGTCATGCAGCTAGCAGGCGAAGGTGCTGGACTCTATCGAGTAAGGTCATGCATCATCCGAAGGTAAGCGGTTTGTTCTGAGCCGAAGAGAAGCGCGGAACCTGGAGGGGCAGCCCAGTATGGATAGATTGTGCTATCGGCACCCTGGCGCAGCAGAAGGGACACTGCGGCCGCCGCGGTGCGTGGCGCAAGACAATGTCCTGTCCGTTGGGAAAGAAGTCGGAACACATGAGAGCCTGTGTGATCAGAACCGACTTCGGAACGAATGGCGCGTGGAACGAGACACACGCGCGCCAAGTCCTGCACGTCAAGATGCATCGCGTTCCGGCAACCTACGAATACGAATGAATACGGCCGAGCACGTTCTTCTCCAGCAGGGTGCCTGCAACAAAGTCCTGGCTAGGCGGGGCACGATGCTATGTTCGCAAGTTCGTTATGCGCAAAAGGCTGTGCGCTTGGACGATCATGCGAGAGACGCGCAGGTGATTGCCGCAATGTCTACCACTCGCGGAGCTCAATTGAATATCGGGGCTGATGAGGCCGATAGACGCAGAGGGATGCTGCAGAGCCCAGCCCAGTGTGCGGTGCAGCTTCCAGAGTGTGGAGTCGCGGATGCCCGATATACCGCGTTATCTGGATAACATCGCCGTCAGAACCAGATGGACAATGAGCGTCATTGAGAGTGCGTTCGTCGTCCAATGAGGACGGGACTAGGACAAGGGACGGCGATATGAGAGAAGAGGAGCGTGGCATCCAAGAACGAGCACGAGGACGAACCGCACGGATATCATACCACACGAACGAATGAATGAACGAAGGGCGATCCGGCCCAGACTCAGTAACATAGTGGGTGGGAACACGGGCGAAAAGCATGGAGAGTTGGCATCACAGCTCGCCAGGGTCGAAAAGCTACCGCGCTAGGATCCGTTCTAAAACTTGTCGCTGCCGAACGGAACCAATGAGCTGCAGACGCTGTGACAGACATAGATAGACACGCTCCCTGTGCATGTGAGAGTGGATTACGGAAATGACGCAGCATGTGGTGGCCTATCAGCGCAGGACACAGTGCCAGTGGCAGATAGGCTGCGTCGTTCCAACGGCCAATGAATACCCGTCGAGAATCCGTCACGATTTCACAAAGGACACTCCATTATTGGGATCTCGATGAGTCTCGTGAACTCGGCACCACAACCCTCTGTCGGAAGATGTGTGCTGGACGTAACAGAACCTGTGTCAGAGCGCCATATATCGCCAAACTTGAGAGCCGATAACGACAAGTGGGTCTTCGATGAAGGTGAGATGGAACGGCCTGGTCGTGCTTCTCCTCACCAATCCCACGCAAGAGGTCATGGGTGCTGCTTGCGGTGACGATTCGGTCTGTGTAGCGTAGATGATGTGATCGCGCGTCTCCCAACGCCGTGCCGAGTCTATAACGCACACGATGATCACATGCTCTTACAATTAACACTGATTGAATTCGCTCCAGACAAGAGATGTCATGCGCTCATAAGACTATAGACCAACCGATAAACTTCGTAGCCACGCGGAAAAAGAAGAAAAGGCAAAACTGTATCAACGCCGATGGGGCAAAAAAATGGTGCAAAAGCATTCATGCCCACTGGCTGGATCGAACAACCGACCTCACCATAACTTCCAAATAAAGTATTACGAGTGGCGCGCTCTACTACTGAGCTAAGCGGGCAGCAACGTTTTGGCTACAAATAATTATCTAAGCTCTTTGAAACATTGATTGCTCCAACTCATCCCTGGATGCTTGCTTAGCGAAATGTTTTCCGTGAATGTCTACATATCCGATCACTAGCTAGCTATGGGCATATAGCAATTTCATGAATTATCCTTCTCAGGGTCAGAAGTTCATTGCTGGCAGCCGCAGAGTGCTCGAATGTCATCACACGTCTTGGAAGCCACTCTGCATTTCTCTTCTTTGTCATAAATTTCACCGGATCTCACGTCCGAGGATTCTCGCAGAAACTCCGTATCCACTCGTTCTTGCAAATGGTAGCTCCAAAATCCTTTCAGGCGCAGTATATACGCCTTTAGAAGCTGGGTCTGAGTCTGCGGCGTATACATATACTAAGGTCGGTTGGATCTGTCATAGTATCGAGGAATTCATTGGAAGGCCCTTCCCTCGCCGTCAAAGCCCCGCCTGTCGTCCTCCAAACCGATGCTGGTCTTCGTTCCTCTATTGACTAGCGAGGTACAATGGCCGCGCTACGTGCCGGGCTAACCCTGCAAACGTGCCAAGCATCGCCCGGAGACAGTTGTAATCATATACTAACTTCTCGGTGCACTTCGCCCTATATCCTCAAAGTCCGTCTGCAGGGCTGCGTGCCCTTCGAACTTCAATCTCGGGTGAGTTTTGGAATTTTGACTGCCTTTTTAAGTTGGGTGTTACTCAGTCATGACATAGCGTGCACGGCCTGACGGATTTGCAATGAGTTTGAAAGTGACTAAGGCTAGCTAGCTCGTGCGTTGATTTCATAATGTTCTAGTATCATAGGCGATGACTCAACCAAGAAGACTTCGCTGGGTCCTTTTTGCTTGATGGAAGTATCAGCAGAGACATGCATGGTCAATCGGTGTTGTCGCTCCGAACCGACCCTGGAGAAGGGAGGAACCTTTTCGCCTTGCGCTGATGTGGAGGCGAGAGTGTGTGTCCATTCTCAGCAAGCGCATCTATCCTTCACATCCTCGACTGGCCGACAGAAGATATGACGAAGCCTATGCCAAGGCTCTCAAAAGGATGATCCCTGGCTCAGAGCGCATGGTCATACGTTATTCAGATGTTACTCAAATGCGTTCTACCTAAATCATTGCCGCGCAGAGATAATTCCAAGAACATCCAGTTTCGCATTAATCACCGGTAATTCCGACTCAGTTCAATACAGTTACTTCCTCTAAACCTCTCTCATTCATTTTAGTGGGCCATCTGCTCGAATGGCTGGACCATTGCGCCAGAATCGGGACATCCTCGCTACGGCATTACCGCTTCCTCCTTTATTTGCCGCTCATCAGCCTCCAAAGGCGCTTCAGACGCATTGCTCGTTTGAGCACCGACCGTCCCATCGCTGGTTCCATTTTGCAACCACAACGCTGTAACGTCCGCAGGAAGTTCCAGCATCATATCCAGAATATCTTGAAGAGTGACGCCTTCTAGCCCAGGAGCTTCAATCTGATCCAATGAAACCTGTACGAATGCAGAATTCAGATGTCGGTGAGTGGAGGCCTTCTGCGATGACGCACCCTTTTGCTATCATCTTGTCTGTCGTCAGTCTCCTCCATTCGAAATTCTCGTTTAACGACAGATGGAGCGCTGTCCTCTGCCTTGATTTCGGTCTCACGGGTGTCTGGCGTGATTGACGACGGTCTGAGCGCAGTTTTCTCTCGTTTTAGCTCATGCTTGTCAGCTGCCTTCTCTGCGTGAATGTTGTCGGGAGTCGGCTGAACTGGATAGAGGTTTGAACTCAGACTTTGAGATGGATCTTTGAAAGTGGTGCAAGGCTGGTGGAAGCTAAATTGCGGTTCCATCGAGCAACAAGTGACCAGAGCAACAGCAATACTTCACGTGTGTGGTTGGCAGTGGGAGACGAAGCAGGTAGGATGTGGCGTTGCAAACCTGCGGAGATGCCAGCGTTTATATACCGGTGTCGAAGGAGCCCCAGTTTTGCCATGCTGAGCGTGTGGTCTTTGAACGTGTTAGGATGTGGCCATTTTCACACAGCGATCAAAGCAAAAGAACACGTGTTTCGGACCTGTGGCCCAACGCCATTGTCCATCGCGGTCCATGCTTTATTATTTGCCACTCGGACTTTGAAACGGCACCTGTGGCAACGGCCACAAATGCAACGTTTTCGTTCGATAACGCTTTGGCCCGGTTTCTAGAATTCTCATTCGCATAGGCCGGAATTCACATTCCTTGTTCCGACAATGCTTGCCTCGGCTGGGCCGGCTACTGCAAAATTGCGAAAAAGGAATGGAACCGTTATTGTTGCTATTCTCGCTCTCGCACCTCGAATTGAAATCGATGCTTGTTGATGCTGAACGCAGGCTGTTTATGTGCAGTTCTGCTTAATATGTTTTTCTATAGCTAGAATATTGTGGAGGTGTACAAGTGGTAAGGCGGGAGAGGTACAAACAGCATCATGTTCAAATTACTAGTTTAGTAAGGCAAGTCTACAGGGTTCCCTTCTCGAATTGCATCGTCAATAGTTCTAACAAACTGCCGTACAGATCGATCCTTCAATACGTCCTCCACCGGTTTTGCATGCATTGTTTTATATTGATGCCACGAGCCGCCTGCTCGTAGGTTTCTGTCGTCTGCGCGAGCACGAGAAATTGCCTCTCTTGTGGTGCCATAATTTTCTCCACTCCTCGGCGAATGGCAGCTTTCGAAGGTGCCCCAAATGCGTAAGGTGCGTGAACAATCGTTGTCGAAACGCAAGGTCCAGTTTGCGACTCTACGTTTTCCGCGGAAAGGCTGAACATCGTGTCTAGTATCTCTTCGTGAGAAAGTCCTTCGGAGTCCTCCATCTGATCCAAGTAAGATATGTGAATGCGGCCCAGTCGCTGGTGAAACATATACTACGTACCGCGTAATCATCCTCGTCTCTCTCATCAGTCACGCCCATGGGTGATTCTTGCTCGATCACCGATGAAGTACTATTCGCTGGCTTCTTCTCAATCGTAAATTTCGTTGACACGGTTGCAGACGGCCTGGCAGCAGCTTGCTCTCTCGCTGGCTCTTGCTTGTTGTTCGCCTGGTGCGTGTGGGAGTGGGTAACAGTCGATCGAACCGGGCCGCGACTGGGAATTGGACCTGGATACGGGTTTGTGAAGGCGTCTTCAGTGGCGTGAGTGTAGATGAAGCGAAATTGCAGTGCCATCGGAGTTGGTGAGCAGAGGAATAATCTACAGTCTTGAAAAGTAGTTGAGGGTAATTATCCAAGCAGACAGGACGGAGCGTTGACAATGTGCCAAGATGCCAACCTTCATATGCCTGTGTAGAGACGACCACTATCTGGCGCGGTTGTCTCGCCCGCCGAGAGTTGGGCCTTTGTACGTGGCCGTTTTCACACAGCGATCAAGAAACAGCAACACGTGTTGGACGTGTGGCCAGCGACGTTCTCCGTCGTGATTTACACACGGTTGGTTGGCCACTCGGATCTTAAAGACCCGGACGAGTGCTATGTGGCCCATATGGTAACAGGTTCAGTGGCCGCGAACTTCATACTTAGGTTCAAGGTGTGCCTGAGTCCTTGCTCCTCTGCATGATCAACTTGAATGTTCGCTTTCGGTGCTACCTGTATGTGTCTGCTTTGGAGGTGCCATTTTCGAATCAATAGTGCCCTTTTTATCCTGCCAAGGTTGAGATGAGTAGCCTGTTCCCCGAAACAAGCCACACTGAAGCTGGTCCAATTAGGCCTGTTCGCTACTGGTAATGTTGACGAGCATCAAATCTCTGGCGCTTGCTAGCTTTCAACTTGAAGCAGTAAACGATATGCCTTCTTCTGCAATGACCGAGATGGGCTTCTCGATGGCGCTGCTTCTTCCCACACCAATTGTTTCTTACTGCAACTCCAACCCTCTGGCATTCGGAAAACTCGCCGTGTTCGATGACCAGAAAAGCTGAGGCTCCGTTCGACAAACCGAGCGCCGATATCATCTTGCGCTCTGCGGACGGCGTGGACTTCTACGTCCACACCGTCATCTTGGGTCTAGCTTCGACGGTCTTTGAGGATATGTTCTCTTTATCGCATCCGGGAACTGCTTGTCGGGACCAAAAGCTCCCCATTGTAGACATAACGGAGACCAGCGAGACTCTGAATTGTCTCCTTCGCCTGATATATCCAAACGCCAAGGATCCGATTTTCAAGGACATAGTAGCTGTCGGCTCGGTACTGAAAGCCGCCACAAAGTATCAAATGGATACCATTGCGACAAAACTCAAGAGTTCGCTATCCGCTTTCGCGGACCCTTTGGGATTATACGCTATCGCGTGTTGCGGTGAACTGCAGATGGAACAGGAAGCGATGCAGGCCGCAGAGGAGTGGGCGGAGAGTTCGCAGTATGCATTGGCTGACTACACCGAAGGAATGGACGACATCGGCGCAGGCTGCTATTTCCGCGCATTGCAGTTCATCAGCGCACACCGATCCGGACGCGCTTTATCTACCTCGTTCACTTTCTGCCATCCTTCGAACGCGACAGCCGCCATTAGAGAACTAGCAACAAGCGAGGATCCCCATGAGCTCCTCACCGTGCCAGCTCCTTTCGACTGTTTTTCGACCTTGTCTTCAGATATCGTTCTGCAATCCTCCGACGGACTCGACTTCTACGCGAACAAAGCTATCATTGTGCTTGCCTCACCAAAGCTTGCGGAGGAGCTTGACAAGGCGAATCAGAGGAATACATCCAGTGATGGTTTTCGTGTCGTTTCGCTGACGTTGGATGGACAAACGCTGCTGCGCTTGTTGCAACTATGTTATCCGATGACATGCCCCAAAATCGATGACTGGGAAACACTCACGGACACGCTTAAGCTCGCCGCCGAATACGACATGGAGTGGTCCATCGATGACTTGAAGAGGAGGTGGTTAGGACATGTCGAATCGCATCCTCTACAGTCTTATTTCCTCGCAATGAGACACGGGTGGGCCGAGGAAGCCGAGCTTGCCGCACAACATGCTGCACTCTCCCCTGTTGACACCTATGTTCCCGAGATGGAGGCTGTCTCAGCTTCAGTATATCGACACTACCTTGAATACCGTCAAAAGTGGCGTAAACTCATCTCCCGTTCTGCTCGTAAGGCCTTTGGGTACATACCGGTGCCCGGCACAGGAGACGGACTGCAGGAATCGGCTTTCTGGAACGATCAAGAATCGGAGCATTCCCCTGGACTGGAGCGCAGACTACATGCAGTCTGGGCTATGTGCAGGAAGGGTATGTCTCAGAAGGAAGGACGGTCCCGGAGAGGTTTGAACGGTGCTTGGTCGAGGATCACAACACTCCTGCAGACTGTTCTGTACGAGTTTCAATGGATCAATCCTTCTTTGGGCGAAATAGTTGAGGGCTGTGAAGAGTTTGCCAGAATAGTAGAAGAATCTCTTGAAACTGTCCGTCCTCGATTTCAATTTACATTGATTATTGCTGAGCATGTGCTGCGATTCAGTCGCCAATCAAGCTATAGCATTTCGTGCGCGCTATCACTATGGAATAGTCTATCAAACCCGCGAACAGAATTTTCAGTCAAGAATCGATTGCCGCACGTCACTGTACCATTTAACTTGACGTCTAACTGTATAATACACGAGATCACTCACGCTGCTGATGTTGATTTTTGGGAGCGATCCGTCGTCATTCACGATATCTTGCCGAGAATCTAGATTTCTGACCATTTGTAAACTAATCGGAAGACCGGGATTTATAAGTGTAATTCGTGGCAGGGAGCAACAGCTGTGACAAAGAAGAATCGTCGTTGGCAGCGAATGCGTGACAGACGCGTGACAGACGCGTCTCATCACGCGACGGTCACGTTACGTTGGTGGCACCGTTTTGAAATAGACGCGGCGTCAACGTTGTTGATGCGGCACTCGCAACATTGGACGTTCTTATATTTGACAGATTGTGCTCAAAAACAAGTCCGTGAAAACTAATCACACTGTGTTCTCCTTTCAGCAACTTGTGCACGAGCTCTTTGCTCACTCTAAGCATCTTATTGGTTCTGGACGGACGATATGCAACAATCAGGCCAAGTTCATGAGGCCAGCTGTTCATTATTTCTGCATCTGCGTATATGCGTGATCACGATACGATGCTCCGGCTACGGACGTATCATGGCGCTCACGTTCACAACGCGGGTCCAATGTCCATCAAGTCTGTGCTGAGCTTCGCTGCGTGAGTGACATTACATCCACGTTTAGAATCTGGCTCATTTGGGAGCTGTGCTGCAATGACATTATGCCAAGTAGATTTGGATGTGAAGAACCTCATACCGATGCGGTGTTACTGAGTTTGATCAAGATTCGGCACCTTTCGTACGGCACACCACCGATATGACCTGGTAAATCTGTTCGCGGCAAACAGCGATCGCATTTAGGGTTTTAGTCTGTACAGTTCCCTCTACGGCGCGCGCCTCATGGCATCGCCCATGTGGTTCAACGTTATCGAGGAAGTCCGGACGGACCGGAGTGTTTCGAAGCACAATACGGCCATTTTTGCCAACTTGAGGCATTGCTTCACTTATCCACAACATATCCAAGACAATGTGATATCGTCATAGCTCAAATATCCGCCAATGTGCATCCCCATGTTCTCTAAAATCTCGACTGGGCGGAAGAGTTCAAGACGCGAGCTCCTGACGACGTGAGGAACGTATGATGCTCACTATTTACAGCGATGGACAAGCTTTCGATCTCGGCGTGCTCCCTAATGCGATGCCTCGTTACATCCACCAGAGCACTTGTGTTCCCATTGACCCACATAACGTCACCGGTCCATGGTCCTACCGACTGCCACACATTCAAGGTCATTTGTCATTGGCAAGAGCACTTACTCGGACGGGCCAAATGCTTTCCTATCCTGTACCTCTATTCCATATCGCGACTAGTGCAACTGCATAAGTCCATTCAGTCCATCCAAACGGCAGTGTTGACCCAATTCTTGGAGAGGGAAAGTTTCTGATTTCTACCCTCGAACATGTAACGCCACCGGCGTCCCTGGCTACGTCCAAACAAGCCATGGACGACGGAGGCTTTTCACCAACATATAAAGCGGAGGTACCCGAGTGACAGTGCGTCGTATCTTATCTCTTCCCTCTCTCGTTTTTCGTTTTAAGCGACAGGTTTCGATGGCACATTTTAACCCACAAGGCTCTGGTCAGCCTTTCCGTCAAGCTGCCCGTTCCACTCTTTCAAGTCGAAACAACATCAAGAATGTCATTGTAATGATAACGTTCGCGGTCATCGTGCTGTTCATAAGTTGAGCTTGTCATACTTCTGCGTACGCATCTTCTAATGTAACAATCACTCAGGTGGATGCACGGGTTCTGACAGGGGAGCGACGATGGTCTACATTGGGCCGGAACCCGGGCAGACTATCGAATGCATCCCCAGCCCAAATAGTGATCCCTTCTCTGAGGAAGATTAACACCCTCCATTCACGGTAAATGGGACTAGGAAAGCGCTTCTGGTGAAGTCACGCCGCATAACTGCCGCTTGTCTATCTGACCTGAAGCATTTGTTCTTAGGTTTGCGCGGTGGTTGATTGGTGCATTCTATCCTTGTCCTAACTGGATATGTAGCTGACATTCCAACAGACGAGTGGAATTTCGATGTCGGAGATATCACAATGCTCGTGGACGATGCCGATAATTTAATAGTAAAACTGTCCCAAAAGCAACCTCAGAAGGCGGCCAAGAGCTTGAACAGGAAATGCAAAGACTAGTACATAACGTGCAGCCTGGGGACTCCCGTGTCTTCATGTGTGCGTGTCGTACTGCAGTTGTCTCACGTATATTCACGCAATGCATCGTGTAGACGCAGGCCACGGTGGCCAGGTCAACGATGTGGATGGTGATGAAGTCGATGGCATAGACGAAGGTGTGCCGTTTCTGTGAGATGATGTTGTGATTGATTGATAAAACGAGAGCGTTAGTCATTTATCCGTCTGATTTCAACGACAGCAATTACATCCTAGATGACGTGCGTCATGACGGCATAGCACCATTGGGTGATTACTAAACGGAATGTACCTTTCTGTAGAATTTGCACGAGCTTTTGGTGCGTTGGCCACTACGCTAGCTTCTGTCCTGTTCAGTTATCTACGTGGAGTCTGGACAACCACCAGGTCAAGCCACTTCCCGCAGGCTCCCTGTTGACGGTATATGACTTAAAACTGTAATATGATTATCGATAAAGCTGTGTGGTAGGCTATATTCGACGTGCGCAGCGGACGCTGAGCTGTCGTAAACCCGGTAGCTTACGTCCATTGACAGGCATGTCACTCCGGATCAATGCTTAGTATGTGGTTATAAGCTATCTTTCGATATTGATGTTTGCACCGTGATCTTCCTGGTTGAATCGCAAATCTTCCTTGAACGGTGATTACTTACAAGCAGTTTTTACTGGAATCCGCACTGAGTGCAAGCTTGATTCTCTCTATGCAGTACGATGTCTACGGTGACAAGTCCAGCGAGGTCTCCCTCAACTATGTGCAGATCAAGAGCAGCCCAGCTGATGTCGTAAGCATGATCCCAATGTTTGTTGCTAACGACTGAATGTGTTCATCCGGGCTAGTATTCCTTCAGTTCATGTGAGGACAGCGAAAAGAGCAAGGAAATCCGCCGGAAAGGCAAGATGGTCGGTGTTTTGACGGAAGTGCGTGTTCGACTTGCTCTCGCGATGCTCAGTCGAGACTCGACTCAAACTATACGAAAGGCCATTATGAAGTCCTTCAGTTGGTCTTCCATTCCAACTTTGGAGCTTTCGGCGATTGTCTGATTTCGTTTTCAAGGGAAGACCAACACACCCGAGGAGGTTCTGGGTAACATCACGTTCGAGGATGCAATTCTCCGACTCTTATAACAATACTGATACGTATAAAATGCACAGAGATAAATTGCGGAAATACAATCAAAAACCCCAGCTAACCACCTCGCATCGAGTCGTATGTTTTTTTTATGTGGCATATTGTTTCGATGTCTCACCACCGTGTTGGAACCTGAAACGGGCTATTAGCATATGATCTTTTCGTTACGCGTGCGATGAGCCCTACGATACGCTTGTGCGACCGTTGTGGCTCGACAATGACAGTTGACGGGTTGATGCTAGTTTCTCATAAGACGATTAGCATATTCGCTACGTTTCTACTCCAGTGAGTACCGTTCCACTTTCAACCCTGTTTATTCCTCATTATTTACACGTTCTTTGACGAGCCATCACGTCTCTACGAATATTGATGTACAATCGGTGCTGGCATCGACATGTACACGAGCTTTTATAATGCATTTGGATTCGCGTAAGAATGAATCACGAGAAGACATAACTGGTATCCCCCAACGCTAAGTTGCTTGACTCGGACAAAATTAACTGACGCGCTCGCAGACGCCCAGACGCGTAATGAACGCGTGTCGTCACGCGTCAGTCACGTCGCGTTCGTGGAAACGTGACACCACTTCACACTCATGAACTTCGGAATTCTAGCTATGCTACTCCCACCAAGAACAGCATGAGAGGGATTCATGAGGATCCAAAACCCGGATGTAAGCCGCAAGACAGCGCATGCAGCTCTCAACTGGCAGGGCTTCAAAAGCATACACTGTGCCTCGGGTGGCATCGTAGTCTGCATCAAAATATCCTACACCTAATCGGTATCACAGTTTTCTAAAGTGAGAAGTGCGAAGAGGAGAAAATCTCGGATCTTTCTGTCCTGAATGTACTCAGCGTAAGTACTTGCCCAAAATTCTACCTACGTGCGCGCTTCTCTCTGATTGTCGGCAATACCCCTTGCACAGGGAGCACGTCGTGGGATTCTGTCAGCCCACGTTCACTCACTGCATCCTCCGTCATCAATTCAGCGTTCACGCCTCCTGCGCTCTTCTTGACGGCACACAGCTCTTCAGTGTCGGCCTGTGATCCTCACGATGAAGAACGAATCGCCTCCCAGCGTCGCCTCTTCTCCATTCGACGACCCCAATGACGCTGACATCACACTGCGCAGCGCCGATGGCGTCGATTTCCACGTCTACCGCGCCATCCTCGGCGCTGCCTCCCCCATCTTCAAGCAGATGTGGACTCTCCCGCAAGCAACCAAAGACCACCCTCAGATCGACGACGCCACCCTCGTATCCGAGGACAGCACCACGCTGGACCGCCTGCTACGGTTCATATACCCCACACGTGACCCAGACTTGGAGTCGGACCTGCAGTCGGTGGGCGCGGTGCTCAAGGCTGCCGCCAAGTACGACATTGAGTACCTCGAGGAGCGGCTCAGGAAGACGCTCTCGGCGTTCGATGATCCGCTGCGCGTGTACGCGATCGCCACAAGCGCCCATCTGGGATACGAGCAGGAGGCATTGCAGGCGGTCGTGGAATGGTGCGAGTCCGATGAGCTCTCATTGAGCAGCTACGTGCCGGAGATGGATGACATCTCCGCGGGTGTCTACTTTCGCGCTCTGCAGTTCTATGCTAGACACCAGAACCGAGACAAGCGGGATTGCAGTCTGCCGGGAAAGTATACCTTTTGCTATCCCGAACCCAGTTGCGCTCATAGCCACCCTGAGAAGGAGCAGCTCGTCATACCTTCTCCCTTCGATCAACCATCACCTCTGACGGACATCATCGTTCATTCTTCTGATGACCACCATTTCTATGCCAACAAGGCCATTCTCACGTACGCATCCAGTGTGCTCGCGGACAAGATAGAGGATGCGATGAAGAGCGGTCCGAAGTCGGAGGACGAGAACTGCGCGCTCCACCTAAACCTGAGTGGCAGGACGCTGCTCCATCTCCTGCAACTCTGCCACCCCGCCGGTGCTGCTCCCTCGCTGGACGACTGGGACGAGCTCACCACCGTCATCGACGCCGCCGCTTCGTACAAGATGACTCGCGCATTGGAATACGCGAAGAGCAAGTGGGCCGAGCGCATCGCAGCCCGCCCGATGCAGTCCTACCTTTTTGCGATGCAGCGTGGGTGGACCGCGGATGCGACCACTGCAGCTCGGTACGCGATGCTCCTGTCGTCCGACGACTACATCCCCGAGATGGAGCGCGTCTCCGCCAGCGTCTATCGCCGGTTCTTGGAATATCGCCAGAAGTGGCGGGAAGCGGTCGTCAAGGCTAGTCATGTCAAATTCATGACCACACTAGGGACAGAAGAGCGGCGGTATGGCTCGATTTACTGGAGTGATGAGGATGTCCGGGAGTGGCTGGAGTATCAGTGGCATGCTGTGTCCTTGCTTTGTGGGGCGGGCCTCTTGTGCGCGGACACGGGCCGGACGCAGGGCGGAGATGGTGTGCAGAAGAGGATCGAGGGGTTGCTGTTCTCTGCCGGTCATGCCTGGATGGGCTCAATGGCGAGCGGCGCTCCTCAGAATATGGAAAATGTTATGGTGAAGGTATTCCAGAGGATCCTGAAAGTGGCTGTGCGTGTCTGTTCTTTGAGACACGATGTCGTACTGATGTTCTGTATGTCGCAGTCTGAGATCGAGCTGTAGCTCAAGGAGATGTTGACGACAGAATTGACCGAAGAGGCTTCGACGTCGTGATGTGAAGAGGCAAGTGGTCTCGAGTATCTAGCTTTCTTCCCATTTTCCCTTTCGTGCGCCCCTTCTTCATATGTACTCTTACCTCCTTTCCCACTGTACAACAGAGACGTAGCGGATCTGCAGACATGACGAGTTCATTTCCTGGTGTCGCAGTAAAACTTGACTATGATAGTGCTTACCTGACAAAGTGCTTGCGTGCTGCAACACCATTGCCAGGATCGTCGAGCCTGAGGAGGCGTCCCCGAAACGATGCGATTTCGAATGAAGATCGAGACAGCATTGTCAGATGTCGCCAATGCGGGCCTTGTGTATGGAAGACAAGAGTAGTGTGAACGATATATTACTCGCACTTGCTAGGCTCGAGTCTGATGCTTCCGTATAACCTGCGAACAATGGCTGCAAAGTTAAAGCGAGTGAAACCTTTTCAAGCCCACCCGCGGATGCGGTACCTTCGGATAATTGCCATGCAGATCCTGATGAGAACCAGTAAAGCACAACAATCAGAAATAATTTTGGCGAATAGTCTGTGTGTAATATAGATATCTAATAAGCATATAGAGCGTTAGATCAATCTCGCGTATGCAATCACTGCGACCTGTCCTTTTCCACCATGTTCATGAACTTCTCCAACTCTTCCGGCAGCATCTCGTAGCTCTCCTCTTCCGCAGGAAAGCTACGGTCTCTCACAGCACCCATGTACGCCTTGATACCTCTCTCCACCTCGCCCCTCACGTCCCCAAACCGCCGCACAAACTTTGCTTCGTGCCCGCCCCAAGTACCCATCAGGTCATCCCACACGAGCACCTGCCCATCCGTCCCCGCTCCCGCCCCGATGCCAATCGTCGGTGCACGCCGCATCCGCCTTGTAATGTACGACGCGACCGGATGCGGGACCGCCTCGAGCACGACCGCAAATGCACCCGCATCCTCGAGCGCCAGCGCGCTCTGCATGAGCCCCCTTGCCGCCTCCGCGCTCCGCCCCTGCACGCGATACCCAGACATCATCGCCTGGCGCTGCGGGAGGAGCCCGACGTGCGCCATGACCGGTATGCCGATGCCGGTGAGCTTGCGCACGACGTCGACGATCTCGAGTCCTCCTTCGAGCTTGACGGCCTCGACGCCGCCCTCGCGCACGAGCCGCACCGCACTGCGCACCGCGTCCTCCGCGCCCGCGTGGTACGTCCCGAACGGCATGTCCGCGACGAGCAGCGGGGCCTTGCTCCCGCGCGCGACCGCCGCGCAGTGGTGGACCATCTCGTCGAGCGTGAGGGACGTCGTCGCGGGGTAGCCGAGGCAGACCTGCGCGAGCGAGTCGCCGACGAGCGTGATGTCGATGCCGTGTGCTTCGCACGCACGCCCGGTGGGGAAGTCGTACGCGGTGAGCATGGCGATGGGCGTGCCGGCCTTGCGCATCGCGTGCAGGTGCTGGATCGTCACCTTCTTTCGTGCTGTGGTTCCTCTGTAAACGGGGCAGCGTGCGGTGCGGGGTGTACTCACAAGCAGCAATAGGAGAGCTTTCCTCCGGTCTGACACTCATCCACCGTCGACACAGGGGTCGGTGCGTGGACGCACGGCCGAACGCCGAACGCCTTGATACTGCTTGTAGCTGCGTGATCATCGTCTTTGGGCAGCTCAACGCTGATGATGAGGAGTGCAGATGGGTGGTCTTTCTCTCGACGGTGATGCCATGTCGTGTCGTACGTGGGCTTTCCGGCGTCCGCGCTGGTTTGAGCCCAAAATTGCGGAGTGGAATTGATCTCAGCGCATCTCGGCCGATCGTTTCGTTTTTCACGCTTGGCCATCACGAGCCCTTCTCCCGCGTCCGAAGCCGCTGGCTTCGCAAAGTGACTCCGCTGCAAGAGGTCTGAGTTCACGCTATCAGGATGAGCTGCGGTCCCTTTCAATCATAAAGGGGATTTCTGACGAGCGGCCAAAAGCACTCACTTGGAGTGACTACCTTACCACGGAACCTAATAATAATTGAAAATGCCAAGGCATCGAGTGCACGGAATCCGAGTACACCCCTGTCTTCTGTATAATGAATTCCTTGTGAAGCGCTAACTTACAATAGAAATTCCCGCCCCAAAACATGAAAACGAAGAACATATAACCAAGCAAAACATGGGACACAGATCCTTATACAACGCCTTGTCTCGACGAGCAGCCAATAGTTTCCGAGACTTAGATTTCGTAGATGTACAAGGCGAACGAAAGAGAGGGAATCGATATTCAATCCGGGAATAGCAAAATGCCGTGAGCAAAAAGGATTGCTACTATACAACGCACGCAAGTGATAATGCAAGAACGCTTGCTCTCATCAGTTGGAGGAGGTCCCACGGTCGAAACTATCGAGGCTGATCAGAGCTCATCGGGGGCCTGTCCGCACACACAACTTCTCAGATACCACTTACACAACAGAACCATTTGAGCCACCTACCTTTTCCAAGATCCTCCGTAAGACCCGCTGCATGCGATTCTCATCGATGGCACTATCACGCGCCGGCGAGACCGCAGCAGCGAACAACACCTCCGTGATCCTCGATCTCACTCCTCCTCCTCCTCCCGCGCCTGCGGCCCTGCGCAACATATTCGTGCCCAAAAGCAACGCATGCACATGCAGCCGATACTCTGGCCGGTGCCTCACATCTAAATCGCTCCAGAAAATCGACCCGTACGGCTTCTCCATCCTGTGGCTCAAGCCTCCAAGGAGCTCGGAAGCCACTTCAGCGACGGCACTCCTCCATGCCTGACGGTGCAACAAGAAGCGCCGGTAAATGCGTGCGGAGACGCATTCCATCTCCGGGACGTAGCTGTCTGCCGAGAGGAGCATCGCGTACTTCCCGGCATGGGCCGACTCCTCGGGCCATCCGTAGTGCGCTGCAAGTAGGTATACTTGGAGCGGGTGTGTTTCGACATGCTCCATGAGCATGCGCTTCGCCGTGCCTTTGGCGCCGGTGATTTGGTACTCGTGCGCGAGTCGCAGGTCGGCGGTTAGGGTGTCCCAGCTCTCCGTGGCGGGATCGGAATTGGGGTAGCAGAGCTGCAGGAGGCGGAGCAGCGTGCGGCCATCGAGAGGGAGGGCGATGATGCGGTGGCCGTCGTCAGAGATCGAGTCACTGGGACTTGTGTGAACGAGCCTTTGCGCTAGCGTCTCCGAGGCGAGCTCTATGACAACCTTGTTCACGTAAAAATCGTGATAATCGTAAGAGCGAAGGATCACCGTATCAGATGAGATCGACGGATGCGCAAATGAAGAGGGAACTATGAAATCACTTTGCATTCCATCTCCTGCGGCAGTGTTCGGCGGCGGGTTGCAGAACGTGAACGGTTCGCTGATATCGCGCCCGACCGTATGCATACTGTGGAACTCCAACAGGCGGAAATACTGTGCCGCCGTGATGGCATCCATGTCGGGGACGTAGTCTTGCACCGTCGCACGGGGATCCTCGCACCACTCAAGTGTGGCGTCCCTAGCTTCCTCTTCAAACTGCAGCTCGGGGCTGCACGCGATCGCGTACAGCCGCAGGGCATCGTCAAAGACGGTCAGCCCGCGTCTGAGCTGCGCGACGATGTGCACGATCTGGTATTTCGCGGCGGCCTTGAGCACGGGTCCGACCTCCGCGATGCTGGTGAATATGGGAGATTCGCCTGGGTATATTAGGCATAGCAGACGCTCTAGCGTCTGGCTGTCTTCCGTGGCGTCAAGGATCTGGAGGTCCGAGTGCGTATTCTCGGGGCCGGCGGGTGGTGGCAGCGTCGATGCGTCGCGGAAGAGCGGCGACACCAGGCCGAGGATGAAAGTGTTCACGCAGAATTGCACGCCGTCGGACGATTTGATGATTATCATGTCCGGACACTGCTTGTTGAACGGCGGAGGGGCGTTAGTCTCCATTACGAGCGGACACAGTCGGCGTGAAGGAGCGGGTAAGTTGACGGTAGACGGTGAACGTCGAGCTGCGGGGATCGCACGCGAGGGAGGATGCCGTCCAAGGTGATGGCGCCAGAAGCCTTCAAGCGCGCCTCGTGTCTTTGTATTTATGATTTCTTGTCCACCAGAACAGCCATCGCCTCGCAACTCAGGGCAGCTAAGCTTCAGCATAGCTACTGCACCGCAGTCCGATTATTTGGGAATCAAGGGATGCTGTAATTTTGGTCGTAGACAACCCGGGTGGACCTAACAAGCAGGTTATACGTGAGAGCGGACAGCATTGATTGACGCGCGGTGACACGATAGGACGATCAATTCCCATGGCCACAGCATTGTTCAGCCTGCACAGGTCGAGCATATTCACCAGGAAAAAAGCAGGTACATGTTAACGGCGATGACAATTTTTGAGGTCGTGAGCGGAATGCATTCACAGGAGTTGCCATCAAAGAATATTGATTCCAATGCCTAAGATCTCAGACATTACCGTCGCTGATCTTGTTCCATCTCGTGGTAGGAATAATTGACGCTGTAGCAGTCCGTCGAATTGAGCGCAGACGGGGCGCAAACAAAGAATCGCAGATGGATCCGCCATTTTCACAGCCCGCGATCCCCGACCGTGACAAGCCATGCGTGACATAACATAACATGACCCGTGACGTAACGCGTCGAACGTCAGCCAGAAACGGCTGATATCGAGCGCGTCGAGTTGTCGCTGGGCTCCGACGATGGCTCAGTTATCGACAGATGGAATATTATCAGTGTCATGTGTTATCATACACGGGCTATTTGGTCACAGTTACATAGTCGGTCGTGAATTCATAGTTGTCTCAAACATAGTACTCATCAGTAACGCAAATTGGGCGGGGAGGGGAGATCACGGAAAAGAAGGAAAGGAGAGTATCATGTTGAAGTATTCGTACACACCGACGCGCCGAAAGCATGCTCAAATCAAGAAAACGTCCTCCTTTTCCAAGCTATAATCCTCGTCGAGCTCGCGGAAATAATCAATGCGAGCTTCTCTAGCACGGGTACGCTCCTGCATAACGACATTCAATGTAAGCATCTGTCAGCACACCGCGATATGATACCACGTACCTCGCGCTCGTCCGTGTCAACGTCGTCGTCGTCATGATCCCTCGCTCGTTTCTTGCCCTTCGTGTCCTGCTTCTTGGCCGCAGCGGAGCGAGTTACCCGTGTACTTGTGCGACTGCTTTCGGCTGCAGCGGATGCGGATGCAACTCCGCGTCCACGCCCTCGCCCACGCCCACGTCCTCTTGTGCGGGTCGCACCTTGACCCCTAGTTGAAGCGCGAGTTGTCCTCTTGGGAGGCGAGCTATCCTCGCCTTCGCTGCTATTCTCTCCCTCTCCCTCGCTCTCCTCCTTTGTAGCCTGCACTTTACTCGCAACCCTGCCACGTCCACGTCCCTGACCGCGCCCGCGCCCACGGCCACGTCCACGAGCAGGCGCAGATCCAGTCGCACTACGAGCGACGCGTTTGGCGGATCGTTTCGGAAGCAGTCTCTCCAGATTCCGTGCCACAGCCATGGGATCCTCCTCCTCCTCCTTCTTTCCACGAGGCCTCTTCCGGGTGCGCTCGTGCTCCTTTATCCGCTCAGCCAGCACGCTCTCCTGATCATCCTCACTGTCCTCCTTGTCGCTCTGCTCATGCACGTCTAAAGCGGGCGGCACAGCGTCCAAAGAAGGCCGCAAAGCCCTCTCATGAGCCATCCGCGCGCTCGTACGCCTCGCAGACGCCGCCGCACTAGGAGAAAGTGACAGATGACGATCGCTCTCAGGGCTCCTGCTCCTGGAGCGAGCGCGCAGAGCCACCGTAGTAGGCGACGGCTCGCCGACATTGGAGCTCGAGGACTCAAAGCCGGGAGACGGCAGCGGCGAGCGCTTATGTGCGGTCTTGGGCTTGTGCGGTGTAGGAGGCGGCTTGCGTATGGGCGTCGGGGTGACATCTCCAGTGGGGTATGGGAATGGCACCGAAGCGACGTTCTCCTTGTCTTCGTACTCCTCATCGTATTCCTCCTCTGGTTCCTCAGGTGACCTTTCTGCTCGCTCTTGCACTCGGTTTTCATCCATATCCTCCACTTCTTGCTCTTCTTCAGGACTGTCACGCGTAGCCTGTCTGGACGGCCCAGCTCGATTGGGACGAGGACTGTCGATATACAGATCGTCGATATCGGAATTGTGGTAGAGCCACCGCTGAGCATCGGGCTCAGGCTCGGGAACCTGCACGGAGTCTGAACTTGCTATAGAGGGTGACGGAGAAGGCAATGCAGTGGCAAGCGTCCCAAGCGGCGCGCGAAGAGGCACCACAGGCGCCTTCCCTTTGCCTTTCGCATTGAATCCGCGCAGCGCCTTCAGCTTTCTCTCTGCTGCGAGGAACCCGAATGGATCGTCCTCGTTTGACCCTGGCGGCCTTTCTGTGTAAAAGGCGCCGGTTGGTATGCCCGACTCCGCGTTCTCCTTGTCCTCGATTTCCTCCTCATCATCATCGTTCTCGCGCTCCTCGATAGCAACGCTATAACTTGCATGAATTTCCACCAACGCACCACGGCCCCTTGCAGACGGCGCCATAAACGGAGAGGAAGGAGGAAGAGGCGAGCGCTCTCGCTCGAACCTTGCGCGTGAAGCGCTGGCTACCGCCGGCTGATGCTGCTCTGGAATGCGAATGGGCATCTTGTGCAGCGGCAGCCTGGGTCTGCGGCGTCTGAAGCCAAGCGGAGTGGACTGTGCTAGTAGGGGCGTAGCACTTGACATGACAGGTGTCGGGCTTTCCGGTACATCCTCCGTGTTGGCAGGTTCCAGCAGCGTGCGCACATGCACGGGCTTCGGGGTTGGCGGGACGAAAGATGGGGTCTTACTCTCGCCGCGGCCATACAATGGCACGCCGGACGGCAGTTTGAGCGAGCTCAATGGCTTGCGGAACTTGACCGGGGACGGGCTTGCCGTCGCGTCAAATTCAGACCCAGAGTCGGAAGGTGCGTAAACGTCATGCACATGGACGGGTCTTGGAGACGGAGGGACAAGATGGGGATTGCCATTCTCGTCTGTGACGTACGAAGTAGCCTCCACAGGTAGTGGGAGCTCGCCCAGTGGTTTGCGAGGAACAATACTGCTGTCATGAGCCTCCTTCGTAGTCTTATAGGCCTTGACTGGCCGGGGCGTGCTGCCAGGTGTCCTGTCTTGAAGAACTGCCTCGTCTGTGACGTACGGAGTAGCTTCCACGGGTAGTGGGAGCTCGCCCAGCGGTTTGCGAGGAATAGTACTGCTGCCATGAGCCTCCTTCGGAGTCTTGTGAACCTTGACTCTCTGGGGCGTGTTACCCGGTGTCTTATCTTGAAGAACAGCTTTTCGTCGTTCACGCATGGGTGCTTTAGCAAGATCGATAAATAGCTTGGCTGCGTGGCCTGCTAGTCAGATCAGGCTGAACACAGTGATCGGACACGGCCACGCACAGAGGTATGTATTCAAAAGACTCGCGAGTACTCGATATTCAATGAGAAGGCTGCGATAGTTGTCGGGTTTGCAATTCACAGAGCAAAAAAAAAGTCAATGAAAGTGCGGACGACGTGGTGGTTGGTTGAGTTCGAGTTTACGCCCAACGTGACACCCCGTCACGCAGTCGATTCAGTGATGTCACTTGTGACTATAGTCTTCAACCATTACACACCCAAATTTTGTGTACAAGCACATTTCACTTTCACCTCAAAAAAAGTACACATACATATCTATCGAGTGCATTCAAAAGCATATTTAAACGAAGTTTAAGCAAATAAATAGAACGGTGATGCACCAAACCAAAAGCAGTTACCGACTCGGAAAATGCGTGTCTCCCGGGGGCACAGCCGGCAAATCCGAGAGCATGGGAGTCTAAGGGTCTCCGAGGGTCTGGGGTAGTACGAGCACACCGCATCCGATTGTCTACATAGGCTCTGATCCCAACAGATCTGCCTGCGACGGCTCCGTTACATCCTGCTGCTCACCCAAAGTCTCTTCCTGCATCGGTCGGAGGGTTCTGCCGAAGTGAAGTGGGATGACTTTTGCCCGTGCTGTAAGGAGATCGACTCTACTGAAATATTGTTTACACCAGTGAAAGAATATTTCTCTAGAGTCGATTCCCTCACACCATCCACATTGAATACGCAGCTCGCAGTGAGTTCGCAGATGCTTCTTTACAGGCATCTCCGAACTCACTCGTGAATTTTCATCTTTTTTTTTTTTGCAATCCTGCCAGCAACGAGAAGCATTGACAACTTTAAGATAAAGAAGCACATCAATCTTAAAGACGGCAAATGGAGGCTCTGCCAGCTATCAAACCTGTGACCGCAGGGTTGGCCCTCAATGAGCCACCTGCAGAGGTATTCCACATCTGCAGATGGCTCATTGAGGGCCTGTTCATCGTTCTCGTCTGCGTTCTCATTCTAATCTTCCTGATTGTCATGCGGAGAGGGAGCTTGATGACCTGAATTAGTCGTTGTGTAGGTCATACCCAGACAAGCCATGAATGTCTGCTGTGAAGAAGGCACAGGACTGAAGTTGGGATATCCGCCATGCGAAGGGGTCTCTGTATGAGGAGGAGCTAGCAAAGGCTGACAGAGCCGCTAAAGCAGCTGTGTATCGAACCGCTGGGAAGGAGAACGGGACCATCTTCCCTCATCTTTCTTCCCAGCTGTTCGATACAGGACTGGAGAGAAGGCTGTTAAGACCTGATGATTGGCCCGCTGCTGGGCATATTTTCGAATGATGGTTGGAACCAAGCGACGGGCGGCGGTGACATGAAAACTTTCATCCGATGGGACGAAGAACGCGCAACCCAACCGTTCTTCACTATGGCTTTTTCGCATCCGGAATGTCTTCCAATCGACTCGTAGCACGCGACATCTAAATGTATGTGTGCACATAGAGTTGCTCATCGGATTATAGCTATATATGATAGGGTATTCATTGACAGAACTAAGATAGTACTTTTACAAAGAATGATTGAAATGTCCGCGAGTGTCAAAGCCCCCATGGTAAAGCACACAGCAGCTGCGATGCTCCTCGACAAAGCGTTGTGGGCTACGTGTCTATATCTTGCCGAGAGACAGTTGGGTCTGTATACTCGTGGTTGCATCTTGTACAGACGTAGAATAGGATCATGCGTGTTTCCTTCCGTTTTGACTGATCCTGGAAGTACACAGCGCTGTGAAGGGTTCTCCATCTGTGAGCCACCCCAAAGAGACAAAAGATCTCAGTGAGAACGGAGGAAGATACGCACTCGTTATGATGACATGAAGGACACTCCATGTTCGCATGAGCCTGACGGGTTAATGAGGATCGTCCACTACTGAGACGGAGACATGCACATGCGCACCAGTGTAGGATCGTTCATGAGATCCGTGGTCACGCCGACCTGCTCTCTACCTCAAAGCGTCAACTCAGTTCCGAATGAGAAAGCAGAGCATTGCAGAGATGCATGGAGAGTCCATGGGCACCGCAATGTGTACAAACGCAACTCACTTTGTAACGGTAAGCAAATCGTTCCGGTATACACATTTGTTCTCGCCAATCTCATCGTAATTGCATATTCTGCACGCATAGACCATAATTCTTCGCTGCTGGTCAGCCTTCGGGTACAAGAGATTGTTGCATTCCGAGCAGAAGTGTAGTGAAGCCTGACGGAAGGTGAGAATGAGTGATCTTAGTCATCAAGAGAGGCGGCACATTTCTCCAATCACCACAGTGTACAAGAAAATGATACGTACCATGTCGACAGTAAATCTTGAGAACGGGGAAGAAAGAATCCACTCGGCAACAAAGGCAGGAAAAGGGGAGATGAAGGACCAGTGGCACGAATATGAGAGACTAAGCGCCCGTATAGCGCTGAAGATCATTGAAAGCACGTGCCCTCGATTTGTTTTCGGTTTGCTAATTCGAGTCTTGGTTTCCTTCGTCCATCCGCTCAGCGACGTACGGCTAGCTTGCTTTCCCTTCATTTGATCCTTGTCCTGGTGCTGGAAATAAAATCTGGGACTTGAAACTGTGTCCGTGCGATTTTGCCTCGGTCACGATGCTCTCGGAAGACTCGGACACTGAGGATATCCACCAATTTACCATCAATGAGCATTACGCCAAGGCGTTCGAATATCGCAAGGAGCGAGAGGAACTAGCGAAGCGTGCGTGTTTTTATGCAGAACTATTTGTGATTAGACTGATTGTGTAGTCAAGGAGAAATATGGTTCTGACATCGAGGAGGATGACGCCGAGGAGGAAGACTCTGAAGAAGACGAGTCGGAAGACGAGGACGGAGAAGAGCTCACTCCTGCGGTTGATGCCGCCATTCTGCGGACCTTAGCACGTATCAGGCGGAAGGATCCATCGATATATGAGAAGGACAAGGATGTGTTCGAGGGTACGCCAAACAACGTTTGTTACGTGTGCTCCGGTTCGCACTAACTATGAGAGCACAGAGGAATGGCAAAAGACTGGGGATGCGTCGATAGCGCGGGTGCAGAAGGATAAGGTATGTATGCCACTGATCTCGTGCAACGTGACATGCTCAACCCACGATTGTAGTCTAAGCCTCTAAGGATGCGCCAACACGCGATCGCATCCGCGCTCAAGCCAGAATCAAGATCTTCCTCCCCTGAGCCGTTGACGCATGTGCAAGAGCAGGCTGCCCTTCGCCAGGAGACGATAGCCGCTTTCCACACCGCTGTTGCCGAGGATGACGACGACGGCTTCTTGATTCCGCGAGATAAGACAAAAGATGACATTGAGCGGGAGGAGGAAGAGTATCGTGCGTTTTTGGAGAGGGAGGTCGGGGAGGACCTGAAAGAGATTGTGACCGTTGAGATGACGGAGGTCGAGGTGACGAATGAGGAAGAAGGCGAGAAAGCTGAGAAAAAGAAGAAGAAGAAGAAAAGGAAGGAAGAAGGCAAAGTCCAAAAGAGCAAGCGGGAAGAAGATCGCGAATTCCTGATGAAGTGTGCTCAATTTGCGTTATGAGTTGCGAAAGGATGCTAATCATTAATGTTCACATTAGCTACATTTTGAACCGCGGGTGGATCGACCGTTCCGCTCGCCGTCTTCCCACTTATGACGAAATTACCGCTTCTAAGAAGGGCAAGCGGAAAAGACAAGACGATCAATCGGACGCAAGTCTCCACTCTGACGTTGATGAGGATGTCAAGGATGAGAGTGCGCCCGAACAAAGCGAAGGAGAGAATGAGAATGAGGAATTCAGCGAAAATGAGTTTGACGACATTGCAGACCGGTTCGAGAGCTCGTATAATTTCCGGTTTGAGGAACCGTACGTGTTCATCATGTCTCCCCGACCGGAAGCTTCCTCATGACGTCTTTCTACAGAGATGCCGATACCATTGCAAGATACCCACGAAATATTCCCTCGCTAGTCCGGAGGCAGGATTCATCGCGTAAGGAGGCTCGTGAAAAGCGTAAAGCTCGTAAGGAAGAGGAGCTTCTTAAAAAGAAGGAGGAGATCAAGCGGCTCAAGGCACTGAAGATGAAAGAGATTCGCACCAAATTGGAGATGATTGGGCGAGAAGGCGGGAAGAGTTTGGAAGCCAGCAAAGGTATTCCGTTCACATCTTAGTCTCAGCATTCAAATAACTCATTCGAGATTGTCACCGCAGCGTTACAAGAGCTTGACTTGGAGGGCGATTGGGACCCGGAGGCCCACGAGCGACAGATGGCTGAGCTGTACGAGCGTGACGACGAGGGCGAGATCGATGACGAAGAGAAACCTGACTGGGACGATGACATCGACATTACGGACATCGCCCCTCCAGAAGAGGAAGCGTCCACGTCAAAGAAGTCCAAGAAAAAGAAGAAAAAGAAATCGGTTGATGATGATAGGATGGATGAGGGCGGAGTGGACGTCGACGAGATGGATGCGGAAGCGGAAGATCCTGCCATTGACGACGAAGAGTGGGACGGGACGGAAGATATGCGTAAGCGCAGACTGGATGAGTACATGGACGAGCTCTATGGGCTGGAGTTCAACGACATGGTACGTCCGTCTGGGGAATCCCGTTCAGGTGGATCTAACCCGTTGCTGCGTAGGTTGGCGATATGCCCACGCGGTTCAAATACACCAAAGTTTCTCCTCAGATCTTCGGGCTCTCACCGGCCGAGATCCTCGTGGCGACGGATGCAGAGCTGAACTCGTACATGGGCATCAAGAAGTACGCGCCGTACCGGAAAGGCGGACAGTGGGACCAGACGCGCGGAGCCAGGCTGAAGGAGCTAAAGGACTCGCTGCGAGAACGTGGTGTTGATACCAGACCCGAAGGAAAAGGCGAGAATGCGAAGAAGAGGAAAGGCAAGAAGGAGCGGATGAAGGAGCGCGGGGCTGCCATTGATATAGCGACATCGGGAGAGCCTAGCAAGGAGGATGAGAGCAGTGCCACAGGGCGCCAGGATGCGGGAAAGAAGGCGAAGCGGAAGTCCCCCGAGTCTGGCGACGCTGCGGAGGAGGCGGAGCAAAATGCGCAGGAACAAGGCGCCGTTTCGAAGAAGAGGCGGAGACGGCACAGGAAGTCGGAGCAGGCGTAGATGCTGTCGAAAGGGGGGCTTATAATTCTGCGTTCGCGTAGTACTCTGAGCGGTAGTCTGATTGCTCATGTGTCTCTTCTCGATCAGGTCAATCTCATTGCGGTCGTTCAGCAGATCGCATCTGGTACTTATGTGCTGCAGGCGTGTGATTTTCTAACACTAATGGTACCGTGCATTCGGGCTCTTTCTCGAGTCTCATGCTCACATTGTCTGGCCTCCAAAAAGGCATGGACCTGCCTCATAATGAGCTCACACCTCGTCATGGCACTGGGGGCCTAGTGTCGCGTGGTGGACCTGTAGGGGCTCAGTATCAAAATCCAGCTAATCTGCACCCTATGCCGACACACCCAGCGAAGGGCATGCCGTATCAAATCGCTGAGAGTTGCTTCATCCTGCTCCTCAATCTCGCGGCCGCGGAGATTCGCACAATGTACACAGCATGACACAGCCCCCCGGGACGGCTCCGCCCCTTACGTACGATCGCGCGGTCAGCGCTGATCGATGTGGCCATTACCTACCGTGCCGCCGGCTGCTCCATGGGAATCAAAGGGACAGCCTCATGGACAGGGTATATACAACCACACACCACTATCTCACTCACCCCTCATCAGCACCCACCTGCAAACGATGAGCCGCACGTACGACCCGATTGAAAAGGCCCCTGTTCCCCGTCAACAGCAGTATCCCTTATCAGGGGACCCATCGCAGGGCTATTCCATATCATGGAATGATGCAAGCTCGGTCCCACCGCCGGCGTACGAGACGGTGATTGGCAGTCCGGAATTGAACCCCTTACAGAGATCGCCCCCTGCCAGCCTCGCCTATCCTCCCTTCCAGCCCGCTACCCTCGTCAGCATCAGCGAGAATCTCCAGAACGGATTCCCGCTCACACTCCCTCCGTCTGCCATCATGCCACACCCTTTCACGCTGCACGATGTGCATGAGCAGGATTGGAAAGCGTTCTTGCTTGACGTCCAGGCGGCTGCGCCATCGACGTCCAACAGCAAGCCGAGGTCTGGACAAGGGATGATGTTTATGATGATGCCGATGGCTGCTGCGATCGGTGAGTCGCTTCGCCGGATTCACGCTCCAGTGTAGATGGTAACATTATTCTCTCGATTTGTAGGTGCTGCAGCGGCTAGACGCAGGGCTAGCCAGGCAAAGGAAGACGGATTGAATCATGTCCACGGCGCAATCGATAGCTGGAACAAAGTAAGCAAGACCGTTCGATGACGCTTCCCTTCACAACATTGATCCACACTTCTCTGCAGTACTTCTTCCATCCGCGTCGCATGCATGTATCCCTCACACAAGACCGAGCCGGCGGGTCTGGACCTGACATCTCATCAGACGATGAGAGCAGCTCGGACGAGGCTGCAGGCGCGTCAACCTCACTGATGTCCAGGCGAAGGGAGCGAAGAGAGTCGCGAAGGGCCCGAAGGACTGAACGGCGGCAGGAAAGACAGGAAAGGCGTGCGTCGAGGAGGTCCCAGGGCGGAAAATGGCGCATTGTGGTCACGTATAGGGATCGCAATATGTGAATAAGCTATTCATGTCATCACGATCTTGTGTCAACTTCCAGCTCATAGAATGGACGGTAGGATATTCCTAGTACGGCCAATGGGACATTTATGCTCTATGCTGAATGTGGGATGTTCAATATCCCGAACAGCATGGCTTAAGATGCAATTTGTCTCATCGTGTACAGTGAAGACACATCGACGAGCACTTATCGTGAATTCTGCGTAAGAAAATATAAAAGAATTTCGTTATACACTCATGTTGCATGACGGGCCGCACAACTACTCGCGACGATTTCGACCACTTTCTACAATCCCTCCTACGAGGAATACCGTAATAAATGACCGAGAAGAGGTACGCGTACTACAGAAGTTATCTAGCACGCCCACGCACCGTTGACTCAAGTGGCACCAGACGCGTCGCGTCGCGCCACAAACGCGTCCTGTCACGGTGTCAAGTGTATGTAACGCGTTTCCGTGACATCTTCCGCCAAGCCACCATGCCACCCTCGCGGTCTCTCGCAGTCTCTTCGACCCGCATTCTCATGTGAATGTCCTATCCACTTAAGTCTAACAAAACACGGTGAACAGAGGACTTTTTGGTCACCAGGGGCTGCCGAACGATGAAATGTCTCCAGGGAGAAATCCTTGCAGCGACGATACACATCAGTGGGATGTCGGCACGGAGGGATGTATCCTGCTCAGGTTGAGTACAAGCTGGTCTATTGTGATGTGTATACTTGTATTCCTACTCATGAACCATGCAGATTCATGGTATTTCCGACACTGTAGTCTGCTCACCACGATGCCTCCTCTCAGACTCAGCATCTCGGAGGAGTGCCTACGCACGCTGCCTTGGTCGCAACCAGCCGATGGTGGAAAGCATAGAGCCTGAAATAAGCTCCTCACCCGTCGAGCCCTAGTGTCGCGTGTGGTGGACTTTAGGGGCTCAGTATCCAAAACCCAGCCAATCCACACCCTATTAGCACGCACCAAGATCGCTGAGAGTTGCTTCATCCTGCTCCTCAATCTCCTGGCCGCGAGATTCGCACAATTAATAGACACAACCCCGAGTCGACTCCGCCCCTTGGCACGATCGTGCGGTCAGCGCCGATCGATGAGGCCATTACCTACCGTGCCTCGGGCTGCTCCATGAGAATCAAATGCAAGCTAGCGGGACAGCCTCATGGACAGGGTATATACAAGCGCAGCCAGCACGCATTCACCCCTCCATCGACTCCTTACAGCAGCCGCCTGCAAATGAAGAGCAGCACGTACGACCCGACTGAAAAGGCCCCTGTTTCCCGTCAACAGCAGTGTCCCTTACCTGGGGACTCATCGCAGGGATATCCCGCATCCGAGTCATGGAATGATGCGAGCTCGGTCGCACCGCCTGCGTACGAGACGGTGAACGACAGTTCGGGGACGAACCCCTTACAGCGCTTGCCTCCGGCCAGCCTCACCTACCCACACTTCCAGCCCGCTACCCTCGTCAGCGTCAGCGAGAATCTTCAGAACGGATTCCCGCTCACGGTCCCTCCGTCTGCCACCATACCACACCCTTTCGCGCTGCACGACGTGCATGAGCAAGATTGGAAAGCGTTCTTGCTTGACGTCCAGGCGGCTGCGCCGTCGACGTCCAACTGCAAGTCGAGGTGTCCAGGGATGATGCTTATGATGATACCGGCTGCTGCGATCGGTGAGTTGTCTCGCCGGATTCATGTTGCAGTGGAGATGGTAACGGTTTCTTTTTTCGATTTCTAGGTACTGCAGGGGCTAGACGCAGGTGTAATAAGGCAAAGGAAGCTGACGGGCTCAATCATGTCCATGGTACAGTCGACAGCTGGAACAAAGTAAGCAAGACTCGATGACGCCCTCCTTCATAACACTGATAGAAATTGTTCTGCAGTACTTCTTCCATCCACGCCGCATGCATGTATCCCTCACACAAAACCGAGGCGGCGGTTCCGGACCCGACATTTCATCAGACCATGAGAGCAGCTCGGACAAGCCTGATGCAGGCGCATCAAACTCGCTGCTATCGAAGCGAAAGGAGCGAAGAGAGTCGGGAAGCACCCGTAGGACTGAACGGCCGCAGGAAATACAGGAAAAGCGTGCGTCGAGGAGGTCCCAGGGCGGAAAATGGCGCATTGTGGTCATGTATAGGACCGCAATGTGTGATTAAGCTACTCGTGTCATGACGATCTTTCGTCGACTTCCAGCTCATACAATGGACAGTAGGGTATTCTTAGTACGGCCAACGGGACATCATTTATGCTCTATAATGAATGTGGGATGTTCAATATGCCGAACAGCATGGCCTAAAGTACGCATTGTCTCACCCTGGACAGTGAGGACACATCGACGAGCAACTATCACGGGAATTCTGCGTTAAAAATATTATAAATTCGGGTACTACACGCGTATTGCATTATGGGGCGGCACAATTAGCCTGAAATATTCGCGACAATCTCGATCACTTTGTGTAGACTACACACGTATTGATTTAGCACTGACCAAGGGTATAGCACCGCGGCCACACCAGACGCGTCGCGACTCGCCACAAACGCGTCTTGTCACGATGTCACGCGTATATAACGCGTTTCCGTGACGTCTTCACCTAAGCCACCATACTACCCTTGCAGTCTCTCGCAGTCTCTCACCGGCCATTCTCTCATCTAAATGTCCCATCCATTTAAGTTTAATGATACACGGTGCACAGAGGACTTCTTTGGTTCCCAGGGGCTGCCGAGCGATGAAGTGTCTCCGGGGAGAAACCTTTGCAGCGACGATACACATTGGGATGGAGACACGGAGGGGATGTATCCTGCTCAGGTTGAGTACAAGTTGGTCTGCTATGTTCTGCATGCCTGGATACTCATGTATCATGCAGAATCATGGGATTTCTGAGGCTGTAGCTCGCCCACGACGACATCGTGAACGTAGGCCACCGTACCCACACACTCAATATTTCGAAGATGGGCAGCAAGCAGCAAGCGACGGCGGCTACCGAATGAATACGACGGACAGTGCTATGAATGCAGGCGTAGGAGCCGGTGGATTCAGCCAGACCGACAGCTCGCAGCGCTATGTATACTCCCATGGCCCACCATACGTACCTTCTCACATGGCATCCTATGCAGCGCAAGCCCAGAATACCTCCTCTCAGGCTCAGCATCCCGCAGGCAGTGCCTACGCACGCCGACTCGCTCGCAACCACCCGATGGCAGAAAGAATCGAGCCTGAAGTGAGCTCGTCGCCTGTCGAACCGTTTACGCAGGTGCAGCTGGAGCGCGCCAGGGCATGGGTGCGAGGAACCGTGACGCACTCCGATGCAACGGAGCATGTTATGCAGGAGGAGGTCGTCGGCGAAGCGACATGGTCAGAGGGTTCCGAGGATGCGGACGACGAGTTTGACGAATCTCAAGATGAAGATGACCTTGCGATGCGGCTTCAAAACGTGCACCTGAACGAGCCTGCGATTTACCATGCGATGGTCAGTACCCTAGGTAATAGTTTCGGAATCAGTTGGATAACGAGGCGCCGAACAGACGCCGCTCGGCGGACGCAGGTTTTGAGTGCTTGCTGCATCTATGAAGATATAATTGACCAAGGGTAAGTTTATGCCAGTGCGAATAACGCGCGAGGTACTCACAAGCTAATCAAAAGCAGATCATCAAGAATGAATCGACGGATCTCAACACGCGCCCGTGTGACACGCTCCATGAACGCAATTAGACGAAATCCGCACTTACCAGACGCCCACTCCTACCTCATCTCTTCCCGGCCTCAACCACAACACCCGCAACCGTTATTCCACCATCGGAGGAAGTCATCCGATGTTCCCATTGATCGCTCTATGCCAGACACGACGTGCACGTAACTTGTCCAAGTAAGGGGTGAAGGCAGCAGATCAAGCGTCCTGACAGTTGTAGATGGCGGAGGAGCAGCTACTGTAGTTTTAAAATTCTCTACGACACAAAGGATCTTGTATATCAGCGCCCCCAAAAATTTGACGATGGAATGATTGACCTACAGTAATGGCAGAGCTCGAGCATTCTGTCCATCAGTGACGGAGAATGCGCATATCTGACAGCGCCCTCGACAGCGCAACTTGAAGCTGGCTGCACAAAATGCAAAGGCAGTCGATCTGTGGCACTGCATACATCGCGACGAGCTTGACCCTGGTCGGTGACACGACGCAGGTTACTGCATGCAATCTTGAGATGCGGTCCCAAAGTCAAGAGGTAGGATTAGACGATGGTGGACACGACGGTCCCATTGCAGGCTACGACGTGCCAGACGTCGACAGAACGGTATGAAAGCAGGAGACGCGTTCAGAGAAATTTGCGCGCGATATCAGCGCGATACGTGGCACCCCACGTGGGTCCGCACCGGCCAACGTGCCCGGCCAATCGCAACATCAGTGATACTGATTGGTTTTTGTCGAAAACGCGAGCCGTTTGGTGCAGCGATACCTCCGTTGGTGCTGGTTCTCCGGAAACTTGCAGGCCTATGCTTTCGAATGGCACCCTTTGAGTTATCCCAGTATGGCACGGAGACCGAGCAGGAAGGGTGGCCAGAGAATTTGCTAGCCAGGGATCAGCAAGCAACAGCTTTTGAGAACAGTGCGGCATGACTGGGTTCCCTCCGGAGTGCAGGACCAGGACCTCCTCTAGATCAGATCCTCCCAGAGGCGTGAGGTAGGGTACGAGCGTGACGTTACGCGTTATGACTGACTTGTGACAAGCGCGTTTGATGTGACACGGACGCGAAGACGCGTGGGCGCTCCGAGCAAGTCACTGCTATCCTGGCGACTTGAGCTGTTTGAATCTGTGCCGTAAATTTCGATTGCAAGTCTCTGGCGTGCTCTGTGCTTCGCTTCAAGGACGGGCCCTGTCTTGCGCTCTGATGGTACAATAAATACTTAATTGCTCGCCACAAAGCCTTCATTGACTACAAGGCGACATCAAGTACCATGAAAGCCATTAATCGCCATCCGAAGTGCCCATCGTGTCGCGTCGACTCGCCTTCATCTGACGGCTCGAAACCACATCTGAACATTTCAGATGTGCAGTGGCACGACTAATCAAGCTAGCTACGCCCGGATAGATCGGCTGGATTGAACGCGGGACGCGCTGCTAATTATCTCCATTCGCGCCAACGGAATTAATCCCTTCCCATCTGCCCATGGTACATCCGGTATAACACGGGCACAAGGTACGTACGCAGCCATCGCTAGACCAACGCAGACAATGACCATCTTCGAGTCGCCCGCTCCTGCGCAATTCGTGCCTCCGCTGGACGATGTGACGCTGCCGCAGTTCATTTTGGACGATGTGCAACATAGACTGAGGCCGACAAGGCCGACTGGAACGCCATGTCTTATTGAAGAGGAGATTGGCCGGGAGCTGTTTTTGGAGGAGGTACGTTGCAAGACCAACTGGAGAGTGTCATGCTGATCAGTAGAGTGGTGAAGGTGCGGACACGGACGGATGCGTTTGCGAGGACTTTGAACGCAAAGTGGGGGATAGGTGCGTTCGATCCAGCAATTGCGTTGGTATCCCTGCTGACGTATAGTCGCCCGTTGACCATCCCGTTGGTGCTGAACAGGCAAAGATGATGTCGGTGCGTCCATTCATAGCAGACCCTTTGTATGCACGCGTTAACTTGCAAATCCACCAGTCGCACTCTGTTCACCGAATCATATCGGTATGTTGTGCCGCCACAAGGATGCGAATTTCCCTTACAATCGATACAGACTATCCCATCGCGATTTGGGCGGCGCACAGATTAGGCGCCATTGCTGCGTATGTACTCCATCTTGTGTCTTTTAGTCCAGGTTACCATATGAATCACACGCAGGTTGATAAGCCCTGCCTTGACATCCTCCGAGCTGGGTGAGCCCGCCATAACGCACAAGCATACCAATCACCGATAGCTGACTTTTTGGAAGTCTACCACCTCCAGATCGCACAGCCCTCCTTGCTCATCGCGCATGCAGACAACCTCACCACTGCGCTCGACGCAGCATCCTCTGTCGGCCTCCCGCCCTCCCGCGTGCTTGTCTTTGGCGAGCGTGATGGCCAGTACCAGTCGATGAATGCTCTCATCAGCCATGGCGGCTTGCTGCCGCCGATCGTTGAGTACACGATGGCCCCAGGGGAGGCGAGGGAGAAGATCGCCGTGCTGTGCTTCTCGTCCGGGACCACAGGCAAGCCGAAGGTCGGTCCTGTATGTCAAACGAGGTATCGCGGATTGTGGTTGACGAGTGGCTTGGATAGGCGGTGGCAGTGTCTCATTACAATATCATCTGCAATGTAATGCAGTGCGCGACTCACCTCCGCTTGGGCGACAACTCTATACCTTGGGACGAGCAGAGGTTCCGGCCAGGGGACAAGTGTGCTGCCGGTGCGTACGTCTAAGTTCACATTGCGGGATATGCTGAGACCTTTTCCAGTGCTCCCGTTGTACCGTGCGTGTCGCTGTGAAAAATGCTGCAGGCAGGTGCTGATATTGTACTCAGACATCTACGGTATAGTCTCTAATGTACGTAAAGCAGTCATTTAAGCTTCGACGTCGCTGACTCTTTCGAAGCTACATTTCTGTCTCTACTCTGGGGTACGTTTTGCCCGTCAGCTATCGAAAGTAGATTCAGAATATATCTACTTGTGCGTAGATGTCCGTCGTCATCGTCCAGAAATACAGCCACGAGGGCCTGCTGAGGAGCATCGAGCGTCTCCGTATCACACATCTATTGTGAGCGGCTATTCGCCTCCTCTGTCCGTCCCTGACTCACAATTATCTCCCTCAGCCTCGTTCCTCCACAGGTCCTTCTATTCTGCAAGGTTCGTCATGAACAAACATCAAGCTGGAATAACCCAGAGCTGATCGGCTTTCACAGAGCCCGGCCACAAAGAAGTACGACCTCTCTAGCGTGCGCTTCTGCATCGTCGCCGCGGCGCCGCTGACTGCGGAGTTGACGGCGCAGTTTCTGGAGGTGTTTCCGGACATCCAGCTCGGCCAGGGCTACGGTACGTATCTTGTCACAATGATTCTCGATGTGTCTCACGCAGTGCAGGTCTGACGGAGACATGTGCGGCGGTGACGTTGGTGCGTATGTCGCTCGGTGACCACCTGTACTGTACTGACGTATGTATGCAGTGGCCCATATCTCAGAAGGTCGGCACGCCAGGGAGCGCAGGCCAGCTCATCTCTGGTACGCAGGCGAAGGTTGTGAAGTCAGATGGTAGCCTTGCGGGCGTCGGGGAACCTGGCGAGCTGTACGTCAAGGGCGGGCAGGTCGTCCTTGGGTACTATCGCAATGAAGAAGCGTAAGTGCTTTGGCGGAACCCCATACGGGCTGTGGCTGATTCGTGGCAGTACGAAGGAGGCGTTCTCCCCGGATGGGTGAGGGTCCTCATTTTGCCGCACATCGACGATGTCCGCTGATCCCCTCTGCGAATCAGATGGTTCCGGACCGGCGATGAGGTGGTCTTCAAGGAGAACGGCGATGTCTTCATCACGGATCGCATTAAGGTGCGCCCATCCCGCGTTGCCCTGCTCGTCACACCTGACGCGCGAGATTGTAGGAGCTGATCAAGGTGAAGGGGTTCCAGGTCGCGCCGGCGGAGCTGGAGGGCCACCTGCTCGGGCACGCACACGTTGCGGACGTGGGCGTGATCGGCGTGCCGGACGCGTTCGCGGGGGAGCTCCCGCTTGCATTCGTCGTGCTGCAGCCCAAGATCGCGGCAAGGGTGCAGGCGGATGCGGCCTTCGCCACGGAAGTACAGGCGAGTATATTCAAGGTACGCTAAGAGCTCCCTCTGCGGTGAATGTTGCTGAATTGGGTGGGTGAAGCACGTCGCGGATGCGAAGACGCATTACAAGTGGCTCGCGGGTGGGATCGTGTTCATTGAGGCGATTCCGAAGAACCCGAGCGGGAAGATTTTGCGGAGGATGTTGAGGGAGCGGGCGAAGGCGCTGCGTGTGCCTGCGGTTCGTGCACGTCTTTAGATCGTGCGAGGTGCATGTTGCTGGGGCATATACGTTTCCGTTCGGATTAGATCGTTTTCGTACCTATATATTGGTCAGACCGGATGTACGATTCTATTCTTGATCATTACCAACTTGACACCTGCGGACCTACATGTCCCCATAAGCCGTCGTCCACAGCTCATTTAGCGTTTGAGGGACGATGACATACAATAATATAGCTTGCTGATAACAGGCGAATTGGCTAGCTTGTGGACTTGCAGTGGGCGTCTGCCGCATCCCTCCCATCGACAGCATTGGCGTCTTTTAACAGCTCACCGGCCTGTGGGCCTTTTGGTATATCCCGTTCCGTTACAACTTGCTACCGCTATTTTGCCGTGTCTATGAGGCATTAAACGGCTGTTTAGCATTACCAGCGTCTCTCCATATAGGAGACAGCTGTCAATGATAGCCTGCAAGTGTCGAGTTCCACATCCAGTGAGTGGTGACATGAAATTGCTTCGTTTTGGTGACATTTATCCGCCCTATGACCTGCGGAAACTATTCCAAGCTCGCAGCCAGAGTGCCTCCTCCTTCAACGGAACCTCCTGCGGGATATTCCTCATGAACCGCTGCACGTTCTGCACACCCGGCACAATCCCGTCCCCGCTGACCCACCACCGCTCGACCGCCTTCAGCATCCTCCTCTCGACTACGCGAAAAATAGGACTGTCACGCTCCCATACGCCGTCCGTCCACACCGTCAGCGGACCCACACGTTGCATTACGGTCTCCGAGACGCCCGCCTGGCGCACGCCCTGCTCGCTTGCCAACGTGTCGCGCTCCTTGCTCGCGTGCGGGGGACGCTGCGCGGGCCGCTGACGCGCCATGCGGTTCGCCATGATGACGTCGGTTAGGAGACGGTCGCCGACGACGATGAGCTGCTCGTCGGGCACAGGCGTGGGGAGCGAGCTGAAGTAGGCGCGGATGGCGGCGATGCATGAGTAGGACGGCTTGTAGGCGAGATGTCGCAGGACGGGCGCGTTGAGGTGGTAAGAGACGGACTCTGCCTGTGGGTCGGGTCGTGGGCATCGCGATAATTAGATGAGGGGAGAATGGTAGACGTACCTCGATCTCGCCGCCGTCGAGTCGCGAACCTGCGGAGTTGCTGACGATCAAGACATTATCCCTCCCGAATGTCTGTTTGCACTCCTCCCATGCTTCCTTGAGTTCGGGCACAAGGGTATCTTGGTGTGGTAGAGTCTGCTGGAGATGAGAAAGGCACGAGAGATTGCTCCACGGAAACGCACCAGGCAGTTGTCCTTGTCAAACACCGCTCCTCGGTATCCTGCACGGTAGAGCTCAGGGAAGTCGAGCTGGCGAATGTCTTTCTACACATTGCAGGCGCATAAGCTCCTTCACAAACTGAAACCGGCTTTCTTCTGACCTTTTATCACGAGCTGCGGGACGATGAGCCTTGGATATATCAGAAGTTGGAATGGGGCGAGGATGCCTGGTATATTCAATGGCATATTCTCCCCAAATGCCTATGACCAGCTGCTGGTACAGAATGCTGTTTTTGTGGCGACGTCGGTGAGGAGCGAGGGAGCGGCAGGAGCCCAGTGGCCTACCCAAATACGTACTGTGTCACGTGACTTACCTCAGCGTCGTCCGAAAGCTGAAGCCCGAGACCGAGAATTATAGCTTGCCGCATACGAGGATACCACTCTGCTTGCATTCCATCGGCTGGTCATAGGAAGGTGGTTTCTATACCTCTATGCTCGGTCTCCTCAGGACGAGGGTGACGGTATGCGCCGTCAGACCTTCGTTGACGAGGCCAATACCGACATGGCATCAATTCCGCCTCCGAGCACAAGTGCACTCGCATCGGCGACTCGCTACTGACTCACCATCCACACCACCACCATCAAATCTCCCTCCTATACCATCTGCAAAGCCCGTTGCAACAGAACCGCCAACCCCGAAGCCGTCTGTCATCTCCAAAATCCTCCCACCCTCGCTTGCAAAGACACAGAAGGCCACCTCATCCTTCCGCAAGATCGCTGCGCTCGCGAGGCCCGAGGCAAAGCCTCTGACGATCTCCGTAGGGCTGCTGGTCATCTCGTCCACTGTGTCTATGAGCATCCCCTTCACGATCGGGAAGCTGATCGACTTCTTCACGTCCTCTCAGCCGGTGCGTGGTCAATAACTCGATCAATATTCGGAATATATATCAGCACTACAGCAAATTCCTCTGGGACTCAGTCTGGGTCAAGCGTCGGTATTGTTGCTTTTGCTGTTTACGGTTGGAGCGGCTGCGAACGCAGGTCGCGCCATGCTCATGCGAATATCAGGTACGTCCGGGAGTTCGCGTGCAGTGTGCGGTGTAAGACGTGTCAATCGTGCACATAGGTCAACGGATCGTCGCTCGTCTGCGTGAGCGTATGTATGTTGCTTCCTTGAAACAGGAAGTCGAGTATGTGGAGCGCGGCGAGGGCGACGTTCTAAGCCGGCTCAGTGTGGACTCGAGTATTGTCGGTGAAAGGTGCGTTACCATTATTGCCGTATCAGACCGTCTTGTACATGCCAGACAATGCGCATATACTCATCTTGTCCAAAAAAAACTTGCATCTCGTTGTGTATGAACGCATGCTCGTCGTGCTTCTTATCCCTTGCCCTCACACTCACCGCAGAAAGCGGCTGAACTCATAACTTAGCCTGACGCAGAACCTCTCGGATGGCCTTCGCTCGGTGATCATGTCCTCAGCCGGATGTATGTCCTCCCGCTTTACGCATCACAGATTCACTACTGAAGGACTGCAGTGGGTGCGATGTTCTACATCTCGCCACAGCTGACGCTGCTCATGCTCACAATCGTCCCTCCCGTCTCGCTCGGTGTCGTAAGTACAGCTCTCGCGCTTTTGAACCAATCGGAGGAAGTGGGTTGGCTCATGTGAGCCTCGTTGCGGCGTAGGTGTTCTACGGAAGATACATCAAGAAGCTGTCGACCAGGACACAGGAGGCACTTGGCGAGATGACGAAGGTATGTGAATGCAAGCTGCATGCATCCCGCAAACATTGACGCGTCCCTCATTTGCACACCTACAGGTCGCCCAAGAGTCGCTTTCCGCCCTACGGACCGTGCAAGCTTTCAACGCTGTCCCGCAAGAGCATGAAAAGTTTCACACACGGGTAGACAAGGTCCTCGCGCTCGCGCGCAAAGAGGCGATTGCGAGCGGGATCTTCTTTGGCAGCACAGGCTGGAGCGGGAACGTCACGCTGCTGGGGTTGCTTGCATACGGTCAGTGTATAGGCACGCAGCTAGCACCATTAGCGCATTTGTAACCTGCTGTTGGCAACAGGTGGCACCCTGGTCTCTCAGGGAACGATATCGGTCGGGGACCTGACCAGCTTGCTACTATACACGGTCTACGTCGGGAGTGGTCTGCAGATGCTAACGTAACCAGTCCTCATTCCCTCCATACAACTCCGCACTGATGTACACCATCCCCAGGTCCTTCTTCGTATGTACCTTCATCCGAGCCCGCCTCCGCTGAAGCTCATGCATCACGTAGGCTTCCATCATGCGTGGCGTCGGCGCCGGCGAGCGCATCTTCGAGCTGCTCGACCGCGCGCCTGCGATCCCGCCTGACGTCGGGCTTGACGTCGACCCGGCGCGGCGTGGGCCCGTGCGCTTCGAAGGCATCTCGTTTCAGTATCCGACCCGGCCGGGCGTGCAGATCCTCAAGGACCTAGACCTAGAGATATCGGTCGGGGAGAGCGTTGCGATCGTGTGAGTGCGCGATGTTGACTGCTGACTCATGGTGAGATGAATCTGTGCCTGTGATGCCCTAGCGGCCGGAGCGGGAGCGGAAAGTCGTCGATCAACGCGCTGCTCATGCGATACTACGATCCGGTGAAGGGCAAAGTGACGTTTGACGGACAAGGTGCGCCGCTTGCTAATGGATCTGCGGGCAGCTCCTGACGGACGATATCGGGTAGACATCCGGGAGTTCAAACCCTCGTCGTGGCGAAGCATAATCGGCGTGGTGCCGCAGGATCCTGTGCTCTTCACAGGTACCATCGCTTCAAACATTGCTTACGGCAACGACACAGCCACGCGCGAGCAGATCGAGGCTGCGGCGCGCGAAGCTAACTGCGAGTTCGTATGGGGCATGCCGGATGGGTTCGACACCGAGAGTGCGTGATCCCGCCATCTACTTTGTCAACCACTGATATGCTCAATGTTGAACATACGGCAGTTGGCCGCCTGAGCCTCAGTGGCGGCCAGCGGCAGCGGCTGGCGATCGCACGGGCCCTGCTGAAGAAACCCGCGATCCTCGCACTGGACGAGGCGACGAGCTCGCTGGACGCAACGTCCGAGCATCGGGAAAGTGTCCTTCGTACTGCGCAAAGTTTAGCGATTCTGATGACACATTGCAGGTCAACGATGCGATTGATAAGATCCTCCGCTCAAGACAAACGACGTGCCTGATTGTTGCGCACCGGCTGTCGACTATCGCGCGCGCGGAGAAAATTGTGGTCCTCGAAGGTACGTGCGCGGTGCTTCGTACCGCGATGAGTGATGGCTGACGCGACGCTGCAGAGGGCCATGTCACGGAGATGGGCACGTACCGACAGCTGGTCAGTGCTTCTACGGCGTTGCAGTCTCTCGTAACTGACTGGGCATGACGTGCACACAGATCAACAACCCGGACTCACGGTTTCGCGTTTTGATGGCCGCCCAACTGAATGCTGCAGCTGGGGAATCGCCGGTGGCCCAGACCGAGGAAGCGGCAGAGGAGCACGAAGAGGACGAAGAAGAGGTTCGAGATGTCTCAGAGCCGCGGTCTCAGCCGTCCGCCCAGCTGTGAGCGCGAGGATGCCTACGTTGCGTGGACACTGACATGAAGCTCACGGAAGATGTATTCTATGGCCATCGAGTAATGCTGTATCTAGAATCTCAAGCAGAGTTCCGTGTACAGGTCCTGAAGCGCGACGGCAGTGATATATTCTAACGAGACAACGAACGGGTAATGGTCAGGCAGCTTTCTCGTGATGGCCCTGTGGAACATGCATCAGATCGGCCCCCCCCCTCACAGTCTTCTTCGCGGGTTCCTTGCGCATATTATTATGGAACTAATCGCTCTGGCGAGGCCCTTATGAGATATGGCTAGGGTACTCCGACTGTTATTACAATAGCAGCCACGTTCTAATGATTACCCAGACGACCGCGGCTAGCAGACACGGCGGCGGCAGAGCCAGACTTCAAGCTCAAGCTCAAGCTTGATACCGCCCTGCGACACGAGCAGGCAATTCAAAGCTCGAAGACGCGGAGTTGCAGACCGACGGTCGCGACTCCATGATTTCAGATGACGCAAGCAAGGATCGGGGATAGATACAACCTATATTCCAAACCAACTTCGCGCTTCCTATACACGCTGAAACTCACAGCCAAAGCTCCACCAACTCTTTATTCGCCGAATTGAGCCGTTCCCACCGCTTTCGTAGCTCCTGCCTGCGCATCACGACGCTATGTGGTTCTTGCAGGTATTCTTTGCACCGTCGCGTGCCCTCTGGACCCGTGATGCCGAGCTCTTTGAGCAAAATGCTTTCTAGTCGGCCGTCACGATCCAATCCGAGGACGAGCTCGTGATCGATTGCCATCGGGACGTAGTCCACGAAGCGCTTGTATGCCACTGTCGTCCAGGTGAGACCACGTAGGTATTGAAGAAGAGTAGAAACGCACCCTGAAAGTAGGCGTGCACGGACGCCATGATGTTCAGCGCCGGGTCATAAGGGTCAGGTGGAAGCAGCATCTGACAAACTGTTGACTTGATGCCGTGTATACCAAGATCATTTAACCGACCAAATGCGTGTCATTCGTAAAACTTGTTGTGTCACTTGGGCTCTCTTTATTATTTTCTTTGTATGCCTGTAGTTTGGAAACGAGAGGCCCATTACTGTCTATCTCGCGGTATTCTCTGTAGTGGGCGAGAAATTTGTCTCTATAATCCGAGTAATAACGCCCGTTCAGCGTGGCGGGCTGCTGTTCCAGTGCGAGCAACCACATAATCTTGTCAATCGTACATTCGCAACATTTCTTAATGTGGTCATTCACGACATCGCTGTAACTCGGTTATTCTCAAGCAATCGATAGCAAATAAAATAAAATAAACTGACGTGACGTGCTGCTGCAGACCGCCCTGCGAGAACTTGCTGAAGTGCTGCTAGATCAGTTTCTCGGTATATTGTGTCAATTCCTTTTCAACGGAATCAAAGAGGTTCCTCGTCGGCATGTTCCATTTCGCGGTGACGGCATTGATATGTTCTAATGAGACAACGAACGGGTAATGGTCAGGCAGCTCTCTCGTGATGGCTCTGTGGAACATACATCAGATCAGCCCCTGCGCAGTCGATCTAAATACTTGAGATATGCACTGTTGGGCGCGATGCATCACCTGATCGATGTATATTGCGTTCTTAGCGTCGCTCGGTGGCCCCTCGTTGGGCTCCTCATTTGATAGAAAGTCAGGTTGGAGGTAAGGCGTCCGCGATCCCGGTTTGCTGTTCAGAACGGAGACTGCTGATTGATCGGTGTCCCCAGAGCTTTCGTATGGTCTGAAATCCGGAGCGGTTGCTCTGATAGCTTTCTTGAACTGACCCTTCAATGGTCTGATGATTTGAAGAAGGCCTGTCTCTCCGACATGCCTCGCATATGCAGAGAGAGTTCGCGCGCAAAGTCAGATATCAGGCGCAGGACTTCCGCAAGCGAGTCATTCGAAGGTGGGCTTGGTAGTTGGCGCAAGGCATCCTCGGTATTTTGCAAAAGCCTCTGCAGCTCATGCTGCAATTCTGGGAGTCTTTTCCATGTATGTCAGCCTCGCATGCGATGCTTGGTAAGAACACATAGACACTACCGCTTCGCAATGAGATCGGAAAGAATAGTGCTCAGGCAGTCTGTCAAGTTACTCGTGCCTAGACGTTGCAGATACTCGGTGTCCAGGTCAGACCAAGGTTGGGTGGTTAGGAAATAGTCGCGTTCTTGCTGACGCGCCTCAGCCCAGGTGACGCCATTGGTGAGAGCCCGCGAATCCGGCTGTTTCACGGTAAACCAACCATTGTCTAGAACCTCGTACTCATTCTTGATGAATCGCATCCATCGGCCTTCCTCGCCAAGAGGAATCCCGTCGGGCTTTGTTAAAACCCCTATAGGCGAACGATCATCACTTATGCACATACAGAGGCGACTCAGCCACTCACCGATGATACGCCTGCCATCCGGGTCGTGTATCTTCGCCAAGTGGTGAGCATCTTGTTTCTCGAAGTCCACTAGAAAGAAGCGTCATCAGAATAAGCAATTGTATCGAAATGACTCGCGTACTTTCGCATGCGACAGTCAGAAGGATTATGCAGCTCTGTTTCGATATGTATGTAGTGACCAGATTCTTCACCAGGGCTATATCTGTCACACTGCTGCCCTTTCCAACACTGGAAATGAGTCCTATGATTGCAGTCTGAGAATGTGAAGATATTGACGATGCGATGACAGTACCTGGGAGGTCGCAGAACGACAGATCGGCGACGTCGTGGCCGCTGATCTGCAGTGATACGCAGTTCATTGAGAAAGACAGTTCACCATGTTGTGGGCCATTGCAAAAACCCAGTGAGAACGTTTTGGCGTCCATGCTAGGATTCAAGACAGCACGCTGTGCACGCCTGATTCTCTCCTCGACCTGAGCCTTGTCATAAATGGGATCGCCAAATTGCTCGTTTCGAGCTTGACCAAGGGGCTGGCCAAGCTCATCGGTGATGAAACGTAGAGATACAATGCATCGCCATGGCTCAGCGGAATATGAAAGCTTGCACTCTATCGGGCATCTGGAAACCAGCCCAAGGCGTCAACGTCAATATAGAGTCATTTAAATCGAGCTACCTAGTGCAGATGCCGTTCGCCCTGGGCAGAGTGATGCCAGAGATCGATTCGATGAGCGAGGACTTGCCGACGCTCTGCGAACCGATAACGGCGATCATAGGCAAGTCGATATCCCGCTGGACACTGCAATTTATGCACTGATTAGTTCACATAACGAGGCTGAACATACCAACGACTGTACCCAATGCTGTGGAGACGGTTTATAAGATCCAGCATCTTTCGTCGCCCAGATGACAAGACGGGATCAGATAATCCAATTCCACTCGGGGGAGTAGCAATATCGTTCGAAACGTCTCCTTTCGTGGGCACCGTAGTAGCGATGGACATTCAACGGCGGGAGGATGTAAACTGCGGAGCAGTTATCGCTAAAGGTGTCGCATTATATGATGTCTGGAGTGAAAGCGATAAGAGATTGTTGCGCAGCCAAGCTGCGCCTTTGCGAATTACAAGACCAGTTGGAAGAATGGCCATATGAAAGAGCAACGCAACGAGGCCAGTGAAATTTAGCCGTAGGTATATAAGGTGACATGTGACGGCGCCCTTCGCCGAGCTCCCCGCAAGGAAAGGATCAACCTTCGAAGGCGCTCGAGCGCCACCCCCAGCTTTTAGCGTATAGCGTATTCGGAGGCTCGCCACGTCTATGGTGCGTGCCACCTATTAGTCATCGAGATTATAACTCCAAGTTATGGGCCAAGGAGAACGGTGGGAGCGCTTGTCTATTCCACCAAAATGCTCGTAAGAGATGACAGAGTGACATACGAGCCGACGCATGACGTCCGATGAGGATTATGTTCCGCTGGACCAAATACTGGATTGAATGAAGACCGTAGAGACACAATTATACGCAGCAGCGGGGGGCGTCAAAAGCAGTCCTTTGTGGTGGCGAATTGTTGATGATTATGTACCAAAGGCCTTGGATTGTAACACTCGCAAACAAACACTTTGTGGCGTCTGAGTCAAGGCCTCTCCCTCCCGCAGTCGCAGGCTTGCAGTCTATGCGCAACGTCTAGCGCCATCTTGTGGCGCTTCCCCGTCTAACTTGACAATTTGTTATCAAAAAATCTCCTGCCGGCTGCTGGCTCGAGGTTTCCGTATGGATCCTTTCGAAGTCAGGCTGCAGTTTCTCTCACTTTTGAGAAAGCTGAATGCGTCAGTACAGCCTTGCTTGATATATGCATCAGATCCTCAATGACTCACGATGCAGCTCTCAACAGTCCATTCAAAAGGTTGTCGGATATGCATTGAAGTACTTTTCTGGCTGTGGAGAGGACCTCTGGGATTGCATCGTCGAGGAATGCCAGAAGGTAACGTGCCGTTTCTCCTGGTCTATGTTAACATCTCAACGCATTTAAGGGGTCCATAAACAATCGTATAAACATATTGTATCTTCTCGACTCGCTGTGTGAAAGCTCGCTTCTCGCGAAGTCGCACTCAGGGTCGACGGGCCAGGACGGGAGCCAGAACTCATTTTACCTCGACTATATTTCTCGTGATTTGGGCAAAATTGTCGACTACGTCGTCCCGGAGGGTAGACAAGGTCTTCCGAATCTCATGAGCACCAAGCAGGTATGTTAACCGCGCCACATTCCACAAGTTTGCGCTAACGGAGTTCGCTAGATCCTCGAGAGCTGGCGTACAAAACGTGTGCTCGATCCGCAAAAGGTTGATGACGTGATGGCAACGCTCGACTCACGGCGCACGTCCCTCGAACAGGAACAACAGACCCACTCCCACGCTCATCCCGACCCATCCAACCGTGCGGCCCCGCTTCCACGCGCCGAGGTCTTCAAGCGGATAGAGGAGGACAGAGAGCGGCACAAGCGCCTACGAGAGCGCCGCTGGGTCCAGCCCGTCGCGCATAATCCTCAAACACTCTTGCCACCACCACTCGCATCTTTTCTCCCCCTTGAAGATGAAGACCAATTGACGCTAGACATTGAGTTCGAGAACGACTGGGAGACGACGAGCGACTGGAACGAGGATGACGATGAGGCGGCAATTGAGGAGAACGAACTGTGTTTTCCTCCGACACCCGCAGGAGACGAAGAGCAGACCATGGACCTTTCTTGATCCGCACAATGTACGCCGCTGCATTGCGCTTTGTGCTTCTTGGCTTTGTAAATGATGCTATTTTCCATGTCCCGGTTATGAAGTAGATTGTACACGGCGGGGCTATTCGTCGTCAATTCAGAGCGATTTCGATCGAGGCTCTTCGTTCGGTGCTTTGACTTATTCGCTATACCGGCATCGCTCATCCCTATGACGGAACCATGTAGGCGCCCGAATCTTCACAAATGTCAAAACGTTTCGATATGACTGAACAATAAGCACAACGTCATTCGATGCGTATGCGCTTATTTTGGCAGAAAGTCAGGATTTGGGCTGAGAGCGTGTTTCTGTGATAGGAAGCCGATACCAAACAAGACTGTATGATAATTTTCTGGATCAGTTGCCTCCACGCTAGCTAGTAGGAGCTGATCAATTTGCATACTGCGCAAGTCGCGAGTGGTTTGAGACTCGGCGGTCGGATGCTTTCCCATCTATTGAGCGCGTCGGCAGTTCTGTGCTGCTAGGAACGATGCATTATTCACGACTATCTACCTTTCTGCTGTCCGAGTACTTTTGATCAAGAAATATACAATTGATCATCGTCTCAGCTGTGTGGCTTACAGGAAGATTCGGCGTGGAGATCAAGATAAGAGCCCTTTGATAATGTTGAGACCGGATCCATACGTATCGAACAACATAATAAGTTACGTCCAGCAATTGGCACGAAAATGAAATGGACAACAAAGCAAACTGTTTGGCCCTTGGATCACTCAATCCTCCCTTCGCCTTTTGCCACGCTTGCCATCTCTGTCGCGCAAACTTCAGTTCCATAATCCCAAGTACCATGCAAGGAGCAACCTACGCAAACACTTGGTTCTTCCTCTTCCGGCTCTCCTTCTTCAGAACGTTCCGATGCATCTTCCTCTTTGCAGCAGCCTCTGGGTTGGTGGTAACCTGCAGTGATCGAATGTGAGGTCAAACAGCGGATTGGCCGAGTTCGAGCACGAACCTGCAGCACGCGCGCGTTCCGCCGTTCTCTCCGGACACCCAGCACGCCTTGCCTAATGCTGTTGTAGACGTTCGCAAACTTGGTTGTGCCAACCTTGGTTTGCACGAGATCCTGGAGCTCGGTGGCCAGTGTCTTCAATTCGTCTACGAGAGGCGTTTCAGAAATGGTTAGAGGCCGTACATTAGAATCAAAACAGAGCAGATTGCGCAACGTCACTCACCCATCTGCGCGCCACGGATGGTGTCGTCTTCGATTATGCGATAGACGGGTGAGAGGATATGTACAAGGAAACGCTCCGTCTGCGTGGAGTCCATGTATGATACCATTGCCGCGAACCACTTTAACACAGATGTAGGTTGGTGAACCCAATTGTCCTAAAGAGACGTTGTGTAAACGTCAAGGAATGTGTCCATGTGGCGTCGACACTTACAGTACTGGACGACTTGTTCCTTCGTGTAATATGTGCATTCCTCACTTGGAAGGAAAGCTTGGAGAACAGCCAAGGAAGTGGATGTTTTCGGTCCTTAACACCGACTTCGCCCCCTTCCTGATCTTCCAGTCCATCCTCGTGTTCATCGGCAACGATCGCTTGCTCTGCGACATCATTTGTGTCCGTCTCCGGAACGGAGAGCATCTCGACTGCGCAGAAGCACTTCCCAACATAGAACAGATTCTTCACGATCTGCAGGCTAAGCGCTGCGTCCAGGTTTGGGCTGCGCAGCTGCATACAAAGCTTGGAAGCTACTTCCTCCATACCGGAGCGCGAGAATGGGGAGTTACTTGGAAGATCATTCCGCGGGGCGGAGACAGCAGTCGAAGAAAATAGCACGCCTAGTAGACGACAGGACGCAGTACGCACCCAAGCATGCGGAAAGACGAGATGCTCGATGACAGCAGGCCAATTGACTTTGCCTTGCTGAGTAGTCAGATCAGGGATCGCTCGCAATAGTTTACCAGATACGATGAGCGCATGATACGAAATCTGCCATTCCAAGTCGTCGTCCGCGACATCATCACCGTCCGCTTCAGCTAACGAGTCCAGCAGTTGTGCGCCATGTCTAAGAGCCTCATTGAGATCTTCAAGGATGAACGACACATGAGGAAAGATATCTTTTTGCAATAGATCGATGATGTTGCCGGATATTTGGAGTGAGACGCGCGCGAGCTGTGGTTGTGTGTACTTGATGGCCCAGACATGAAGATGTGATACGAGATCATTACGCTGAAAATCCGCAAGCCGCAGGAAGAGGCTCTTGATCAATTCGGAAGCCATTTCGCGACACTTCGGCGAATCATCGTTGGCGACAACCATGACCAGCGCAACGAACAGCAAATCGGAGTATTCGCGGATAAGGTTTACTTGGAATTTGGCGATGATAGCACTCAGGAGTTCCATCACCGACTTCCTACCACTTTCGTGCACATATGATAGGTTCTTCGCGAGGAGAGTCATCTGCTTCTGGAGTCGGCCCCTGCCCTGGGGATAGTCTAAGAGGAATTGTAGCAGCACGCCACGGCATGCTTCCTGCGCTTGAGGAGACTGGCTGGTGACCATGATTTCGGTAATTTTGTCCATGATGTCGTAGATCTCCGGAACAACGAACTTCCTCGCCACGATAGCGCGAAGCATGGTGAAAACAGCTGCTTGACGAGATGGCTCTTCCAGGTCGGGAGACAAGAGCTCGAGAAGGTATACTAAATCCTTCTCTTTGACTTGAGCATCTGATTGATCGCGAAGAATAGTAGCGAGAGACTTGAGCGCCATCTGCACCGCTTCTGATTCTGTCGTTCCCGCTTGCTTGATAATATCTATCATTTGGCGAATGAACACAGGCAGAGACTTAACGATGGATTTGAGGGGGCACTTGATTATGGCCGCCGCAGCCTTGAGGCCTGGGATTATCACCTGTATGTGTTCGGAATACAAGGTATTGCCAATTGTTGCCACCATCGGCTCTAGCCGAGCAATGACTTTCGGATCCTCGTAGTCAAAACGACTGCGACGATGCGCAGTGATAAACAAGTCGAGCCCAAAGCTCACGAACCTGTCCATGATATCAGTTGAGCATACTTACATTCAGAAAAATAGCTGACCTAAAGGAATTAACGGCGTAATGATCCATCTCAGAGTCGAATTTTCGCTTTGTCTGTACGATGGCATCATTGCGCTTGCCGCCTTTCCCTTTTTTCCGCACTTGAGGAGCCTCCTTGAGGAAGCGAGCGTTCTGACTGATCATAGTGTGACACAGAGCCAGCAGCTCGGTAGGAATAAGATGCTTGTTGGCATTTAATCCGTTGGAAACCCTGCGCAAGAGTTCGTCGACTTGTTGGAGCACTTTGAGAGACTCGGTCTCCTTTAAAACGTTTCGTATCGGCAGAAGAAGGCTGCTTATCTTAGCAGGGGTGATGAATTTCGCCATGATCATGAACGAATCAAGACCTTTCGCGGTAGACGCACGAACTTCTCGCATCTTGGTTTTAAACTCTTCTGCCTGGACGTCCTTTCCGGATTCGCCGAAGATGACCTCAGCCGAGACATGAGCGATATCACTAACGCAATTGTCCAACGTGTCGAATAGCGCAGCATGACTTCCATTGGTAACATGCACAAGGAGCGCGTGGATCACATAAGCCAAAACGTGAAGTTGCGGACCTCGTAGCAAGGCGGCTCGTAGCTCCTTGATAGCCGTTGACAAGTAAGATGGCCCCAAAATCACGGCTATACGACATAGAGTCTCCCTAGTGAGGTCCCTCGTCTCTTGAGACTTGCTGCGGAAGATTTGACTTAGGACGGTCAGTAGCCTAGCTATCTGTGGCTCGCGGGTCTCCCGGGGTAAATGCTTCGCGACCTGGATGACACCCACGGCGATCGGTATCCTCAGAGCGTCCTCAGTTTCATCACGCTTCTCTAAGTGTTGCAGGAGCCTTGGGAGGAGCCGATGGTTGACCGCATCTGCAATGCGCGAGATCATTTGGTCCTTGACCTTGACCGATGTGGATTCGGTTTCCTCATCGACAACGGTGTCCTCATGGTCTCCTCCCCTCTCCGGCTCCTCAGCTGTGTCAGGGACAACCTCTTCCATCTGGAAATGGAAATTGTTCAGGATAGCTACGAGCGCGCGGACGTATACCCGCTCAGACTCATCCTTAGCGCTAGATAGTTTCAGATAAGTCTGCGTGAGGGCATAATAAGCTCCCCAGTTGAGGTGCCGCGCCATCCGTCCGGTAGCCGTGATGGACTCGTTCACAAGAGTATGGTCTATCGACGCCTTAGCAACTATGAAATTGCCTATCAGAGGTACGAAGACCTCAGCAAGAGTTGTGCTTCGAAGATGACCCTCATCGCAGTAGTCAGCCAAGCGATGGATCGCACGGGTACGACGATGTAGTTGAACGTGGTGCACGTTGTTGAAGAAGTTCGCCTCCTCGTCTCCATTGGCCAATAGTCCCCGCATTTCTTGGAGGGCACTAATTTGCCCGCAGATTGATATCGCGTACGAGAGGACACCCAGAATCTCTGATCGGACCATTTCATTCCTTGATCGCAAGCCATTCTTGAGCCCAGGATATAGCGTCTTCGTGAACAAAGCCTCGAGTTCCGGGACATGTGCGGCGGCCACAGCAGATATGAAGCGTTTCATGGCTTGAGCAGCATTGTTTCGAATAGTCAGTTCTTCAGGATCCTGGATGAAATTGAGCATGTTATACAGGATCGGCAGCCATTCCCTAGACGTCAACGATCCGTGCAGCGTTTCGTTCAGATTATTGAACGCAGTCAACCTCCTATCGAAATCCGGCTCGTCAATTCGCTTCGTAGAGTAGGCATTCAGAGACTCCATGAGATCAGCCAGCTGTGCGACACTTGGCTCTAGATTGGCTAGACAACGAAACGCAGCTAGCAAAGATAAGCGCGCTTGTCGAGAACGGAGTGTCTGGAAGAGTTGAGCGAGCGCAGCGAATGTCTTCTCAAACGTGCGACTGCTAGCATCCGTGATATCAGGAATGAGAGGGAAGAGGCTACAAATAATTGTTAGCAGGTCCGCCTTGACCTTCTCTTGCACTTGCTTCGGCGGCTTGCGCAACAATGGGAAAAACAATTCCAGTAAAGTACTGGCCTGCTTCTCATCGGTGAGGTAGGGGGCGATCTGCGAAAGAATGGTGATCTGACGACGACCAAGAGTGTCAGAGACCGCCGCGATCCCTTTGCTGCGCTCGACTAGCAAAGAGATGTTCGTGAGTAGATGAGGGACATGTGACTTGAGTATCGCGTCCCGCAACTCCTCGAGCTCTGACGAGAGGTCCAATAACCGCTCGACGATATCGAAGACCCTCGAGATCACCGCTGGCTTGACGTTCGTTGCGATCAGACAATCGTACACCTTCGGCAGGGTACGATCGTCATATGCCACAAGGAATCTAGCGTGCTCCGCACGCAATGTCCACACATGAAACAGCTCCAGGAGCGCCGATGGCGCTTGCGTGTTCTCCGCGTCCAGCTTCTCCAGCCTGGGTGAGATGAACGCACGATACGATTCCGACATGTAAGGCGTGAAATCATAGGACACAGGAGAGCGGAAGAAGTCAGCGAAGCGCTTGATGCCTAGCTGTCGGATAGCCCGAGTGCTCTTCAAGGAGCCTTCAACGACGGCCTCGTCCTCGACCTCCTCTTCTTCTTCTGCTACATCGTCACTGGTCTCGGATTTGCGAGAGTCCAATCTGCGCTGGGCATTACTGAGCAGGTCGATGACGGCCTGCAGGAGCTGAGGCCATTTAGGGGTTAGGCGGGACCCGAGGTGCTTGAGAACGTCGCCAAGAAGGTTGAGGAAGCCAATTTGCTGCTTCTCAGTGACGCCATCGGATATGGCCTGGATTGTAAAATGCAATCCTTCCTCTGAGGCTTCAGTGGTGGGAGTGAGCGGTTGCAACATCAAGTCAACCAGCAAGCATAGTTCGTCATCAGCACAGCCTGCTAAGGCAGACAGGACAGCAGCGCGCTTGTCACCGCCGCGACTCCTGCCGCGTTTCTCCAACATCATCCCAAAAAGCAGCCTAGTGATCGCGTCGACCAACTCCGCCCGGTCAGCCTGCTCGATCTCAGCAATGCTCAATTGCGTAAGGTCTTCTCGCCACTTCGTGTCATCCAACAGCCCACGGAGCGTGTCCTCATGTGGTGCTAGATGTGGCGACTTGTACGTGAGCAAGCATGAAAGTGCCAGCCGCTGCAGGGGGCGGTCGGGATGCGAGAGGAGAGCGACATATATTGATCGTAGAGTTTCGGTGGAGCGTAGAGCCTTTGGGTTGACGAACTTCGAGAAGAGCGTGAGCCAGATGCTGAGCTTGTACCGCGGGAGCCTCGAGGATACTTCCGGTCCTGCGAGAGATAGGAAGTATGGTACCAAGTCGCGGCTGTGCTTCTCTGCTAAGGAGGAGCATTCGCATACAGTGGAAAGTACCTGAGTCTCGTAGGTAGCTGGATCGAACCGGTCTTCTGTGCTCTGCTCCTGTTTGCTTGGTCAACTTCTAAAACTGCACGAATGCAGAAGGTTAAACCTACCTGGATCAGAGCTCGCTTGGTAGCGTCGCCATTTAGCCACCTGGCAGAAGTGATACGAAACTTGTGTGCGCTCGGGTCTCTCCAAGACCGCTCATCCTCCCATACGTCGTCCTCCTCTTCGAGTAAGGAACGCCCCTTTATCCAGTCGGGGACGACTACATCTACTTGAAGGCGAGTCGCGGCCTGGACTTCTTGGAGCAAAAGGTGCCACACTAAGTCCCCGAAGCGTGAAGATAGAGCAGCTAAGGCTTGCGCCGCGGCGGACCATAGCGGTTGCAAGTTCACCTTGAGTTGTGCTAAATAGGAACAACGCATTAGAATGACTGCAGGAGAACGAGCATATCAGGGATAGTAGTGACCTATGAGCCAGCGGCAGCATATCTCAGCACCCAATTCGTCACCATCCTTGACGACCATTTGTAGTCTTCCAATCCTGAGGACACGCTCACGGGATCCCTGGACATCCAGAGACACTTCTTCAGCTTGAATAGAACGTTTGAGCACCTCGGCTGGGCCATCCGGCGAGGAGACCAGCGAGGAATTTAATAGTCGCAGAACATTGAGACGCAGTGAATGGGAGTGGGAAAGGAGCGAGTCACGAAGATGGATGTACAGGGCATCCAATGTTATTGCATGAGAAGTAGGGTCGCTGCCAGCCATCTGTTAGTCATTTTTATAGACGTATCTGCATTACACACATACCTGGTACGAATGAGCGCGACCAATCCACCAAGGGCTACTCCCGACCAATTCCATTTTTCCACAATCACCTGAGTCCACGATGATAGTGGTACGTCATTCGACCATTCTGCAGGTTGCCGCATAGAGAGAGACCGCATGCACACTCCAAGAACCCATGCCGAGTTTGCAAACGACTGCTCATACTCCTGGAGGGGATTCGGACTTTGCAGGGTTGCATCGATCACTCGGATGAGGATCGGCGATAAGGTAGGCATCAAGGATGACAATGAAAGCGCATCGTGAAGCAACAGAATCTGCGCAAGCAAGCTCAGACTCATCTACTCAATCACATTTGAAGCATACAAGCACACACTCACATTATCCTCCGTCTGCTCCCACCTCGCAAATGTTCTATCTGCCCATTCCTGCAATCTCTGCTTCCACACGACATCCACTCCCACCAATCGCTTCTCGCGATGCAGCGCAACAAGCAACTCCAGCGTCCTGTGTGGGTGGCTCTGCAGCAGCTCAGCGGTGTGCTTCATCACATGTGGCTGCGCAACCATTTTCCACCCGCCCCAGCCGAGGTCGGAAAGCGCACCGCAGAGCTCGAGCGCGAGCGCTGGCCGCTCCCAGGTGCGCTCGAGTACCTTGCGTCCGCTGGCCATCCAGAGCGCCATGTCGCCCGCAAGCAAAATAGAGGTGGTGAATTTGAGCACGGAAGAGTGCAGGGCGTCGGTGAGAGGTATTTTGTCAAACTCCGATAGCATGGTTAGGAGCTGCTTGTCTGGGGTGTGCGATGAGCAAGCGTTCTGGATTAATGGGGAGAGACTTACGCGTCATCCGGGAACCCTGGCGGACCGAGCATGCTACTGCGGCTACCTCGAGCATGCGCCGGAGACGTTCCTCATCTGCATCGCCAGATTCTGCCTTTGCACATTGCAAGAATTGTTCCAACACAACTTCCGCGACCGAAGAAAACTGTTCCGAATCCTTGCAATGATGGATGAGTGCAGTCATCACGCGGCGGATCAGCTTCAAAGACATCTCGGGCGTTCCACACTCGAGGTAGTACGAGAGTAGGGGCCTGAACAAGCTCGAAGTTGATGTATGCAGGGTTTGCGATACAGACTGCGATGTCGCGGTCAATCATGTAACTCATACGCATACATGCATGAGAACTTACCTTGCAAGCAGATACGTACACCCAAACACATGCATCCGCGAGGCTACTCTCCGCACTCGCGGCAATAAGCCGTACACAGTGCTCCCGGGTGGATGCCTTCAGTCGACGGAGAGCCGCACCCCACACTTCGGCCGTCGCCCGCTGTACCTCCGGGTCACAGCGGAGTAGCGTCTCACGAAAAACCGCCCACGCCTGATCAAGGAGCTCTGTATCGACCGCAGGGATGAGCACATATTTGAAGAGAGCGGAGAAGGTAGCTAGGAGCGCTGTGAGGGTAGGGGCGGATAGCGAACGGGGAAGGAGTTGGGTCAGGCGCAGTAGAACTGTCGGGTATTTTGGTGCAAGGGTTGTCCTCAGATCATGGGACAGCTTTTGGAAGAGACTGCAGTAGGATCTCTGTCAGGACTGGAGAACATTCAGACCGAGACTATACGCACTCGAGGAGAGCTTTCAACGCCTCATCGTCCGCACCGTCCAATGCCTCTAACCACAAGTCAATGACCGCTTCGCAATTATGCAGCAACAAGGGCATGGATGCCGATAGTGGGTCTGCGTGTCTCGCGAACTTGACGAATGCCGGTGATAGGTTGAGCTCGCGCCAATGATCTAGTGCTTCGTGGAAATGCGAGTCATTGTCGGCGATGACATCGTCAAACTTGCTCTGATTGAGTGCTGATGGTAAGTGTACCCCCCTCAGCGTGTCTTTGTAGGATTGATGCTGCAAAGTCGTGTCAAAATCTGAAGACCTGATGGCATACGCAGAGATGTACCTTGAACCGCTTCACAGGGCGCTCCTCCTCGTGTGGGTCCATAGCTCAAAAAAATCCAAAAGAAGAGCACCGGAAAGATTTTCAAAGCAGTAGGATGAGCAGACGACGCTGAAGGGACCACTTGCGCTCAAGTTAATGGTCAAAATTCTGGACAGGCACGTGGTCGCATTTGATGGATCTCAGATGTGATCAAGGTCTTCATTGCTTACCGTTCCGTCGGGTCCCTGCCAACGTCTTCCCACGCGCACGGCCGATCCTCCACTGCGCATACAGTCACTACGAGCGGCACGGCTCAATTGAGATGTTCTCAGCATGCCCGTCTTGCAAGGTATAGGAACTGTGGCATCAGTGTTGTTACGAAAGCCTGGACTGTTGCGCCTCGCAACGTACATTGTCACGTGTGATTTGTTCCGATTTCGACATCGGGCGCTGCCCACACGCTGCAGCTGTTTGACTGGCGGCACCTGTGCGAAATGTTCCTTCTCATCCCACGACATCCTCCACGCATTGCACAGCCTAACCACGGGAAAACTCGAGCCGGAAAACGCGAAGGTGCACTGACCTGAGGTATGTGGAGGGTCATCGCGTGAAGATCATTCGGCCATCGCTTAATCCAGCCAAATTACGACATGTGCCCGTGTAGCCAACCGACCGACAGAGTCCATTCCACTCGTTGCCTTCTGCCATTCGTTTCATACATACACTCTTTTACTAGGTGAGCAGACAGGCACTTTCATAGCTTCTGGAGCGTGCTAGAACAATTGCCTCGTACAAGCCAAAAGCCACCATGCCTAACGCTGTCGGAATCGCCATAGGCGTATCGATTGGCTTCATTGCCGTTTTGACCATAGTATCTGGCATCGTCCTGCACCGCCGGCGCCGAAATCCTCATGTTATTGCATCTGAGCCCCGCAAGGAAGTCCGGCGGAGCACGATCCTAGAACTTAGCCATCCAGCGTGCCGCGTCACGCCTTTTGGGTCACCAGAGGAAGATACACCGCGATTTAGTGCGTTGCAGAGTCTGTTTTCCTTCTAGTGGCACCGCTGAACATTACGACTCGCAGTGCATACGCCTGGCGCGAACATGCGCGTCGCGCACCGGCGGTCTGACGGCGGGTGGGAGTTCACCGAAATTCAGCCGGATAGCGCGTCGATGTTGGATTTTTCGCCATCGCGGGTGTCCCTCTCCGCGCACTCCACATTTAGTTTTCCTTCTAAGGACAAGTTGAAGTTGAAGCCAGGGGAACTCACGACTCAGGGATACGTCGAGCGAGAGCTTGACGTCGACGTGGAAGAGAACCCGCCTCCTGCCTATTCCCAGACAGAGGAGTCCTTCCTCAGTCACGTTGCGTAGAGGTCCGTAACTTCTCCGAAGCCAGTGAGACAGAGTTGTTGAGTATTTATAGATTCTAATCACTAATTTCGGACGGTTGATATGCTTTTCGATGAATAGCGTCGTTGTTATCCTCTGATTGGATATGTGTCCTTCGTTCGTCGCTGACTGTTGTACCCCTCTGATGAGTTTGTATTATCATGACGGACGTGTTCCTGTGGTGAGCGCTGGGCAGGCCAAACGATGACTACCGTGAGTCCCACCATCGGGTATCCCGTTCTGCCTGAGCATATTCAATCACCGTGTTTTCTATTGTGTCCTGCGTCGAACCATCTCGATGTTCTGATTTTGGATGATTGCTGGCAAATCGCTGCATTGCTGTTGCATCATAATCATTGAACCATCGCGTGACGTATCTACGGTCAGGCTTCTCTTGCTGCTTTTTTTGAGCTCACAGCAGCAACAGTTTGATGCAGTTCAACAATATTGTCTCCCGTAGGTAGACTATAAAATAGCTCATTCTTTGTTCTATGGCGAGGTTAGGAGCTAGGTAGTTCAGTCACGACCTTGTTGGAATCCTGCATCTGATTCGACAAATCGATATGCGCAGCGACCATCCCTCTTCCATCTGAATTTCGCATCAGTCTGAATACAAAATCGGCATCCGCTCGCAAAGGCGCCCTCAAATCTTTGAAGTTCGGACCGCGAACGACGCCTCATGCCGTGCCATGGCGACGATGGTGGTGGCACCGGCATCAAATCGTCAAATGATGCAGCTACGGCGCTGAAGAAACATAGGGGACCCAGTTGTCTCTGCGCGTTGACTGGATAGTGAAAGTAGGTGGAGCGTATCCTTCTCTTTGCGCCGCGGCTGCTATCTTATAGTAGCAGTATCACACCCTCTCGGATTCTCAAGTCGGGTGGGCGCGCGTCGTTGATCAGGCAATCGGCGACCCCAGTAGGAACTCTGAAGCATGCTATAGTTGGCCGCATGGGTCGCTGAGAGTCCGGTATACTACTCCGCGAACTATCTTAGGATACACTCTACTCACTGACATGCTTTTAATTTCAAAATTCAAGGTGCAGGCCGCATGAAGGCTTACCTGCACCGGGCTCGTCTCTGGCAGAAAGCATCAGCAAAATCGCCGCAAGCTTCGACGGGATCGGCATTCGTGGAGTCAAGCCCTTCGACCTCCCGAAGGTCTCCCCCTTTAACCCCGGTAAGTCCGCGATCAGCTGCCACCATGTCGTGGACACTGTCCTGTGGGAAATGCTTGGCATGAGTGGGCTGAATGGCTTGAGACTCTATTCGGAGTATCTGAGGTGAGGCTTGACGTCCGTCGTCACGATAATATGGAGAGGCAACCGACGTGTCTGTGGCGTTGTCGAAAGGTTGGCATGCTCGTGCCCTGCGCCCGATGCATAGTGATTGCAGGGCATGGGACGAGGGCAAGCCTGCGCGTTGCTTTGAGAAATATGGAACATTTACCGAGCGCTGTCCTTGCGAGCTACGAGCAAGCCACAGTGCGATGTAGCCCACGAGCCATAGCGAGAGACGACCACCGACATCGACTTGAATACTGCCCAGTACGAATGATGATATCTAAGGGTATGATTGAACTAAGCCGATAATGCCATGCGTTACGTGTCACTGCATCACACCACGTTCAAGTATGACCTGTGTATCCAGAGTATGCGGACGCCTGTAAGAGTGAGGATCGTGGTGTATGCGGTAGCACGCAAGCGGCCATGTATGATGCGTGCGTAGGATACGCATCGTAAGGTGTGGAGTATCAATAACAGATGTCGTTTGAGGTCAGGAAAGCTGCAGTACGATATGAAGAATCTGCGCAGACTCTGAGTGATCTTCCTTTTTCAGAAGTGGGATGTCGCCGAAGGCAACATTGGACCCCTCCACAAACGGACGGTCGCATGACGTTTAGGACATGCTAGAGCCAGGAAGATTCAATATTGAATTAAGTGGTTAAAGACGACACGTACTTCTGGCCTCGCCATTGCTCTATAATATCCCTCAATTGCATGAATCTCTCTCGTTCTGCTCTCCGATGAGCCTCATCGAGTTCTTGGAGTTCCGCTCTTGTATATGGCCTACGCATCATACTCCTGGCCATCATAACACGATCAAACTCGTCGGGTTCGTCGTCGTCGCGCCCTCGCTTAGCACCTCGTGCGTCACTGTCCGAATCTAGCTCTTTCTTCCTTTTTTCTTATTTTTTGCTTGCGGCATCTTCGTTCGCCTTGTCTCTATCACTACGAGTATGAATGGCCTCGTTCTGAGTGTAGCGGTCTTTCCAGTGCGCGTTGACGAACTCCACAAATTCCTTGTGAAAAAAGTACTTCATAATCACCGACGTGTACACCGCGTCGAAGAGGACGCGAGGAGGCCAGTCGTTTCGACCTACTGGGACCCTGATGGGTTGGTTATGCGGGTGACTCAAGCGATATACCGGGAGGGCGAAGGCAGGAGAAGGATCAAGTGTGCCACGGAAGTCGTGAAATATACATTTGGGCTGATCCGCATCCCATTCAGGGTTCATGTCATTGGAGGACATCGCCAAGTTCGGTGTCTGCCAACATGATATTAGCCACGTATGGGGACACTACAACACATCATCTAACCACAAGGAAACCAATGCCTCTGCTTCCGAGCTGTCTGTGTAACGACATGTAAAGATATAGTCCGTTCCGGCAATCGTCGATATCGTCAATGTGGTCGGCATTGTCAGGATCGCGACCGCGATTTCTCGTCAATACATCTATGTACTGCACCAGCACGAATAAGCGGCATTTGAAAGCAGTGTAACGCGCCACAAACCTCGTCTCCTTTGTTATGGCTGATTAGGTGTGACGCTTCACATAATTCCGCGGGCATTCGAGTCACCACGCAAGTGGCCCCATCCCGTTCTCGAAGTTTATCTCTGAAATCAGCCCTTCGCGTGCTGGTGGCACCTGTAGTGACGTGGGCGTTGGCGAGATCAGGATCGAGAGGGAAGGCTCGCTCGCGTTCCGCAGGATCGATGACGAAGCAAACGTTTGTGTCTCCTGGAGTGAGGTCAGCATCGTAGTCAACCTCCTCTCCGTCTTTCCAATACAGCATGCCAGTGGAACCAGCGATACAACCCGTTACAAAACGAATCCACTTGTATGGTTTTCTACAGAACTTGGTGATGTGGGCCTTGGGGATCTTGAGGCAGCGAATACAGCTCGATGAGTTGGGTTCGTTGTCCGCGTGTATTGCTTTAGAATTCTCCTTTGCAGATGGGGCAAAAATCTCAAGCCATACCATAAGTTTTCCTTGTACTTTGAGATCATTGTCCATGTTTAATACTCTTTGATGATGGAGGTCACGGACAGTCCTGCGCCACCGCCACTTCCGAGTCTGCGTGACACCCGAGACTGTCACGCAGAGTGGCGCGTAAAACAGCCAGTTAGTTACGGCAACCGTGACTGACCAGCTACAAACACGTCCGTATATGGTATATGCCGAACCTCGCGCCACCCGGCTTTGCGGTAGGACCTCTGTCACTGTCCATTAAAAGCGGAAAAGCGTGCTTCGGATTATGTAAGCGTCGAACCTGTGTAACTGGTTTGAGGTCATATATAGGTTAGAGGTTCGGCATATACCATATACGGACGTGTTTGTAGCTGGTCAGTCACGGTTGCCATAGTTAGTAACTGTGGGAGCAGCATTAGCTCACCGCCCCTTCCTCTCTCAGACGTTACTCGAGAATGACTACAAAAGAGTCACGAGTGGAAGGAATAGTCATGGTATGGATTGAAATCTTTCCCCCCTTCTCGCACGAGAACACTACGCAAGGCGACGCGGACGAGTCCAACTTCTCGTCAAGTTGCATTCAACTCCCATGCCTTCAGATTCCTAAGACCCACATCACCAACTTCTGCAGAAAACCGTACAAGTGGATTCGATTTATCACGGGTGCTGTCGCCGGGGCCGCAGGTATGCTGAAGTGGAAAGACGGAGAGGAGGTCGACTACAATGCTGAGCTCACTCCGGGAGACACGGATATCTACTTTTTCATTGACTCTGCAGAACGTGCACGGGCTTTTTCCGTCGATCCTGATCTTGCCAATGCCTACGTCACTTCAGGCGCCACCAGCACGCGAAGAGCTGAATTCGAAGACGAACTTCGAGAGCGGGATGGGGCCACTTGCGTGGTGACTCGAATGCCCGCGGAATTATGTGAAGCGTCACACCTAATCAGCCATAACAAAGGAGACGAGGTTTGTGGCGCGTTACACTGCTTTCAAATGCCGCTTATTCGTGCTGGTGCAGTACATAGATGTATTGACGAGAAATTGCGGTCGCGATCCTGACAATGCCGACCACATTGACGATATCGACGATTGCCGGAACGGACTATATCTTTACATGTCGTTACACAGACAGCGCGGAAGCAGAGACATTGGTTTCCTTGTGGTTAGATGATGTGTTGTAGTGTCCCCATACGTGGCTAATATCATGTTGGCAGACACCGAACTTGGCGATGTCCTCCAATGACATGAACCCTGAATGGGATGCAGATCAGCCCCAATGGGTATTCCACGACTTCCGTGGCACCCTTGATCCTTCTCCCGAGTTCTCCATCCCGGCATATGGCATGACTCATCCGCATAATCAACCCATCAGGATCCCGGAAGGTCGAAACGACTGGCCTCCTCGCGTCCTCTTCGACGCGGTGTACGCGTCGGTGATTATGAAGTACTTTTCTCACAAGGAATTTGTGGACTTCGTCAACGCGCATTGGAAAGACCGCTATAATCAGCGCGAGGTGACTGCTACGTGTAGTAACGGAGGCAAGGCGAAACGAGATGCCAAGAGAAGAGAGAAAAAGGCAACGAAAATTCGAGAGAAGTGAACGAGCGCCTAAGCCAAACTGTGAAGAGACCGAGCCTGACGAGTTCGATTACCTCCTGAGATTCAGGCAGTTAGTACGCAGACAGAAAATCAGGGTGGAACTGCAGGGACTCGAGGAAGCTCGGCACACAGCGGAAGAAGAGAAACGCCGCGAACTGGAGCATGTTGTAGGCAGTTGGCGGGATCGCATGTGAGCCTTCCTTCTGGATCTGTGTCGTATTGTAATGAATCGTCTCGTACCAGCGAGCCATGAACGTGAACATCCGCATATCACACGCAGCCTATTTCACGGCCACAAGACTGTTTACGGTATCTGTGATATCGGCTCAAGCCTCGTATACAATACACCAGATCTCGATTGCTGTAGACGATAGTCAGTCTACTGCTCGCTTTTGATATTTCCAGCCCTGGCCAACTTAATTACCTTTCTCGCCCGTTTGTGAGAACATGCACGGCCTCCACCTTGAGCTTTTGCTTTCTAGGTTGATTTTGGTGACTGCCTTCGCATCCGTCGAGTGCAGCACTTCGACAAGATGGTTTAAAGCCTGACCAACACGGTCTCACTCGGGGTCGAGCACGCTTTCGCGCAGACATACAGCACCATATACAGTCCGGCTAGCATGCTGACTTGGTGTGTGCGCCCTCTGTCCTGTGGCTGTTTTTGGGATGCTACCGTGCAGACGCCGCATATCCGTTGCAGGCAGATAGGCGACGGTCTGCTGTGATACACATGACTGAAACTCCGCTGCGGCGGTGATAATACACTCAACAACATCAAACGACTATTTCACATACAAAAGCCTGTAACAGTACTGTCATCTTGACGAAGAACAAGCTTGGACGTAAACACTAGAGCAGACCTCAACTTTCTTCCAAACTTTTTGTGCCACACAGGATGTTGAACAAAGGTTTGTGTTTGAGCACTGTACTGATTCAATCTTTGTTCCCAATTCACACCAGAAAGAAGGTTGACCTTTCTGCGAGACGAACACAGAGATAAGCAGGCAAGTAAAGTCAATTTTGGTGTTTACTGTCTACTAATCGATGCTTCAGACTGCCGAGTCGACGCTTCGATTCTGGGTATCAATCGGCGATCCCTTAAAGTTGCGATGAACTCATCGAACGTGAAACGCATGTCGACTACTTCCACTACGTTGCAAAGCAGCTATGAGGCTCGACATAGTACAAATTCGAGCAACTAATCTGGTGTATTTGGCGACCGCATTCCTTTCGTATATTGACGCCTCGGCATACCGACATGCGCAGCGGGCCAGAACATCTTCGAATCTCGAAATCTCGCACTGTGAGTCCAATTAGGGAGTCAGCAATGCTGCATACACTCGCAGAGGCGCCCTCGAGTCTTCAAAGAACGAAGCAAGCCGCATGTCCTGTCATGATGGCGATGGCGACGGCAGCGAGCGCTTGACGCCGCCATCCCAGCATTTCGCTTATTCGCATCAACCTAATACGCTCGCGGCGTAAAAGAACAAAATCCCGACTGTCTTGAGGCGTGGACTAGACGATGGCTGTGCTAGCGCGAGCAATGTAAACAGCTTTTCACGGACCTCGCTGCCTTGAAGCAACCGGACATGCGCCTCGTTCAAGCCCCAGAGCTTCTCAGCCGTTGTGGGCGCGCGACGATGCTTCTATGGCACGTAACGCTCGTTATTAAGGGAATTGGTAAGGCTTCTACCATGTGTATGGACTCCGAAGTCTGCTAAGGCAGGACTAACTTACTGCGAGTCAGTTATACGTCGTAAAGCATCCTAGGATGCACCGCGTGGTCCACGCGGTGTCCTGAACGTGTTGTGTCAAGGCCCTCGTTCGACCCAACAGGCCGACATATAAGAAGGCAGATCAAGCTCCATGGTTCTTTCAACCCTCGTCAAGTCCACTTTTCAACCTCTAGTCATATTAGCACTAACACAATGCTTGCTACCGATCCTCGCGTCCTCAATGGCGATCGTGCCATCACTGATGATGGCGCAGGGCTTGGAAACTCGTCATACTCATCAAGGCGCAGAGCGATGCTCGACACTGCGAGCAGTTTGTATGATACAGGGTAATCTTTTGTGGTCCTCTCGCACAACGCCGAGCTGATTTTCTACGCGGACATTAGCGTTACGATGGACATAGAGATCCCCATGATTGGGGTGCTTGGCATACAGAGCTCGGGAAAGTCTTCGCTCATCGAGTCCGCCTCGGGCATCACGCTCCCGCGCGCCAGTGGGACCTGCACCAGGTATAATTTCCGCCGTCGTGAATCACATTCCAATGCTCACTGACTCCTAAGGTGCCCGACTGAGTGTCGTCTACGTCAATCGTCCAATCCTTGGCAATGTACCGTATCCCTTCGATTCTCGACGAATGGCAATGGCGAGCCTATCCCGGTGCGCACCGAGGGATTCGGCGACACGATCTACAACAAGGATGACGTGGCGGAGAGGGTCAGCCGCGCTCAACGTGCGATCCTGCATCCCAGCAAAAACCCTGAGTCCTTCCTCGAGGAAGACGAGGAAGATGCTGGCAAGCCCGAGCTAACGTTCTCGAAGAACTGTATCGTGCTCGAAATCAGCGGGCCAAACGTACCTGACTTGTCTTTTGTGGATCTCCCTGGTGCGCGCAATTAACATGAATATGTATTGCGAAGAGGAGATTCTGATGCGTCTGGTCCAGGTATCATTTCGAGCGTTGGCAGCGGTGAAGATGCGCGCGACATTGAGTTGATCAAGGAGCTCGCATCCGACTTTGTGTCGAAGGATAACTGCATCATCCTTTTGACCATCGCCTGCGAGAGTGAGTTCTTCCCCCTCTATGAAGCGATCTACACTCACTTTCTTCGAAACAGCTGACTTTATGAACCAGGGCGCGTACCAGCTCGCAACGAAGTTTGATCCCCGGCACGAGCGCACTATCGGTACGTCTTCACATTCTCACCTAGTGAACACATCCTGACCTCGTCCGTTTGTCTCAGGGGTTCTGACGAAACCTGACAAGATCGACAGAGGCGATGAGGACACGTGGCTCCGGATTCTGAGGAACGAAGACCCCGAGCGACGCCTGAAGCACGGCTGGTACATGGTCAAGCAGCCTGATACGATGCAGCTGAGGATGGGCATCACTTGGGAGGAGGCTCGGCAAAGCGAGAAGAAGTTCTTCTTGTCCACCCAGCCATGGGCGGCGCAGTCGCTGTCCATCCAGAGGCACCTCGGAACGGAACTCTTGACGCAGCGATGCGGCGACGTCCTGTCCGATTTGATCGCCACAAAGTGGGTTTTATGTTTTTGTATTGCACTACACCGATTGATAGTCAGAATTCAGGCTCCCAGGGATCCGGGACACGATCTATAAAACTTTGCAACAGACGGAGGCACAGCTGAAGGAGCTGCCGGGAGAACCATCCAAAGACCCCGTTGGCGAGGTATACAAGCTCATCGGCAGGTTTTCCAAGGGCTTGTCGAGCTACCTCGAGGGAACTCCAGGCCCGACTGGCCTGCTACAGTTAATTCGGCCGAACCAGCAGGATTTTCGGAAGGCGATCCGCTCAACGGCACCGGACTTCAGGCCGTATGAGAGACCTGCTGATGGATCGGAACCAGAGGCAGGTGTGTCGCCGGACTTCCTCGCGAACGAGGAGATGCCGTATACCCCGCCCACTGCAAAACAGGCCATATATATCAACGAAGTCATGGAGCAAATTGCGCTGTACGTTTGGCAAAGGTTATTGAGCGACCCTGAAGTTGACGTTGTTTTCAGGGCGAGGACGCGCGAGTTGCCAGATTTCTTCCCCTTCGAGGTGATCGCGGAGTATGTTCACGCCATAGTCAGCAAGTGGCGAGAACCGACGCTGCAGCTCTTTGACAAGATTGAAAGTGTCCTCAATGGCAAGGTCAAAGAGTTCGTCAACGAGGAGTTTGCGCAGTATCCATTGTTGCTCAGTCAAGTCACGTAGGTGCCCTCCCCATTCCGCCCGATTGCAGGACGCTAATGTATGCGGCACCAAGACTTGTTCTCACAGAGCACATCTCGTCTTGTTCGGAGGTGGCAAAAGAGCGCCTTGATTGGCTTCTGGAGATCGAGCAGAGGCCACGAACTTGGAACGAACATTACTATCGCGACTACCGTGAAAAGTTTCTGACGCACTACAAGGGCTCGCGGCCAGAATATAGCAACATGCCTCTCTTGCAGAAGTTGAAGTCGCATGAAGCTGCACCTGACTCGGACTCGTCTCTGGCTGAGAGCATTAGCAAAATCACTGCAGGCTTCAGCGAGATCGGAATACATGGAGTCAAGCCTGCCGACTTGCCGAAGGTTCTGCCGTCTGACCCGTGCGAGGCCGCGATCAGCATCATGGCGAGCGTCCGTGCGTACTTCCAAGGTAAGCATTTCGTTTTATGTATCAGACCATGCGTCCTAAACGGTCCGGGGGTTCACTGTAGTGGCGTACAAGCGCTTCGCAGACAACGTCCCCAACGCAATCGATCACGAGCTGATCCTCGGGCTCAACCGCGAGCAGGCTGTGGTAGCGGTCCTGCGTGAGACCTTGGGAGTGGGCGGCCCAGACGGTTTCAGGCTATGCTCGGAATATGTGAAAGAGGATAGTGTGATCGCGTTGCGTCGAGAGGAGCTGAAGCACAAGAGGGATAGGCTGCTGAAGGCGCAAAAGGCGCTTTGGAACTTGCAAACTCCTATTATATGATGCTATTCCTGTGTACCGTAGATACATTGTTAGAATTGACAGATGTTTGCCATCATGATAGATAACCTGGGACTTTCGCAGATGTGCTCAGAGGATTCGCGTCAGTGGCGCATATGTAGTTGACTCGGTGTCCGCCGAAGCACTTGCCCACGCCACACCCACGTCCTGGATTCCCGCCACACCTCTGACTCTGTGCCACACATGGTCGAAATGCTCCATGTCGACCAGGAGCGCGAGCTCCCTCGTGTAAAGCCGCTTTTCATCCCACTGGCTGGCTGCAAGCTTCTTGAAACTACTGCGCGTTTTCCCAATATGCAGAGCGCCGGATTGTGGTCGGATCGCCACGGTAAGCACCGCGGATCAGCTCGCGAACGTTAAAGCGGCCGCTCGTGGGATGACTGTGCTTTGATACAGCTGCGTCCCTCGCGGCAGACACCAGCTTGTCGACCCCCCACCATGTCGCATTCTCCGTGTTCTCTCCATGGCGACTTCCTTACTCAAAGTCTCATCAAACGACTGCCTCCTCAGATCTCGTTGCATCAGTTCACTGACGAGGATGCAAAAGAAGTGCTTAACCTTATCGAAGAGCTCGCACCGAGCATGCTCGGTGTCGCGCTGCAGCTTTCCGAAGACGCAATCGTCGATGCCATAGCGTTCGCAACTGCAAGATCGGTATTCCTTGTCAGGATCACTTCCTGCGATGTTTCTCGCAATTATAATATCAAACGCCTTCTGCATCACGAAGACCATCCATTGGCTGGGTTCGGGATGGCGCAGCTGGCGTTGCTCTTATACCGCCACGGATTGTATTGCAGAGGCATTGATATCGGGACCGCATTGTCCGTAGGCAATGTCGCCTGGTCGCCCTCAAAGTGTGTAATCGAACGGCTTGAACGGTCAGTCAATCGGCACAAAGTCAACGAACTTTGGTATCGCACCAACAAGGAGAACGTCTGTCTTCGTGCCTGGCTTAGTGCAAAGTGAGCATGCTCGTATCCAGCTGATAGTGCCACTTCCATTGTCAACGTGACTAGCTTGGCCGACTGCGACAGTAACGTGGAACACGCATTGAAAGTCGACACTCGTCTGTTGGACAAGAAACAGCTGGACGTCCTCAGTCGCCTAGTTGTCAATATCTTCCTCTTGAATGCTAAGAAGCCGCTGGAGACGGAGAATGAGCACGAAGCGTTAGTGGAGACTGAAGATGGAAAACTCGAATTGCAAAACGCACGATTCAAGACGAGGGTCCGGAGAAGCGAAGAGGTGCGAGGACCCGCGCCATCCACAGCGCAGGAACATTCCTCATATTTCGTCTCAGACGTCCATTGTTATTCGCGATAAAAGCGGCAGAACCATATACGGGCAAGCGACCAAAGCATCAGGAAAGACCACTCATATTGCAATCTCACGAGGGACTTACCGCGGCGGAGTAGAGAGCATCCACGTAGTAGGCAGAGAAGAACCCACGAATGCCGAGCGGGCACGCGATGAGTTCATTCTTTGCCTCCTACGTGGCCAGGCCTACCTCGACTCTCGATTCATTGATGCTTTCTGGTTTCCTAATTCTCGTAAGGTTTATAGGATGGGACTGGAAGAGCTTGTTTCCAATTCGAAGCGGTTCGAACGTCGCAACCTCAATCCGTCCCAGACGAAGGTTGCTGACGCAATGATATCCGAACAAGAAGCTGTAGTCATTACACATGGTACCACTACAGCTAATTTTGTAATGTTGATGACTGAATTCTCCTGAAGGTCCTCCTGGCACAGGGAAAACAAAGACAATCTCCGCTGCCGTGGAGTTTTGGGATCAGTGTCGCGATCCGGTGTGGGTGATTGCACAATCGAACGTAGGCGTCAAGAACATAGCCGAGAGCTTCTTGAAGCACGACATCGACTTCAAGCTTCTCGTCTCGAAGGAGTTCCATTTTCAATGGTAAGTCCCTCGTCAACTGCATCTTTGGATGTACTAATTGAGTCATTCATTTTAGGCATGAGTACCTCTATGAACGTTTTGAAAACGTCCTCATTTGTTCGGACGACCTGTCCGGAAACAAGGACCCTGGAGCAGCAGAACGGTTGTTCGGAGGCTCAACCGTGGTTCTATGTACCCTCAGCATGTTGTCGAACCCAGTGTTGGAGGATTGCCTCATATTCAAGTTGATTCCTATGGAAAAACTCGTCATTGATGAGGCGTCCCAAATTGATGTATTCGAGTTCATGGTATGTGCGATCTGTGGAACGTTACAAGGTGTATATCTCACTTCATCCCAATGCTCAGCATCTTTTTCACAAGTTCAAAGAGTTGCAGAAGATATGCTTTTTTGGAGATCCCAAGCAACGTATGTCGTTCAACTGTTGGATCTGGATCGCTAACATCTCTGACCTACGAATCATAGTCCCTCCTTTCGGCAAGGAAACTGCACCTGATTTACAGACCGTTTTCGATCTCAAGCATCTTCAGCAGCATGCATATTTTCTTGATACGCAGTGTATGTACTTTAATTTGCCTTTTTTTTCATTTGCTTCGCATCTGCTCCTGCACGCGCTAGTGTCTAATTTATACTGACTTCCTTGATGACTTCCTCAGACCGTATGCCTGTGCCGCTTGGCAAATTCATTTCTCAGCAGTTCTACAACTCTAAGTTGAAATCGGTCCATTCCATGCAGGAAATGTTGTGTGTGGCCTTTGTCGATGTCCGCCGAGGTGAAGAGGAGCAGAAAGGTCGGAGCTGGGTGGTGAGTTTCATTGTCCTTGTTGTACTATGCGAAGAGGGTTGACAGTGCCCTGTCAGAACATGGAAGAGGTCCATGTTGTTGTAAACCTTGTCCGGCATCACTATCAAGATCTGGATTTTTGCATCATCACGCCCTACGACTCGCAGAGATCTGCCATCGCGAAGCAACTTCAGGCTGAAGAACTCCCTTGGCAATGCGTATACAATGTTGACAGCTTTCAGGGTGCGCTGACTGTGCTTCTGACACGTCTCATTTGCTGAACAATTTCATCTCTTGTGTGATAGGACACGAGAAGCCATACGTTATTGTATCCACGGTTCGATCGGAGAGGCCCGGATTCCTGAATTCACGGCAAAGAATGAACGTGATGCTGACGCGTTGCCAACGAGGCATGGTCATCGTCACCAGCAAGCGATTCCTGGAGAACGGTGGGAAGAACACCGTTATGGGCAAGATGATGCACTATTGGAAGCGGCGAAGGGGAGAAACCGTTTGGACGGATCCCTACATGATCATGAATCGCTTCGCCGAGTTGCCTGGCTCTGCTGCGAAGGAGACGACTGTGGCTCAGACTGCCGCTATCGCAACCGTTCCGCGACCTACGCTATCTGCAGCCTCCATGCGCAAACTGGAGGAAGCTATGCTCCAGCTCAATGTGTCTGCAGACTCTCCCAGGACCCAGTCAGCCGACGAAGATTTGCCACGTCGTGAGCGGACACCTGCGACCAACCATTATCCGAATTCGGCTCTTCGCAAGCCCATGCGTTCGTTGCCGACGTCCGAAATGCTGAACGTGGACACTGTGTTGCAGGAGACAGATAGGAAAACGGTGTTTAGAAAGAGGAAAGGAAAGCACGCTTTCGCTGGTTCAGGTCGGAAGGACCACAGATATAAATAGTAGTCTAGTAGGTTCCGCATTTCCGTACTCGTCTGACGAGGTCCATCCATTCTCCTTGCTCACTATGCGAGATATCTGACATACTGTGGTCTGCTCTTGCAGATTGTTGTACGAATGCCATGTCTTTGTTTGTACTGCGGAGCCATAAGTTGAATGGGTCCAGGGTCATGCCTATGATTGACATCCAGCGGCCGCAATACCAAACCTAGCTAATGCATGTCCTATCTGCACACATCGCCATATCATACTTCCTGAGCATCGCTTTGATGCATCGTTCTCCGGCCTCAACCGCGGCTGCGTGAATCGCACAGTGTACGGCAGCACGGAATAGCTTGAAAGCGGCACTGTTAGTCCGGTATGATCTAGCCTTCAGCGCCTAGAGGTGCACTCTAACGACGGCGTTGCTGGCTTCTCATGGGAATGAACGTGAGTTAAAGGGAACCGCCATCGCCTGATGCTCATTATCAGAATATGTATGAGTGCAGATAGCGTCTCATGCGATGCACTTCACACCCTCAGCGATCTTGTACAACTACCTGCGGCAAAAATGAACCCCCCACACGATCTGGCCTAAGAGGCTTCTCTCCCTGGTCAACGGTGCTACCCACCTTCCGAAGACCCGCTACAGGAATACTCGACATCATCGGATGATGCAAGCTCAGTCTCACCACCTGCGTACGAGGCTGTAAATCCAGAGATGGATGAAAATTCAGGCCAATGGTTGAATGGGAGTTCTGAAATGAACCCCCTCCAGCGGTCCCCGCCGACAAACCTCCGAACCTATCCGCCCTTCCAGCCTGCGGGTCTGATCAATATTAGCGAGAACCTCCAGGATGGATTCCCGCCCATACTGCCTCCGTCCGCCGCTCCATTCCATCCTTTCGCACTGCATGACGTGCGTGAGCAAGACTGGAAAATCTTCTTGCTCGATATCCAGGCGGCTGTGTCGTCGACGTCCAACAACAAGCCTCAGCCAGGCGAAGCAATTATGTCCATGATGGTGCCCATGGTCACTGCTATCCGTGAGTTGAACTGTTAGTTCAGGTTTGAAAGTTAACTGAGTAACCTCTCCGATACTACGTGTCTGCAGTCGGAATCAAACGCAGAGATAATCAAACGAATGAGGGGTTTAGTCACGTTCACAGCGTCATCGACAGCTGGAACAATGTAAGAAGAACAAAACGACGCGTGTATGCTTGGAGGTCAGTGATATATCATGCAGTACTTCTTTCATCGCCGTCGCATGCATGTGTCCCTCACACCGTAGGACGGCGCTGGCGCTTCAATATCTAACGTTCCACCAGATGATGAGAGCAGTTCGGACTCTAACAACAAGGGCACCTCTGGCTCAACGATGTCGAAGTAAATGCAACGAAGACAGGAGCACAGGGCTTAAAAAAAGCCCAACGCAGGCAGCAGAAACAGGAACGGCGTGCAGCGAGGAGGTCCATGGGCGGAAAATGGCGCCTGGTTGTTACGTACAGGGACTGCGATGGTCTTCCGGCTGCTGCCTGACTTCGCCCCTACTACTTACCCCGGAATACAGTGTGTTACTAGTATATCTCGGAGATAGTTCAGCAGAACTTCGGAGGACGGATTCAATTACATCGCAACCTAGAACAGGAAGAACACAGGCGCAAGTCGTTGAAAGCGCAGACAGCTCTTTGGGATATGCAAACTCCTTTTTGACGCGTACATACATTATTCGCAGATGTAGCTCTGCAAGCAAGCTGTTCCCATGCATCTATGAATATTACAAATGGCCATCGTTGACGCGGCGTTCGCTGAAGCGACTTCCCACGCCGCATTCGCGTATGTGTGCGCTATCCATTTATTGGGAGCAGTAAATGCCCGACTGGCTCTCAATTGCTGTTCAGTATCTTGCTCGTTTCCATAACAGTTTGAATTTAGACTACCGACTGTGGCTTGCGGTATCCCGGTTCGTTGTTCTCGCTGTCTGTCTGCTGAGCGCCGGATGGACTCATCGCTGCGGTGCCGAGCTTGAAGCTCGACGAATCATCGCAGGAATCCGAGACATGGTTTGATGCAGCCGCCTCGTGGGCCCAACATGCTTTGGTACAAAAGTGCAATATGTGTCGCCTGCTGCCGTGTCGACTCCCTCCATGTCGCGCTTTCTAACTGCTCGCAAGGACGACTTCCTTACTCAGGATCTCATCAACACCTTACCTTCCCAGATTTCGCTTTGTCAGTTCTCCGACAGTGATGCGGTTAAAGCGCCATGCCTTGTAGAGGAGCTCGCACCCATGACTTTGGGTGTGTCCCTGCAGCTTTCGGAGGATGCAAGCATCGATGCTATCGCGCTTGCTACTGTGAACTGTGTATATCTTATCACGGTTACCTGTAGTGATGCTTCACCAAATGCCTCTCTTCAGCGTCTCCTCCAACACGAAAGCTATCCACTGGCTGGGTTCGGAATGGAACAACTCGCGTTGCTGCTTTATCGCCACGGATCTGACTGCAGAGGCATCGACCTTGGTACCGCACTAGCGTCTGACGGAAGAGGGTCATGGTCGCCGTCAATGTCCGTCTACAAGCTATTAGATGATGAAGTCGACAGGCACAGAATCAATGAAGTTTGGTATCGCACCAACAGGGAGAACACTTGTCTCCGTGCCTGGTTCAGTGCAAAGTGAGCAATCTGATATTCAATTAAAACTAGTGCATTCATTATTGAATGGACAGCTTGGCCGCACGCGGTAGCAACATCGAGCATGCATTGAAAGTCGACACTCGTCGGTTGAACGAGGAACAGCTGGATGTCCTCGGTCGTCTACTTGTCAACGTCATCCTTTTGACTGCCCAGAAGCCGCTGGAGATGGAAAACGAGCACGAACGGTTAGTGAAGAATGAGTATGGACAACTCGAGTTGCAAAGCGCACGATTCAAGACGAGGGTCCGGAGGAGCGAAGAGGTGCGAGAACCCGCACTATTCACAGCGCAGGAACATCGTTCATACTTCGTCTCAGACGTCCATCGTTATTCGCGACAAAAGCGGCAGAACCATATACGGGCGAGCGACCAATGCGTCCGGAAAGACCACTCATATCGAGATCTCACGAGGGACTTACCGCGGCGAAGTAGAGAGCATCCACGTAGTAGGCAGAGAGGAGCCCACGAATGCCGAGCGTGCACGCGACGAGTTCATTCTTCGCCTGCTACGTGGTCAGGTCTACCTCGATTCTCGCTTCATCGATGTTTTCTGGTTTCCTGGTCCGAGTATTATGGCTGACGTTAGGCTAGCGAATACCTCAGCCTCAAATAGCCATCTCGAACATGTCCAACTAAATGAGTCTCAAAGAACGGTCACCAATGCAATGGTGCTTGGAAGCCAGTCTGTTATCATCACGCATGGTATATCACAGCTCTTTTATAACATTGGTTACTGATCCTCTATATAGGGCCTCCCGGCACTGGAAAGACGAAGACCATCTCAACAGCTGTGGAGTTCTGGGATCAGCGTGGTAGTCCAGTATGGGTGATTGCGCAGTCGAATGTAGGCGTAAAGAACATAGCCGAGAGCTTCTTCAAGCATGATATCAATTTCAAGCTTCTCGTTTCGAAGGAGTTCCATTTCGAATGGTAGGTCCCTCATCGACCACATCTATGCGTGCGCTCATTGGTTTGTGTATATTAGGCATGAGTACCTCTATGAGCGTTTTCAAGAGGTCCTCATTCGTTCGGACGACCTGTCCGGAAACAAGGACCCTGGAGCAGCAGAACGGTTGTTCGGAGGATGCTCCGTGGTTCTGTGTACCCTCAGCATGTTGTCGAACCCAGTGCTGGAGGATCGCCTCATATTCAAGTTAATTCCTATGGAGAAACTCATCGCTGATGAGGCGTCCCAAATTGATGTATTCGAGTTCATGGTATGTGCGACCTGTGGAACATTATAAGGTATATCTCACTTCTCCCGATGTTTAGCATCTTTTCCATAAGTTCAAAGAGTTGCGGAAGATATGCTTTTTTGGAGATCCCAAGCAACGTATGTCATTCAACTGTTGGAGCTGGATCGCTAACATCTCTAACCTATCAATTATAGTCCCTCCCTTCGGCAAGGAAGCGGCACCTGGTTTACAGACCGTTTTCGATCTCAAGCATCTTCGGCAGCATGCATACTTTCTTGATACCCAGTGTATGTTTTCATTTGTTTCCTATCCACTCCGGCCATGCTCTAGCATTTACCTTATACTGAATTCCTTGACTGTCTTCCCCAGACCGTATGCCTGTGCCGCTTGGCGACTTCATTTCTCAGCAGTTCTACAGCTCTAAGTTGAGATCGGCCCATTCCATTCAGGAAATGTCGTGTGTGGCCTTTGTCGATGTCCGGCGGGGTGAAGAGGAGCAGAAAGGCCGGAGCTGGGTGGTGAGTTTCATTGTCCTTATTGTACTATTCGAAGAGGGTCGACAGTGCTCTGTCAGAACATGGAGGAAGTCCATGTTGTAGCAAACCTTGTCCGGCATTACTATCGAAATCTGGATTTTTGCATCATCACGCCCTACGACTCACAGAGATCTGCCATCGCGAAGCAACTTCAGGCTGAAGAACTCCCTTGGCAATGCGTATACAACGTTGACAGCTTCCAGGGTACGCTGACTGTGGTTCTGGCGCGGCTCATTTGCTGAACGACTTTATCTCTTATGCGATAGGACACGAGAAGCCATACGTTATCGTGTCTACGGTTCGGACGGAGAGGCCTGGATTCCTGAATTCACGGCAAAGAATGAACGTGATGCTGACGCGTTGCCAACGAGGCATGGTGATTGTCACCAACAAGCGGTTCCTGGAGAACGGTGGGAAGGATACCGTTATGGGAGAGATGACACGTTATTGGATGCGGCGATGGGGCCAGCTCGTATGGACGGATCCCTATATGATCATGAATCGCTTCGCCGAGTTGCCAGGCTCTGCTACGAAGGACACGATTGTCACGGCCTCCACTGCGACGAGCGTTCGGCCTCCTACACTTTCTGCGGCATCGGTGCAAAACCTGGAGAGCGCTATGATGAAACTCAAGATTGTCGCACAGCCTCCACAGGCCAAGCTGACGCATGATCATTTCCCAGATCTGCCACGTCGCGAGCGGATGCCTCCCAATGACTCATATTCGAACTCGGCGCTCTACAAGCCCATGAGTTCTTTGCCGGTGCTCAAACCGCGGAAGGTGGAAACTGCGCCGCAGGCACCAACAGGGGTGGGGGGCGTATAGAAAGAAGAAAGAAGAGGACTTCTTCGTCGCTCCAGGCCGGAAGACGCGCAAGTAGGGTATGCGTTTCCGCAACTCTGCTGGCTTGGATGAGGTCTGTCTTTTCTCTCGGAGTACCGTGAGAGCTGTCTGACATGGATTCTCTATTCTTAGACCCCTTTGTATCTCGTTATCTAGATTGTTCTCTACGTTTCTTTGATTAAGGTGTTGGTTACCTATATTGATGGCGCATTAAAGCTGCTCAAGTCGTGCAAGGGCGTATGGGCACGAATAGTAGTACATGGTGTATATTCCTGTTGTGATCTCTGCAAGTGTATGCAGGTCAAACCTTTGCTTCATGTGTGTAGACAGCGAAAAATTTGATGTGATATTGTTGAATGTTTGATATTGAACGAGTGTTTGTGCCGATACGATCTCAGCATATGATTTCAACTCCGCGGTCATGACGACTCTGTTCAAGTCGCAACCCTCCCACCGATGTTTGTCCTACTACACTGAATTGTGCTGAGAATCTGCGCCTTTGGCCTTTCTTCACGACAATATTGAATCGTGATGTACTGATAGCTCTACTCGGCAAAGCTAAAGCGGCAACATCGCCGCTGTCCTCCTCCTCGACTCTCGCATAAGTCAGTGCCTCGTGATTCGTGAAGCCAATTTGTACTCACGTTTTCATGATCCAAGAGAACAATACGACAAATCCGATACATGTGTGTTTCCAACGCGCTATTCCCCATAAATCCCAAACGGATCTTAATCGGCTTCACGACTGCGTCTTCCACAAGTTTCCTGCCGTCTGCCTTTGACATCCTCTCGAATATTCATCGCGTTCCTCTCACAGACGCTGCTCTTGGCGCCCATAAGGTTTCCCCGCGTACGACCCATAATCTGGTCAATCCGCTTTCCAACTTGTCGAGTATTAACCAGGGTGGCTTGGCTATTTCTCCATTGGAGTCTCAGCTGCTACTCTCTCAAGTCCCAAGCTCGCAGTCAGTTCGCGATCAAGAATTAGCATGGGAGGCCAATTATCCACACGGCAGCATCAATCCAGCGAGCAAAGCGGCACCGCCAGGCGGCTTTGGGTTCTATCTGAGCGGTCCTGAATGGTTTGCTGGGCAGCTCAGAGAGGTGCCAAAAAGCCCTCAGGATGCACGGCCGATGGAAGTGATGATGGGATACGAAGTGATGTTTGAGAAAGGATGGGAATGGGGCCGTGGCGGAAAGCTGCCTGGAATCTGTGAGCATATTTGAATTTCCTTGCAGGCTGACTACCGAACGGCCATGTACTACACGATCAACAGATGGAGGTCCGGGTGATGCTGCGTACGGCTGCACTGGCGGAAGAAAGTCTGATTTAGAGCGATGTACATGCTTTGATCTGCGTCTCATGTGGAGGTTCGTATCGTTCCTGCTATTACTCCCAATCACGTTTCATGTATGCCTTATACTCACATCGCCGCCCTCCCATATCTCAGAGCGGATGGAATCGGTGAGCTATATGCATACCTCCCACCGTATTCGCCCAACACTGCCAGCATTCTCGCTGCCCCGCCGCGTTCTATGATCAACGCGGATTACGGCGCGTCCGTTGGGCGAGGAACGTGGCATCTCGATGTGGGACGGTGGATCGCCGTCGTCCAAAGAGTGAAGATGAATTCTGTGGGCAAGGAAGATGGTACGCTGTCATACTCTAGGCTTTCAGCTACCAAATGTGACGATGAGCGAGAGAAGCCAACGCGAATGATACATTCTTGGCCGGGGGTCTCTGTTTCATATTGTTTTTGCTTTGCATGAGCTGCAGCTGACACTCAAACTCACGATGCTATCCAGGCGAGATCCAAGTATTCATTGACGGAAAGTCCATGCTATGCCTCACTGGTCTCGTCATGCGCACCGCCGAATATCCAGACATGCGTGTCCAGGGGTTGCATTTCCAGACATTCTTTGGAGGTGCGTCTCCTGCCTATCTTACTATAATCCATATTTTGCCTCCACCGTCCGAGTCATCCGTTGACCTCACACGTCGGACGACTCCATCTCGTCATTGCGTCACCGTCACTAGGCGGCATGTGGTTACTGTTCATCATCGGATACGTGGATTTTTTCATATCTCTACTCCGATTATTGTGCCGTGCTCAAGCTCCATATCGACGCTGACTACGAACTGCGCTCGCGTGCAGGGCATACCGCTGAATGGGCATCGCCGAAGGATCAGAGGGCGTGGTTCAGGAGCGTGTCTGGCGCGATCCTGCGCCCGACGCTCGAGCCACCTGCTGGCCATGATGAACTGTGAGCTTGCGAGGTCGAAAAGTCAGTGATTGAATGCAAGCGATCATCACTCTCATGCATCAGCTGTCGCAACTTTATATTCGAAGTGAGCGTTTGTCAGATCTCGCCTTGACATTCACTTTAACTTGCTCTGATGTCCCGCAGGTTGATTGTTTGCCGGATTCCGTTGCTGCTTTTCATGAAAGGTTCACAACGGGTGCCAGTAGACAAACCCACGAACATAATTGTCATTGTCCAGGCTGTCAAGTACCTACGGATGTCTGGATCTAATCGGGGATTCCGACCGCGAACAACCGTTTGCCGCTATGTATCGCGAACCTCAAGCATTTGTGCTTGTCACGGTGGCCGTGCTGCTGGCTGCAGACCCCGTAACGCTCCCAGTCCCAGTGTTCGAGCTCACCCCGGTGTTCGACGCCGCGCTGCTCGTGTCTGTTCCGGAGCTCGTCGTCGGCACGCTGCTGCTGGTGCTGTGCCACACGGACGGCGTGATGGTTTTCTTGACGAAAATGTAGTCGGTGACGACGACGGTGTCGGTGGTTGTGGTTGTAGTCCACGTGACCGAGATGGGATAGCGCTTTTCGAGCGCAGCTGAGGAAAGCGTGCCGCGTGAGGACTAGATCTATGCGGCCGACGGTGAAAGTGGCTTACCGCCTTGGGCGCCCAGTGAGGATGCCAGTAGTAGGAGCAGTGCGGCGAGGGAGGTGAATTGAGTGTTGATGAACATTGTGGTGTGCGGGAGTGTGTCTCGTGTGTCCTTGGAGAGTGTAAAAGGGTGCGAGCGTCGGTGAGCTTCCGATGTCGTTCTGCGTCCTCATCGTGTTCCTTATATACCGCTCTGTCATGCTTGTCCGTATAGGCTCCGGTGTTCGTCGTGCAGATGCTCGAGAATGCAAGATACAGATCAGCCACCGTTGTGCCATGCATTATCCGGGGATAGCATGTTCATCGTTTCGCCCTCAGAATTCCGGAGCACATGTAGATTCGCGCGGTCCACATGGGGCTCTCAGGCGTTCTGCACCATATTCGCCGAGGAAGGCAACCATTTCATCGCACGGTGTTGCACATGCAGGTGTTTCCTTCCTCATTTGTCGTGACCACCCTTTGTCTTTGGACGAAAGAGCGGCGGCGAGTGCAACTCGTGTAACAAGGACCTCGATATGGAGATATTGCGGCTGTTGGCGGATCCTCCTGAATTACCGATGAACGCCGGTCATCCCCCATCAGGAGCAGCGCACCTGCCAATGGCGTGCGATCCCTGCCGTCTGATACCCCGGACCGATTTCTGGCGTGAATTGGTGATTTATCAGGTTGCCGCCACCTGTATTCCAATTTCATGGATTTGCCGTTCGTTGCGAATTTGATATCGATCGCCGGACGATGTCAGCACTGATGCTAAGTTACTCGATCCTAATTGCCTCTTCGTATCCGGTCATCCCGGCAATCTGGCGGATTCCTGCGTAGGGATTCCTCGAATGGCCACACGGTTGTAGCAGCGGCAACAACGAATATACCCCAAGGGGTCGTCGGACCGCAATGCGCTGTGGCGTTTAGTGACCGGCGCAAGTTGGTGATCTGTCGTCGACTCTCCGGGCATTATGCTTACCTCTGCAAGTCACCGGGAATCAATGTCATGTGCAACACCGGAGAAGGATACCTTGTATCAGGTGTGCAAGTCTTCGAAGAGAACACTGGTATGATGCTCCGTGGTGTAAGTGAAGGGTTGGTGGGCCACAGAAGGTGATTTGGATTCTGACCGGAAGTCGGCATCGTGCCGCGTTTGGCAAAACCATGCGGTCGGACCAATCTGCAATGTCAAGGACGCATGGCTGAGGCGTCCGGTGAATGCATGTCATTCCCCCGGTGGACGATCTCAGCTGTGCGAAGGACTAAACAATGAAGTCCATTTCGTTGCTATCGACAGCGGCCGCGTATATAAAGCAAGCACCCTGCAGAGCATATCAACTCCAAGCACACGTCCAAGTCTGTTCGACTATTCACTCCTACCTCTAGACCATCCTCATATCCTTGCGCGATGTACTCGATCATAAAGTTGTTGTCCGCGATTGCCGTCGTGGCTGTATGCGCCAACGTCGGTGCGCTCGGCAGTGAGTGATAGCCTCCTAACGCCTACCTTCTTCAGACAGTTGACGAATTTTATACATAGGACAGCCTGAGACCCCGATTCAGGAGACGCGCACGCGCACGTTAACGTCTTACACCACTGTGACCACCGACGTCACCATTACTATCGACGTCCCGCCTGAGCCTACGTTTACATTTCCTCACCATGTTTGACTATCGCAGATTGATGTGCAGTGGTCGGGATCTGAATGGGTGCGATGGACACTGGGTAGGCGATATGGTGGTAGTCGGTGCTGAGGGTACCGGTGGCTACAGAGTTTTGTCTGTGGCTGGTTGTACATAGCTTGTTGTCGTGCAGGAGCATTATAATCAAGCGTTAGTGCTTGCCATTTTGCACGTTCCCGTTGACGTATGTTCGGTCACGTCTAGACGAGGCTGAAGAGGCTCTGCGCTGACGATTGCGGTGTCTGAGGACGGCAGAATGCGACCTGTCAATGTGGTCTTCCGAGCTGACCGAGTGCTTTCCCGTGCAGCGCCAGATTCATACGATTCTGCGTCAACATTGCCAAGTGCATTTCTATTGGATACATGGGAGATGAGGACTGCTGCCACCAATTTTAGCAGGTGTCTTTCCTTATTTGTTCCATCGTTACCGTAGTGAACGCCGCGGTCTTCGATATCTCGATCGTCGCACCTCCCTTCTTCCTTCCTCAGTTCTTTCCTTGCGTTATAAGTTTGGTCATATTTGTTTTTATCTATCAGTCTTCCCTGTCACTGCCTTGCATATAAGGCTCCCTCCATCCTGGAAGGAGCCTCAACTTCCTTGCTTCAACTTTTACTGCATATTCAGAACGGGGTCGACGTTTGTACACGTGCTCGAGTTTTGTGCTAGGCGCGCTCATGTCGAATTCGTCCCCTTGCATTTGAAGTCCTTTCAACTTCATCTGGTTAAATCTCGAGTACATGGAAGCCGCAACGACGACACTATCATCGACCTAGATCACGGTCTCAAAAGTCGACGATTAGGCCAGCGCAACATTGAGTGAGCCGTGAACGAGTTTTCATTCTTTGACAGTGCCGGACTATATACACAGCGAGAGTCGGCATGACACGGGGTGATGACGGCAGCAAGCGCCAGAGCCGGAGCATAGAATAGGGTTAGGACGCTGTCTGCGCTATTTATACCCTCTCGCCATCGCTATCGCATCTCTCCTTCCCTTTCTCTCCTCCATTGCACAACCCCCGCAGACGATGACCTCCCTGACCGAGTCAGAGGCCAACACCCGGCCCATCCAGACGATCACCGCTACCAACCTCCCCGCACACTCCCAGGATGCTGGCTCAGTGACCAGCGCACTCAGAGCGCTCGTCGAGCACTCTGTTGAGCACGCCGACGTTCGCTACGGCATCCATGCAGAAATGCACAAGATACAGGACAACCCACTCGTGCACAAGCTCATTCCCGGCATCGAGAAGTTCGCGTCCGAGCACCATGTCGGCAATTTCGTGATAGACAGGAAGAACGGCACGCGCTTTTTCGAGAGCATGCCCATCTACCCGCGTCTGGGCATGCATCTGCTGTTCTATGGCGGTGAGCAGAAGAAGCTGCTGCAGAGCCGGGATATCGAGTCGGTCCTCGAGGAGCTGTCCATTCGGGTATGTGCATGCTTCTCGTGTCTCTTCTAGACGCTGGCGCGGCGGCCGTGTATGCATATTGGCAGGTGGTTTGTGACGTTCTTCCAGAACCTCATAACACACCTACCGATGCTCTTACACTCCTCCCCCCCTCCCCGCTCTGCCTTCACTTTCGCTCTCCTGCTGACCATCCCACACAGCAAGGCAAGATCTACGACTCACCCGAGTCCGTCAAGTCCATTCCTTCCTTCATCGCCACTTACTCCATCAGCACCGACGAACTCCTCCAGCCTGATGTAAGCAGGTACTCCTGCTTTAACGACTTTTTTCACCGGTGCGCCGCATCTCTTTCGCGTGTGCACCCATTCTGAATGGTTTCTCGCTTGCACAGTCGACTGAAGCCCGGCGCTCGTCCGGTGCAGAATGCCGACGTGCCTGGCGCGGTGTGCTCAGCCGCCGACTCCAGACTCGTTGTCTACCCGACCATAGACCTCGCGCGTAAGTTCTGGTGAGTCGCCTGCCCCTCCGCCTCCTCTCGTTTCCCCTTGCCTCCGGACTCTTTCTAACTCACTCTGTTTTCTGATTGCACAATACTGATCGTTTGTTGCAGGATCAAAGGCACACACTTTACGGTTCCACACCTACTCGGCGTGCCGCCCGAGTCGGAGGAGGCGCGCGCATTCGAGGGTGGCAGCCTCGCGAGCTTCCGGTGCGTTGAGTTCTCTTTCATGCTGTTATGCGTGGCTGACATGCGCGACATGCTCGTGCAGGCTCGCGCCGGCAGATTACCACCGGTTCCACAGTCCGATCGACGGGACCATCGGAGATGCGCGTGAGATCAAAGGAGAATACTACACTGGTGCGTGCCTGGTCTGCCTCACTTACAGGTGTGAGATTAACAGGATACTTCAGTGAACCCCCAAGCGGTGAACGAGCCGGGATTTGATGTGTTCACTGCGAACCATCGTGCGGTGCTGCATATGACACATGCTGCGAGCGGGAAGCCGGTCGCGTTTGTTGCGATTGGTGCGATGTTGGTGTGTGGACATCTCTTCTCTCCCGCTCTCCGTTCCTCCCAATCCTGCTCGTCTACTTGTGCTTCTCTGTTTCCCTATCCCCCATCAATCTGCCTATTGACTCTCCTCCCCAGGTAGGCTCCATCCGCTTCACCTGTCCCCCACAGGGCGGATCCGTCTCCCGCGGTGACGAGCTAGGCTACTTCGCATACGGGGGCAGCACAGTGGTCGTGCTCTTCCCGCCTGGCTTGATTGAGTTCGATCAGGACCTGCAGCACTTTAGCGCGGTGCCTGTCGAGGCATACATCAAGGTATGTGGTTGCTTTGGGCGTGTAGGGAGAACTAAGTTGACGGTGTGGGATGGGTAGGTCGGGGAGAGCGTCGGCAGGACGGTGCAGTGAACGTTGATGAGTGCGTCGAGTGCAAGGCAGGATGGATCGAGAAAAACCCGTCCAGCGGATATGGTATCCGGAGGATACCGCATGTAACACACGTGAGTGGGAGCGGACAGACTGGCAGAACAGCCGGGATGGAGGCGCTAACGAAAGAACTATGGTTACCTTGCTCATGTGGCGGTATACCAACTGATAGGCGTTACCTCGCGTGCTATGTATACCTAGCTCTTGTATCGATGAACTCCAATAATATGGTATGCTTGTACTCTCACGCGGGTATCATAGATCTACAGGGGGTACTCGACGCCGCCAAGAGCCTTCAATCATTCACATCACAACCAATCATGGTCCGTCCAACTCCCGCGATCTTTCCCGTTTGTGTGCGAGCGAGCTCGGCATGCTTGATTGGCGGTGGATTGGCGCTCTGTGTTGTGCAGAATCGTGCCTACGGGCCTCGAAGTAGCTTTGGCTTCCGATGGCCGGAAGATCAGTCGTGAAATGTTCCTTAGAGAACCCAAAACCAGGGTGGATGCCTTGCGTTATCGAGCGATCGAGGGTAGTTTGACTTTGGGCGAAAAAGGTAATTGCGGCACGGACGTGACTGGGCTTGCACCTATTGATGAGCGATAGGTTGCTGAATCTTCCTTGAGTCAATGTGAGTGGCGTTCTGGTCTGATATGTCGCATGTGGTGCTGAAGTGGATACTTCAGGTACATACACCTTGGTTGGAGAATATATGTGGTGCGAGCTGGATTGCATGATCGAGCCGAATGTTAGAGAGGAGTTGGTGAGCGAGTTCCTATCGTGTGACACACGGTTGATAAGACACATAGTTTGCTTTCGTTTATTCTCACATATCAATGAAGGCCAGGCACGGCTACATGAACGCTCAGTTCAACCATTTCTACTCCCCTTTCCTAAACTCTCCATTGACAATCCTAGTCGTACTCCATAGGTCCGTTATCCATGCTTCCAGCTCCATGAATGTTGTCAACGAAAGCCAGGCAAGGCTACATGAACGCTCGATTCAACCATTTCTATTCCTTTTTCCTAAAATACCCATCGACAGTTCTAATCGTACTCCATAGATCTGTTATCCATGTTTTCAGCTCCACGAATGTTGTCGTCAATGCTCTTCCGCTGTTCTGACTGCTTCATCTGATCCGTCAAATATTTCTCTGTATTGAGGGTGCAAGGCTCGCGCAATGCTCTGTTGGACCGCCACAACGTCGACGGATTCGCGAAGAAAATGCGTATACTACCCATGGGCCATCAGACTGGATGGCGAGTCCGGAGTTGATGCATCCACGGTTGGTGAGCTCCTGCAAAGGGATAGCAGGGGGCAAACCGATAGTACACAAATGAAAGATGGTGTATTCGGCAAGGACGCGAGCTCGGAGATGGTGCTACTACTCTCAGGTGCTGCGGTGCATGTTACCTAACGGATATCGTGAACAACTCTTGAAGTTGTTTATTGGCCTGCCGTTACCTTGACACCACCGTTTCACGACATGATGTGGTCATGCGAGGACAAACGGGACGACGATGCGGAAGACACGAGACCTCTGTGGAGTCAGCGCCAGCCGTGGAGTCCTGTGCCTCACACTGCTTTAGCGAATTAGCGATCGCCACTATTCCTCCCATGCATATGCACGTCAAGGTTCGTCTCCACATTGGACTGCTGCGTCCTCTTGGAGAATGCGTTCAGTATGTTCGTGTATATTCACGCAGTGAAGAAGTCAAACACGCCGTCACAACAGACATAACTGCGAACAACGTGCCGAGTATCACGAACTGCCCAGGAGACAAAGTTCAATCCAAATGTATCCCAGAGATGTTAAAAACTAAGCAAAGCAGCCATTTGCTGGCGATGGCGCACCTTCACCCATCAGATACCTGATATTTAAGCGCTACTCCATTCATCAACGAGCAACTTCATTCTTCCGTCGGTACCAGGCATGCCTTCCGCCTTCCGTCCTGTTCCTCAAGTCTCCACCAAGTCTGCTTGTAGGGACCATCCACATCCTCCCCGGAAGCTTTCTGAGAATTGGAGGCACTCTGCCGCACACCCAGATAGGTCAGTGTCGGGAGCGACGCGGCAGCTTTGAGAATTGCACGGAGATACTTCTTCGGAACGCTCGACCATTGTGATGGTTTCCTGTAACGGACTCCCTCACCAGCTATCTTATAGTGTAGCTCGAGCCTCTCAAGCTGTAGAGGTAGAAATGTCCGCAGCGCCGACATCTGATGCATCAAAGAAAGACGGACAGCATGAGACGGAGGGAGGATTCCTTTAGAACCACATCTGCTTACCATCCGTTTCTCGATGACCCAATCAGTACGCCGAGGAGGACGGCATTCTACGGAGAGATTGAAAAGTCTTCTGTATTGATTCTTGGGCATTGTGACTTCTGCCACCACCTTTGACATGGACCGGTCCAAGCACCGCGGGATGGAAAGTATGAGATGGCAAATAGGCCCCACGACGTGGCTACAGAGGTCACCGAACCAGTGGTCGGTGTGCATCGTCTTAAGACGGTTCCATTGAGACGTATATCGGCACGGCACGGAGAGGTTCGTGCAAAATTGCAGATGAAGATCGCACATCTGATAGATCTCGGCTACCCTCACTTCAGGGAATGCATGAACTAGAGATACAACTCAAAAATGGCACGAGGAGAGGATGAGGTGTTTTACGGTCAAGGACATGGGGGAATCGTCGATTGGGATGTCGTCTCGCATATCATCTGATAGAGTGACAGAGCGAAATTCAAGGGTATGGAGATGAGGGAGTGATGAAATGACAGAAAGCAGTGAATGAAGGCCCTCCCTGCTCTCGTCGATGTCAACCAGACGCAACGTACGCAGGTTGTTAGATATGTGTCGAAGCAACTTTGTGGATGACTGTACCAGCTCAACATGCTGTAGAGCGGAGGAATTATGGAGGTCAAGAGCAAGGGGAGGATGTTTAAAAATCATCATGTCCAAGCTGTGCACTGATAGCGATCGCAAAGCAGGGGGCGCCGCTGAGAAGACGAGCCAAACATTCTGCCCACATGGTAACCGCAGCAGAGTTTCCGTAATGCGATAGAAGTGGGTCTTCAGGTTTCGGTAATTTCGCGGAGCGAATGTAGGCCAATCTCGCAGGATCGGCGAAGATGAAGTCGCAGAACGCAACGAATTTGCGCAGTGTAAACGTTTCAGGATTGTAATCTCTGAGTGCAGATCGCAATCCGGCGTCCCTCATGGACTGCATGCGACAGACAGAGAGAGTGCATCCTTGACTGAGAGGTTGTCGGCAATGATCTGGAGGGTATCAGGGTCGAGGTGTGTCAGAGACATCTGTCCTTCTTGACTGCTGCCCGCGAACCCTTCAAGCTTGAATTTGGTACGTCTTGAGTAAATATTCATCTTCGAGAGTTGTGCGGGCTTTGGATGAAATCCTGTGAATGGCAAGAACTGGAGGGATACGGGAGGCAGTAGAGGTGACCAGGCATCGATAGGCGCTGGCGATGGCGGCAGGTTGGCGCTAAGTTTTGGCACTCCGCTCATACGGCGTGAATGTGAGCGTCGACCCGTGAAATCCTGCGACGGTCCCAATATTATTTCGTTGAAACGTCGTTAATTCATTGGCCGAGACATCGATGCATGTGATGGCGCTTTTGCTCAACTTCGCTCGCATCTCCGCTTCTATATTGAAGGAGAAACAACACTCGGACGTGACTTTCGCCTTATCAACCCCCATACACGTCCAAAAACTCTACTTGAGCAAAGCTTCTTCCAATGTTTATGCTGGCGTCGGGTTCTACATCTAGCATTATTTGCAGCAGATATGACTGGGAACAATGTGCCGAGTATCATGAACCGCCCAGCAGACAAAGGTCGGTCCAACTGTAGCCCAGAGATGCCGTTGAAAACTAAACAAAGCAGCCATTTTCCGACGATGGCGCACATCCGCCCACGGATACCTGATATTTAAGCACTACCCCATTCATCAACGAGCAACTTCCATTCTTCCATCGGTACAAGGCAAGCCTCTCGCCTTCCATCCTGTTCCTCAAACCTCCACCAAGTCTGCTTGTAGGGACCATCCACATCCTCCCCGGAAGCTCTCTGAGGATTGGAGGCTCTCTGCCGCACACCCAGATAGGTCAGTGTAGGCAGCGACTCCGCAGCTTTGAGAATTGCACAGAGATACTTCTTCAGAATGTCCGGCCGTTGTGATGGTTCCCTGTGAGGGATTCCCCCACTGGCTATCTTATAGTGTAGCTCGAGCCTCTCGAGCTGTAGAGGTAGAAGTGTCTGGAGCGCTGACGTCTGAGGCAGCAAAGAAAGACGGACAGCATGAGACGGAGGAAGGATTCCTTCATAACCACGTCTGCTTACCATCCGCTCCTCGATAACCCGGTCGGTACGCCGAGGAGGACAGCATTCTACAGAGAGATTGAAAAGTTCTCTGTACTGATGCTGGGGTATTGTGACCTCTGCCTCCACCCTTGACACGGACTGATCCCAGTATCGCGTGATGGAAAGTATGAGGTGGCGAATAGGCCCGACGACGTGGTTACAGCCGGCACCAAACACGATGTCGGTATGCATCATCTTGAGACGATTCCATTGAGACCTATATCGGCACGGCGCGGAAAGGTTCGTGCAAGACAGCAGATGACGATCGCGCATCTCATAGATCTCGGCTACCCTCACGTCAGGGAATGCATGGGCTAAAGATATAAGGGATAGTTGGCATGACCAGAGGATGAGGTGTTTTACAGTCGAGGATACCCGGGGAGGGTAGATTGGGATCTCGTCTCGCGTATGATCTGATAGGATGACAAAGCGCAATTCAAGGGTGTGCAGATGAGGGAGTGATGAAGTGGCAGAAAGCAGTGAATAAAGGCCCTCCCTGCTCTCGCAGATCTCTTCCAGACGCAACGTGCATAGATTGTTTGGTATATGTCGAAGTGACTGAGCGGATAACTGCGCCAGCTCAATGTGCTGTAGAGCGGAGCAATTACGAAGGTCAAGAGCAAGGGGAGGATGTTTAGAAATCATCATATCCAAGCTGTGCATTGATAGCGATCGCAAAGCAGGGGCGCCACTGAGAAGACGAGCTAAAGATTTTGCCCACATGGTGGCTGCAGCAGAAAAGCGGTGTTGCGATAAGTGTGAATATCTGGTTTCCGGCAACTTCGCGGAGCGAATATAGGACAATCTCGCAGGATCGGCGAAGATGAAGTTGCAGAACGCAACGAATTTGCGCGGTGAAAACGTTTCAGGATTGTAATTTCTGAGCGCAGATCGCAATCCTAAATTCCTCAGGGACCAGCATGCGACAGACAGGGAGAGCGCATCTTTGACTGAGAGGTTATCGGCAATGATCTGGAGGGCATCAGGATCGAGGTGTGTCAGAGACACCTGTCCTTGTTGACCGCTGCTCGCGAGCCCTTTAAGCTTTGATTTGACACGTCTTGAGCGAATCTTCATCTTCTTTAGTTGTGTAGGATTGGGGTAAGATTCTATGTGATGGCCAGAATCGGCCGGAGAGGGTGTCAGACCTGCAATTCACCGGGGGCATGAGCCCATGATTCCACCGGGAACATTTTAGACACATTGTGACAACAGTCTAAATAATCACGCAATGTTTTCGGTGTATACATTTTGAAATCATTTTTAATGTTTTAAGCATCAGCATTATGGGACAATTTTGATAACATTCATAATGATACCCGAATCAGGCCCCAATGTTGCTGCTGATAGCATTCAAGCAATATTGCAGAAATATCTTGAACATTTCTCGAGGGAACATTTTAAATGATATTCCTGAGGGGCCATGATGTTGTCAAGATGCTCCCACTGGGTTCATTGTGATCGTATAAATTGTATTACCATATATAGTAATGTGCTAACCAGATTAGGACATCCCCGATGCGTTCAAGATGATCCCAGCCGGCACATGATGGAAAACATCTGGCACTCATTGTAACCTCACCTTAATCACATTTGTAATGTACACTTAAGGTCCATTCAAAATGATGCCAACATGTTCTGTGAATGCTGGCTGGAGCAAAATTGTTGTCGCATTGTAGTGTCTTTCTGAATAATATCACAATTATTCCACAATGATCGCACTCAAAACAATTCAAATAATTTCATAATGTTTACATTGGTAACATTATAATCACATTGTGACTTTTATCACAATGTGTCTAAAATGTTCCCGGTGGAATCATGGGCTCATGCCCCCGGTGGCAAGTCTGTCGACGCATGCGAAGCAAAGTCAATAGGCGCTGGGGACCGCCGCATCGGGCTGGCCCTTTCAGGATAGGTTTCTCATTAAAACCTATTAAAACGGCTATCCACGTCTTGCACTCCTCTCACACGGCGTGAATGCGAGCTTCGACCCGTGGATCCTTGCCTATCCCCCATCGCTCCTGTTCCGCTCTGCTCCATCATTCTTCATCTGAACCGTCATAGATCATTGGCCGAGACACCAACACATGTGTCGCTTCCGCTCGAATCTCCCCTTATGTATCCAAGAAGGAGGAATCAGCGTCACTTCTTTCTCATATTGTGCAGAGGTATCCCACTTTTCGCATCCTGCGTCCAGCTCCCCAACTTTGTACGGTGCCGCGCATGTGTCAAGTACAGTTTGATCAGGGTACGACTGTCAGAACCTCCGGCCTGAACCTGGCCTGAACCCATGCCCAGCGGGCTCTCCGCCACAGCGCTCTCACACCCATTTTTCGCAGGTCGTACTGGCAATCGATCGTGTTCCCTCGCGAAAGGTAGTGCCAGTACCAGCGTCCTGGGTACTACCGCCCTTTGAGATTAATGTCTCGGTTCAGTGTCCTCGCGCGGCAATTATTGAATCTGTTTGATTATGTGTAGCATGCTAGCCATACTGATGGTATGCACTTCCCCCGATCAAGCTTTCAAGTATCAAGCACAGGGATCACGGGCTCTTGCCGACCAGTGGTCTAGTTAATGTCAATTGACATTATGTCATGCGACAGACCTTGTTAGCAGCATCTTGCATGCGCAGCCAAGGCAGAGCCGGAGACGGGACTTTGGACAGTATGTATAATATACCCGTCAACTGCATTCACAGCTCGATACAGGTAAGTGCAACAGACAACCTTGCAAGGAATGGAACGAAGATGATAGCTATGCAGGCCTTTCTAGTGCTTATGCAGCGCATGAGCGTGACTTGCTCAGTTTGCTCCGATTGTGGGTTGACAACGTCACAGCCTCGTATCTAACATTCATCGACGATCCTATTGGTAGATACATCGACTATGGGACTATTCGGTGGGTGATATTCCGTTGTGTTCACCGCCGGTGCCGATGTCACAGAAACCCTCCAATTATGAGTTATAACAGTCGTGAGATTGTAACTCTTAGAAGGTGGCAATATGATTGGCCGTGCCTTGCGTTGGTAGCCAGGGCCGATGCGAAGACGGATGATGACCAACATATACGAAATCCCCGCCATTTGCATCCACATCTCGATAGCGAAACTGGCCACGTATGTGCGTGCGAGGAAAGATACAAGGAAAAATATTATGAAGGTCCTAGTCATATCTCGGTCAGTACCTTCGTCTATGCATGGGGATGTATATGCATACATGTTCATGACCGCACTCTGTAGGATAATCGAAACCTCGCCTTGCTAAACCTTTACAGTCAGGATTGCATCACGTAATTGATCGGCGTGCCAACGCACCAAAAGTCTGCCGTCCGTGAACAAGGACGTCCTCCTCTTGATGCTCCATCCCTTCCATACTATAAATGCTATTGCCCATAATAAGTGAGAAGTTAAGTATATCTTGATTGGCGAGGCTCTCACATGCACAATAGATATTGGTCCTTTGTATGGTGTCAGATTTGCTATCATTGAACCAACAAATCGACATACGCAAACGTTAGCGCTGCAGCACTGACGATCCAGCGGCCTGCCGATTCATTGACAATTCTGTCTCCTTCGGTATGCCTTGAAAGTTGATAGGCAGCGTTTGCCCCAGCCGCTGTGGGACAGTTGGTCTTTTCATAGCCAGTGTCCGAGTCAACCATGCGCCTACCAATTAGACTGCAACACAAGATTATGGGGAAGATAATGATCGGTTTGTTGTGGTTCCACGAACGCGACAAACGTCTGATCTGTGATATGACAATATATGTAAGTTCCATCGTCCAACATCAAAATCTTCGCAGTATCACGTACGATGATCGTATCCTGTGACAAAGCAGTCATGAAGTATAGGACAGATTTTGCAACGTAAGTTGGATTGGCCAAGTCAGAAAAGAAGAGCCCCAGTTGAAGCTCTCCGGTGTCATCCATCAGCCCGTCGAAAAGGCGAACAATTGTGAGCACCCAGTTCTATAGCACATGTATTGAGTTCTGAACCCCATCGAATGAGACATGTCTATCTCACAGCGCTGATCAACATAAGCAACACCACACCAACTATGAATATCGGCGAGACGTAGAATGGGTCACGACGCAAGCCATTGATAGTGGGCGCCAAACGCGTTGCGGAAAGGTAGACGAATGATCCGAATAGCAGCAAGAAGATGCCATAAAGCAAGCTTGTGATGCAGACGGTCGCGAGCTCGATGGGCAATGTCGGTTCTGTGGCAGGCCTCATACCTGTTGGCTCGCTCAACAAGCACATGCGTATTTATGACCTTTCGTGCATCTCTGACGTCCATCACGTTTCTGTCATAACACTGGAGCTTGGCTGTGCTTGTTCCAGCGCCCCGCGGGCTCGGGGGTACCGGTGCGAGTAGTGCCACCGCCCGGGAACTGGAGGCAGATACAGGCACATGAAAACGGCACTGGTGTGGCCGCTTACCTCCATCAAGGCGCTCTGGACAGCACTGGGTCTGTCCTGCCGAGCGCTAGTGTCCAGTTCATCACGGTCCATTTTGATCATTTTGGTAGTCATCCCACCCCACGACGGCGTTGAAACCGACGCGGGCATGAGTCTCAGGCGATAGTCTCGATATTTTGCACCTTTAGGAAGCGTTCTCGTCGCTGCCCCTCCGGGTTACTGCCCCGTCCTCTTAGGCGCTTAGCACCGATTCTTTGGTACATCGGCCTCTTCTACTGCAAGCTCTAGTACCTTGATTATCACCAGTCCACTCCGCTGGATGCGCGTGTCGCATCATGCCTCAGCGCCTCACCATTAAATGCTGCTCAGGATTTCGACAGCCAATCTCCAGAGGTACGTCTTCATCGAAAGCAGTCTCGTATCTATCTCTGAAAAGATGCTCCAGATACGTTTTTCCTTTGGTTGTGCATATGAGCACGAACACGGGATGATAATCCCGTATATCAAACTTCCGAATCACAGTGGGAACATCTTGTAATCTATTAAGAAGCAAGTGATGGCTGTGGCTCCATATATCACAGAGTCGGGCTTCTATGATTGACTCAGTCAGCACACTGAGACATATGGGTTTGCATACACACAAGGCCATCTCACAGCAGCCAGGTACGGCCGCGCATAAATACCAACTCGCTGACGGCCATCATTTCTATCAGCTTGTCAAACTCCCATCATGGTCGACTCGTTGCCTTGCACCTCCTTGTTTATTGATGGGCAATATCGCCCCGCGAGTACTGGGGAGACTTTCTCCGTATTGAAACCTGGCACACGCACCGTCATCGGCTACGCAGCGGCTGCTACCTCGAAAGACTGTGAAGATGCCATTGCTTCTGCCGCTCGTGCATTCGACTCCTGGGAGCACTCCGCATTGTCTCTGAGGCGCAATATCTTGATACGCGCGGCAGAGTTGCTCAAGACACAGGAGTATCGGGAGCGAGCGGCTAAGGCGATGAAGGAGGAAACATCGGCAACTCCTCTGATAACCCAGTTCGACTTGTTTGCGACAAGTGAGTCGCTGATGAAGGTGGCGGGTATGATCACCATGCTCAAAGGGGAGACGTTCGCATCGAGGATGCCTGGAGGCCAGACGTTCACTCAGAAGAGAGCGATGGGAGTCATGTACGTACCTATGTTGGTTCTCAGAAGTTCGTCGGTTGACCAGGTCCCGTTTGACAGCTATGCGATAGCGCCATGGAATGTACCGCTGATCCTGACGGTCAGAGCTGTAGCGATCCCCATAGTTTGCGGTAACACTGTGTTGCTTAAGCTGTCAGATGTCAGCCCACGCGTGCAAAGTGTTATAACAGACGTTTTGCACGAGGTTCGTTGATGACAGCGTCATCCCTTTCGGAAAGTCGTGCTGATTTGTGTCATGATCCTAGGCGGGCCTACCTGCAGGAGTGCTAAATGTTATCAGCACGCGGAAAGAAGATGCTGCGGCTCTGACGGCGGAGATCATAGCCCATCCTGCAGTACGCACGATCAACGTGCGTACAGTAGCTGAGAACTGTATCGCGTTCACTTATCCTGCATACACAGTTCACGGGAAGCGATACTGTCGCAAAGTCGATCGCTGCTGAAGCGGCAAAGCATCTCAAGCCTTGCGTGTTCGAGCTGGGAGGCAAGGCGCCTGTTATTGTAAGTGATGATTTGTTCATCGTCTTTAGAATCTCTCGCTCATGTCTGCTGTGCTTAGGTGCTCGATGATGCCGACATCGCACATGCTACACGTGCGATCACTGCTGCAGCTTTCATACACTCGGGACAATTCTGTATGGCCACGGAGCGAGTCATCGTCCAGCGATCCGTTGCTCCGGTTTTGATCGCCTCCCTTACAAACCTGTTTGGCCGTATACATGCAGGGAACGACGCTGCATTCGGTACTGCTGTCCTAGGGGCAGATGGAAACAATCGCGGTTCGATCAGGCTTGGTCCGCTGTTTTCGGAGGGCAGTGCTGAGAATGTGGTGCGAATGATCGAAGAAGCCCGAGGAGCCGGTGCAGAGGTGCTGGTGGGAGATGCGAAACGGGATGGGACGATCGTGCAGCCACACCTAGTGCTGATACCGAGCACACTTAAGGACAAAGGCACTGGCTTGAGAATCTGGCAGAGAGAGAGCTTTGGTCCGGGTAAGCTAGACCTGATCACACCTTTGCATTAGCGAATGCTACTTGACAAATCATGCACAGTGATCGTCGTGGTAGAGACAGATTCTGTTGACGAGGCTGTCGAGTTGGCAAACGCCTCGGAGTACTCCCTCATGGCTGGGCTGTGGACGCGCGATGTTAACAGAGCGTTTGATGTTGCTGCACGGATCCGGGCTGGTGAGTAACGATGATGCAGTGCACAACGAAATTGAGGGCACTAACCGAAATCATCGACCTAGGCAGCGTCAACATCAATGGCGAGACGGCATTTATGGAAGGAGATCTCGGAGGCCTTGGGTAAGCGCTCCCGCACTTTTCCTCTGACGCTGGGTCTGCATCTGACCTGCATACCTGATCCTCAGGGGTGCATCGGGTTATGGACGATTCAACGTCGATAATTTCACGGATACTCGCGTGCTTACGTTCCATCCGTCAACTGAACCACCTTATCCGTTACTCAAGGGTCTTGAAGATGCCCGCGAGTAGTTTGATGCGTGCAGTTCGTGGAATTGTATGTGACGAGGGGTATAAGCATTAGCTGTGTGGATTGTTTCGGTAATCAAAACGTTTTCTTTTGCGAACCATCGTGGAGATGAAGTCGACTTCCGTGTCGTCATTCGCCACACTCACTGTGATAAAACCGTTCATCGCCGAGGAATGGGATTACATTTAGGATGCAACAGTTGTAACTGACATACGAGTCAATCTATGCCTACGTCCATTTCCATAAAAGCAGAGAACGCTCCTTCGATCTCACTGCGAGCAATATCTCTAGTTACTGGTGTGCTTACGACTACGTTGATATAGTAGTTGCTGCCGAGTTCTGAACGCTTCGCAGTTCAAAGAGGGTTTCAATCAGCTGATCCCATTTCCTAGTCGCGGCACCTTCTTCAATGAATTTGTGACATGGCACGGATTGTTGGTCCATCCAGAAGATGTCGAGGTCCGGAAACTGTCGATGGAGGAAGCTAGCGAAGCGATCCATGTTGCTCACAAATGCAACAGATCTTATGAACAGCTTTCGCAGAGGATGAGGCGTCATTGGTCCGGCAGCCCAATCAGTGTCTATGAGCGCAGGGAGTTCGAGGTGAACGAGTCTTGGACACCGCGCTAAAACATCCGCAAAAGTCGCGACAGAGGTGCAGCGTTCCTTTCGTGGAGAATCATAACCGATCCGAAGTCGTACCAGGTCGGGCCACGCGCTTGCCATCTCCTTGATATCATCGTCGAATAAAAGGTGCTCATTCCAGCTGAGTTCTATCTCCACAACCTCGAGACCACCGAGTGCCAAGAGAGGCCAGATCGCGGTCATCAATGGAGTGTTCGAGAGATCTATGTGCCACATCCGCAGGTGGAACTCGCGAAGGGTTCGGTCAAGCCCTTGCATGGCGCGTAAGCGGCTGAACATCCTCTGTAAAGTGCCCATCGCGGCTGCGTCCGCATTCGCGTCCCAGCTGATGTCCACGAAGATCTTGATAGATTGCAGGACGGGGGCCTCAAAGCTGTTCAAGAGATTGTACAACAATGGCAGCTTTCCAACTATCGTCAACGTTTTCAAATTACTGAATGTATGCAGTAACGCGTTCTCTGGTGTACCATCTATGCATCGGAGCGTGAGGTTAGTCAGCTCCTCTATGGAAGCGAGAACATCCAACAGTCCTCTGTATATTCCTCCGAGGGGGAGTACGATATCCACGGTGTGTAGGTGCTGCCATCCGGTGATCGGTCGAATCGTCCGAGAGGGGAAGTGACCTTCCAGCTGAAGGTCCTGTGCTGAGCTGAAATTGCCCATGCGGTTCAAGATAGGGCTGAGATCGATGTACTCGTTTTTCATAGTATGAACGGGGCCGCTGAAAAGACCAACTTCCAGGCTACGCAGTCCTTCTGGAGCCAGGAGGAGAACGTAGTGATCGCCGTACGTGGTGAGATCCCATGACAGATGCCGGAGGTTCGGCAAGATAGGATTTTGTCCGTTCAACACCCAGAGGGTGGCAATGATGTCACGATGTGATTTGCGGTTCTCTGAACGGTTGATCGTATGTACCAGCGAAGCATATTGCTGGAAACGTCCCAATTGATGCTTGTTGATCACACACCCATTGACCTGTGATCAGTGTTAGCATTGGTCCAAATGAAAGCGCAAGATGGAAGCTGACATTTTCCTCATGATATGTGAGGATAACGCAAAAGAGAGCATCGAGACTATCGAGATTCCTCCAAAGGACGTGGGAAGCAAGGTTTTGGAACTGCTTGCTGACTCGCGCCAGGTTTGCTAGAGTTCGACGGTCCGCTCGGTTAGCACGAGTAATCCCTGCGTTATGTGACCATCTGCCCGGAGAAAGGTTTTCAAAGATCGTGAGGATAATCTCGTTGACATGCAGCATCCGATGTGTGTTCATCTTGAGACTGAATGGTAATTGTGAGCTGCGTAGACCACAGGAGTGCGTCGCTATAAACGCACCTGGTGGGAGTGGGCTGGATTCTTGCCAAAGGGGCAAGATCCGGCTACATTTATGTTGCGCCGCCCGTTGCCACTCGACCCGCAAAAGAAAACGTGGTCACTCCCTGCCTACCACGCACCAATTGCGAGCCGCGGGTATTAGTTTCATTCTGCGGCTGATGCCACGTTTTTTCAATGGCAGTGGCCAAGCGCCAACGGTGCACAGAAATGAGGGCAGTTACCACTGAGGGCCGCGCCCCCCAGTACTTCGTAGTTTCGCAGTGTTGGCCTTTCATCCTGCATCTATTACTTGATCCTAGCTCTGCGCCCGAATATTCTCATAGAGGGGGACAGGCTCGGCCGCCATGGCGGTAAACAGCATTTGTTGGATTGATCTAGATCGGCAGTGGGAAAACGTGGCCAATGCGAGGCGAGAACGACTCATAATTTATGAGGCCCGGAGCTTCTCGATAGTCGTCCTCAGTGTCCAATGAATAAACGCCATGGTCTCGGATTTGCGGTTGAAACTTGCCATATGCCTTTCAGCTGCTGACGTGCTCGGTGTCCCCCACTATGTCGTCCGCTTCTTTACGTCGGTCTCGTGGATGGTTCACAACTCCTAACCGAGCCTGCGGCGCACATCCACAACTGGCTGACCGAGGATTCAACACTTGCCTTATGAAGGGATGGACGAGCCTCGGAAAGTACAGGATCTAGTAGGAGACCATCCTATACACGGATATTATGAATTGCGCACAACACAAGTAGAAGGGATGAGAGAACAAATGGGTATTTCTGCTGGCGGGTCTTCAGTAAGTATACTGAGAATCACGTAAATGCGACGCATTCACTTCTGGCCATTGCAGGCGTTCGATGCGGGGGCCTCTGTTCCATATGTGGCCAACATGGTTTGAAAAGGCTATTCCTTCAGATGACACACCTTCTATATGGCTTCCATGCAAGCGCAGCCGTATGACTCCTTGAAGTTGCAAATGAACGCAAGCGCTGCAGTGTCGCGTCGCGTGTAAGTCACTGAATCTTCTCCACGCAAGTATAATGCACCAAGCAGGCATATCGGTGTCACTAACCGTAGATTGCAGAGGATAATCCGGAGGGCCACGTCGAACGTCGGCGACGATCTTCAGGCTCGTCATGATAAGAAGGGAGTCCGATATAGCGGCAGGGTTCTAGAGAAAGGGACAAAAATAATATGCATCCTAACGTGAAGACATACTACGAAGACATGCGAGACTGTTGGTATAATGGACAAGAGCAGGAGGGCAAGTTTACCGTGACCATTTCCGACCCAGGCCACAGGCCATGATGATCTTTGACTTAGACGCGCGCAACACTGAAGCACGTGAAGCGAAGTTACAGTCTCAGGAGGAGCCGGCTGTCCGAGCAGTTCCCTCGATAACCCATTCTTTCCGACAGCGTGCTCTTTACGTTCTATAGAGCGGTTGATTCGCAAAATGTCAACAACTCTGGCGTCATTCAATCGCTGCTCGAGCCGTTGTACGGAAGCTATTGCGAGACTAACCTGGAAGGCTGTGTAACTCAAAATGCCCCACGATGAGAAGATTCCGCGTTAGAAAGTGCTATAATCAGGGGGGGTTTGACCTGCAAATCAGACTTTCCGGTATTGTGTCTGCTTCATTCTGCCGGCCCTTTCCCTACAGGATTATAACCCGCGTTCAGGTCGACCGTTCACATGCATGAGTAACGCTACAGCCACCAGCTCTTACATATGCATCTCCTCGTGGGATTTAGCTTGGCGACGTGGATAGCTTGGCTCGCCATCGACGGATGGCAGCGGATGGCCCGCCGTGATTGCCGGGCCGTGGGTTGAGATCTTGAGAGCTCGCAGCTAATGGTGTTATCTACGATCGCTGCATCTCGCCGTCTCCTCAGCAGAGTCACCGCAGACGATGACTACCCTCGACGTCGCCAAAGCGCGCAAAGCGTTCCCCGCCCTCTCATCTACTTTCATTTACGCCGACAACGCTGGCGGCTCGCAATGCCTCGCGGACGCCGCTGCCCGCATCTCGGACTACCTTCTGCACACGAACGTCCAACTTGGCGCGGATTACGCAGTCTCGGTTGCAAGCACCGGGCGTGTTGCGGCTGGCGCGGAGGCCGCACGGGAGCTGTTCAACGCGGAGAGTGTGGACGAAGTGGCGTTTGGGAGCAGTGCGACGATGCTTGTGGAGAACTTGGCGCGCGCGATGGAGATAGATGTGCATGCGGGAGATGAGCTGATCATCACTGGGGAACATGAAGGTGCGTGCCCACGTTCTAGCGTTATTGATGGGGCTGGATCAGACTGATTTGATCGTCGATCTTTTCTAGCGAATGGAGGTCCATGGAAGAGACTTGCAGCCCGCAGAGGAGCGACGATCAAGACCTGGAACGCCTCGCACATCTCTGCATATCCCAATAACCCTTACGCGGTGTCGTTGCAACTGGACGATCTGCTCCCGCTCATCAGCACCAAGACACGGCTGGTCGCGTTCACCGGATGCTCGAACATCCTTGGATCCATCGTCCCGGTGAAGGAAGTAGTACAAGCGGTGAGAAGACGGGCAAAGGAGTTGGGAGCGGGAAAGGTTGAGGTCTGTGTGGATTGCGTCGCGTACGCTCCCCATAGACGGATGGACGTTCGCGATTGGGATGTCGATTACTGCGTATTCTCCATGTACAAGGCAAGTTATTCGATATGGTTGCGAAGACCTACTGAGGTCCAACTCATGCAGGTATACGGCCCGCATGCCTCGGTGCTCTATACTCGCACCACCTCACTGAGACAATCACTCTCGTCACTCGCACATCACTTCCTTGCACCTCAAGTTGTATTAAAGCCATATAAGTTGCAGCCCGGGGGCCCAGGATACGAGGTTGTATACGGATGCACCGCCGTCCCGGTTTATCTACGTTCGCTCACGCCTTCTTCATCCCTCGAAGACGCTTTTGATGCGATTGCAAAGCACGAGCAGACACTCATCGCTCCTCTGCTCGCGTACTTGCGCAGCAAGGAAAGTAGAGGGGTGAGAATCGTGGGCGATGAAGGAGAGAGTCTGAACAGGGTGCCGACCATAAGCTTCGTAGTGATCGGGAAGCGGGCGATGAGAAGCAGTGATGTCGTGCGCGGGTTTGACGAAAGGGAAGAAGTAAGTGGCCAATACTACGAGCAGGGGGCAGTAGTCACTGTCCCCTGCACGCGTTTCCCACCGCTTCGGCTGATTGTCGCGCGTTCATCCGCTCATATAGATCGGCATCCGTTATGGACACTTTTATGCCTACACCTTGGTGGACACACTAGAGCCGAGACTCGAGACGGAGGATGGAGTAGTGCGGATCTCTCTCGTACATTACAACACGGTCGACGAGGTCGACAGGATCATTGAGACGCTGGAGGAGACACTAGCGTGAATACGTTGGCAGTGGGTGGTCGTTAAATATTTTTAAGTGCGCATTATGGAATGATAATTCCGTCGGAGTGAGAAGGGAAAGCATGACCGAGCCAAAGCAGGTCCCAGGAACATCGAACGTGCTTGGACGCAACGGGTTGAGGGGCGCGCGACAAGCGCGCCCTGACCGACGCGACGTGACCGCATTCACGTGCAAGAATGTCACATCACGCCGGGCGAGTGTTTGACGGTGTCCGCCCGCTTTGACTCCACGCATCGATGGACCTCTTCTCGACTTGATTATATCACGCTTCCAAAATGGCTCGTTCATGGCTTCTATTTGTTGAATATTCTCTCGTTCGGTGGCACTCAGGCAGCTGGTGATTCCATTGACTCTCGAGGAAATCCGAAGCGGTTAGGCGGACCTCAAGGACGGGGTCGAGACTGATAGTCTCGATCGACACCACGCAGCATGGCAATCATTCATGGGGCTCGCTGAGATGTCCGCAAGGCACCGTGTAATGGCGGCTTCAGCTGCCGGGAGAGCTCTGTCGATGGAAAGCTCTGTCGATTTGCGAGTCGGAAAGATAGAGCATGATTGACCGATCGGTGAGCGGAGTAACGTTCGGTCACTGGAATGCAGAGTGTTGAAAATGCGATGTGATTTGGGTTGCGTTGTGCAAGATCTGAATTGCGATACAGGCATCCAGACCGTTACGATTATTTTTGGCCTCGCGTCTTACGATCCCCTGAACGCTGAGCCACGATAGGGGAACACGTCCTGGCTGAACTCTTGAGCGAAATATGATTGGCCTGTGGTACCTGCTAGCATAACTCTGGCAGCGCTCGCGTCCAATTGGACGTATTGCGGGTCGAGATTCTTTTGGCATCAAGCTTCCTTGTTCTCTGTGCGAATGCAGGATTGTTTCCGACGTCGGACCTCAGATTTTCAAGCGCGCTCGTAGGCAGTTGATGGGCTCGTCTTCTCTGGAGAGTTGGAGGGTGTATGCTTGCTGCGGATGGAACACCCTTACAGCCGTCCCAGCCTTGGCATTTGCCGTTTGTACGACAAGGACAGGGGGGAGAGAACAGGAGTTGAAGCTCATTCGATCTCGATCAAATTGTGATCCCGACTAGCAGCATTTCCACTGAATCTCGTGTCACCCGCATTTGTGCGCGTGTTGGTCTCGCTCAGCTTCCTTGGCTAGCCCAGTCAGAATCCGAACGTGAGCCAGCCCGGCCTAATCTCGAACCGCCGCCCAGCCAAGCGTGCCACTCGGTCTGCTTCATGAGGCGGATGCGCCTGCTCCTCGCGTTCCGCGGTGCTTGCATCCTCGCTCCACCCCTACCCTCCTGCCGTCCGCATCCGCCTCTGCATCCTGTTCGTTCTACCAGCTTACTCCTGTGCAGGTCTCAGGATTGTTTGCTCTTGAATCGTCTTTGCTTCGCATTATGCCAGTCAATTCTCGACCACGCAGAGCGTCCTGTGCGACCGAAGCCGCTCAGTTGGCTGTGGAAGCGCGTATGCCCGCTGTGCGGTTCTCTGTGAAGGATGCCCTGCCACAGATGACGGAGCGGCCTCAAGGGGAAAGAGGATCCGTCGCTGGAAAGGAGCAGGAAGAAGGAAGATCTCCACATACGTCGCGCGGGATCCTTCATCGGACGCAGCTAAACCTTGATCCATATGCTGCGCCTTCTCCAACACGTTTTGCCGAGACGTATGCCTCACCCAGTACATCCCGCTCTATTACGCCTCGACAGCGCGATGACAAGCGCCTCTCGGTGCCGAATGTCCCTTCTGTCAATAGCTACCCACGCTTCTCTTCTCTGCCTTCGTCCCGCCTCTCTGACGCTTATTCCGAGCCGCTGAGCCCCTTGCATGCAGACTACCAGCAAGGGGGTCACGTTCCTTCCTCTCCAACGTCGTCCTTCGCTCGCATTCCTCTCTCTTCCCGTAGCCAGCTTGCAAACCCGAAGCTCAGCATGGTCCACTCTATTGACACCGAGTACGACCGCCTCGCGAGAGCATGCGGCCAGCTCCCACCTGGTGTAGCTTCGTCGCGACATCGGGCAGCTTCATGGGCTCCTGCCGCTCCTGGACAGGTGGCGGAGGAAGACCCGCTCAACGAGGGCAGCAACGGCGGTGCCAGGCATAGACGTGCGCGATCGATGCGCGTCGCCGGCCACACCCCGTACGTGTTGGACGACCCGGGCCCTTCGAGTTTGCTGTGGCAGCACGACATGCGCGAGGGCACGCTCCAGCCGCGCGATGCGCCGCCGTTCCAGCAGCCAGAACCCCGCGGGGTGCTCCTATCCCTCTCGCGGTTGTTGCAGCTGGGTCGCCAAGACGTGAACGATTACATCGAGATGGATGAGTTTCTCGAGCGGAAGCATGAGGAGGAGCGGGAGCGGCAGGTGTGGTTGGACAGGCGAGCAAAGGCGGCGGAGATGGGGAAGGAGCGAGCTCGTATGTCGTTTTGCTATTGTTGATCGATCTGATCGGGCTAACGTGGTTACTCGTGAAGCGGGGATATTCGGTGCGTCTCTTCGGGATGCTGTAAGTCGCTCTCCTGCAAATACGATCATGGGTGGGCGCAAGCATGAGATACCCACTGTCGTGCATACTTGTGTGGAAGAGCTATACAGAACAGGTTGGTTATTTCGCCTACTTGTGACGATCGTCAGGCTGACGCATATACACAGGCATCTACCAAACCGACCTGTTTCGCGCCCTCCCTAACCGCGCGAATCTCGTAGAATTGGTCCGCGCATTCGACACGAATGCTAATGTGTCCCGCTCACCGTTGCTACGCCACGCCCCGATGGCTGATATATGCGCTGTGCTGACGTCATACATCAATTCCCTTCCCGAGCCGCTCTTCGATCGCACGATGCACGATGCTCTGTGGACCTGGTGCGTACAAGCGGAGATGAGCGAGGACGAGAAGAAGAAGGACGCTCTGGATGCTCAGGATGCTCAGGACGCGAAGAGCGAGAGCGAGAGCTTTGTGCGCGCGCCTGCCCGAATGTTCCGGAGGCGTTCCCTGTCGGAACCGAAGACGCCCCCCTCGTTGTCCCAGAGCGCGAACACAAAGACACCACAGGAGCAGGAGCGTGAGGACGCGGACAAGGAGCGTCGGTGTATTGCCGTCACTAGACACATCCTGCAGCTCATTCCGCCGGAGAGCCTGTCATTGCTCGCATATCTCTTCGCCTTCTTCACGCAGATTCCTCTGTGCCCAGATAACGGTCTCTCGTACGAAGACATCGCACGGATTTTCGCCCATCGTTTGCTCGGCGGGCCCAGCAAGAATGCTGCGAGGTCGCTTATGATGTGGTTGCTCAATCGCTGGAGTGCTATATCCGAAAATTTGCTCGGCGGCGACGAGAATGATAGCGATGCGCTCCAATCAAATTTAGTACGACGCATGAGCTCAGGACGCTTACGGCGTTTGTCTTTGCCACCCCAGTGGAGCGAGGGCATGCCTACGCATGATGACAGTCTGCAAGTCCCGTCATATGCGACACCTCTTGGACGGCCGTATTCGTCGTCGGTATCGTCCGACACATCGTCGAGTACTGCGGAATCTATGGAGAGTGAAGACGAGCCCAGCGCGCGGGGCACGTTGGCGTACGATATGCAAGACATGCGCGAGAGGAAAGCTGCATATGAAGCACACCTCGGCCTTCCAGACGACGACTACTATGGGAAGTCCTCTGTTCAAGAGCACGGCTTCGTCACGACACCTCTTTCCGGTGAGTCACGCTGAAGTTGTTGGATTACGCCGTATCCTTATAAAGGCCGTATCTTAGATGACTACGACTTTCTCAAGTTTTACGACTATTTCAGGAAGGAGAAGAACGCATTCGAAAGCGATTCAGAGAGCGTTTGTTCTACAGGTAATCGCACATCTTTTGTCATTCACCGTCATCGGTATATCTGACAAGGCGCCGTGTATGCAGATATGGATGAACCGTCTGCTCCGAGTGCAGGGCAAACCCCGCACGTCTCGAACGACTTCCCGTCGGCTGTCGCGTCGTCGAATCACAAGCTCTCCTCCGCGTTGCAACGCATATCGGAGCTCGAATCAGAGCTGCAACGCACGCGGGATTCCCGAACGTCTCTGGAGGACGTGCTTTTGCCCGATTCCACGACTACGGGCATGCCTCAGAAGCTTCGAAACGAACTGTCCGACGAGTCGCCGGAAGAAATCGAATACATGCGACGCGAGACAGCGCAGAAGCAGCTGGAAGTTGCGCTGAACGAGCGAGACGACGCGAAGAAACTTCTCCAGGGTTTCAAGCAGTTGATTGATGAGGCTTTGCTGCAGTGATGTTCTCGAGGTAAATGTGTACAGTATATTTCATTCATCCCGCATAAGTACCACTAGGATAGAGAAAGAACGTATATTATCCAGCAACCCACTGCGCTTCTGCTGTATCGATTGATGTACCATACATGATTGTTACTATACACGGCATTCACGGGATCTCTTTCGTCTGTTCATACTTCAACGAGGCTGGCGATGTCACGGTCATAGGAGGTGGTGCAGTGGGCATGATACAATCGCACGTGCTATAGCACATCGACAGGTTACGTGAGCCGTTCTTCAAATTCTTAGACTGTGCGAATGGCCTGTTGAGCCGCTACGCGAACTATGAACATGACGTGAATACACTGAGCATGGCAAATGTATTCGAGGACGCACCATGATAGTCTGGGGTAAGTTGTTCACTGCATTCTGAAGGTTGTCGTACATTTCATTTGGATTGTATAGCCTTCTACAGCAAAAAGGGCATGTCGCTTCGATTACCGAGGACACCTCTGATGCGTTGAGTTGCGCGGGACTGATTGTGCGACCGAACGGAGCTTCATCTGCACGCAACAACCATAATTCCTTCAAATACCTCCACTGAGCATGCTCAAGTTTTGCTCGGCAACCTTTGCAGTTTTCTCCTGTATTGGCAGGAAATCGGGTAACATCGTTCAGTGCTTTCCTCAGAGCGTCTTTCCTCTGTCTATGCAGTAGAAAAAGTCGCACTGAGAGATACCCTTCCATGCAGGAGAGTTCTGCTACCGCCGTTGGGGTAGATAGATCGAAGGAAAGCGCGTACGACGATGCCAATTGCGCCTGTGCTTTCCAAGACCGTGCACCTGCAAGCCGATAAATGCGCAATGAGGTCGATTCCGTTAGATAGATGGTGATCATGTTTCGTATAATAGAGACGGGTCCCGGCATGTCGTACTTCTCTGCAGCTAAGAGAATGGATTCCACGAGATCCAGCGAGCTTAAATCGGAAAGCTCCATTGCACAGATCATCTGTAGAAGGGGCACGAGCACTGTTGAGTCTTCGTCCAGGTGAAGGACATCGTCGGAGACGGTGCCAGGACCTTGGGGCAAGCTAGACATTGCAGCGAACCATCCTGATGCGCGCTTCAATGTGTACAGGTGAACGCGGAACAAGATGGCATCGTGCGATGACAGCGTAATGGTGCCTGCATCCTCAGCAGTGAACAATGGATGCCAGTTGCTCTGATCAAGTACATAAATGAACGACAGCCTACCACGATACAAAATGCGGGAGGATCATACTCACACTGTGAACGGTGCTCATATTATTCTGAATAGACATGCTTGCAAGATCGAAAGTCTTGGAAAATCCAGTGCAGACTGAAAAGTTTGACGATGGCTGCGCGATGACAATGATCGATATGCGATCTGAGGCGTATGACACTTCGGTTGACGGGGTGACCTATACACGTGGCAACGTTCTGGAGAGATGAGTGGTTACTTGTATATCTCAGACGCGACTATACGGCACTGATGGCAGGATGTGTGGCCTAATATGCTCGACGGTAAATGTCGCGCGCCAATTCGCAAGTTCGATCTGCCGCTGCCAGGAGACTCCTTCCCACGCCACATCCAATCAGCGTTGACTGCGACACGCTGAGGCTGCTCCGTCCATAATCATGTAGCCACGAGATTTCTGGCTTTCCAGCACACTACTGCAACATCTATTTGACATATGATTTACCTATACATGCAGACTCTTCAGAAGAGCTCAGCAGATCTGCCTCGTCGTTCAATTGTTATATATATATATATATTGAAGTTACGTTGCAACAGTTTGTGCACAGTGGAAAAATGAAGCCTTGGGACTACAAAACGCATGTGCTTAGAGTGCATCGCAGAACACTGGCAAACTGCGTCCACTTGAGGCGCAACCCTGAACGTCGATCTAACTTTCGAAATTAACGGCTACCACCAAATCTAGCCTTGGACTTAGATGAATGCTTTCTCATCGGTATTGTACTCAAGATAACCGACAACATCGCCTCAAGCGTCTAGGAATAAGCAAACTGATCCGCTAATACCTGGATTGGCAGCCGTGCCTGATCGTCGACAAGTGTGAACACTACGAAAACAAAAAATTCTGGATCAAATTAGAGCATATTGTCTCCCGCCTATGATCTGCTTCAAACAGCCCCCGCGATCGCGTATACAGGTGACTTCTGTGGATGCAGCAGGAGCACGCGGTCGTCGGTGAAATTAGATATCGTGAATCGGCCATAACCCGAGAGGCCGCTGTTTCGAATTGAGTTTCATGCCCAACGTTATTCCTGAAAACGCATGCTTACCCAATGCCTCCCATGGCTCCTTCGCCGTGCACCGACTGTCCGTTAATGTTGATGTATCCTGTAGTTCAAGACCCGTCATGGTTCTGAGCGCTCCAGTTGAAAACATATGTGCCTTACCTGCCCGGATGCGCGGAGCTACCTCGAGCGCGGTGTGGAGGTTCTGTGTCCATAATGCTGCCATGAGGGAATAATCGGACGTATTCGCCAACTGCACTGCCTCGTCGATGGTATCCACTGCGGTCAGAGTGACGACTGGAGCGACGACGCTCAGCGAAGGGAGTCCGTCTTTTATTCATCGGGCGCAGCCTCACCTGGTCCGAAGCACTCCTCGTCCCAGAGTGCCATTCCTGGTTTGACGTCGGAAAGCAGATGTGGCTGGACCACTGAGATTTGCCTGGTTATGTCTCCGACCAGGATACGCGCGCCAGTATCCCTTGCCTCGCGGATCATCTTGAGCACGCGCTCTGCTGATTCCTCTGATACTAATGACGATAATGCCTTGCCAGTGCCTCCGGCTTTGAGTGAACCGAAGCTTTCGACCAGAGAGGAGGTGAGAGAGCTTAAGGCACCGCGCTGGACGATGACACGTTGAGTCGACATGCAGATTTGGCTGGTGTTCATCAGGCCGCCGGTGGTGATTGCTTGTGCTGCGGCTTCGAGGTCTGCGTCCTCTAGGACCTGCGAAAGATGCTGAGGATAGTTTTTGTTGGAAGTGGCGGACCGACGGCACTTTCGGTAGAACGCGCTCAACGCGTCGGGAGGGACGAGTGCCAAGCGACGGCTGAAACGCGTCGCAGGCGGTACCTGGAAACGGAGCGGGCGAGTACGGAAGGGTGGAAAAGACATATAAGTACGCACCTGTAGTACCATAGGCCCCAGTCGTTTGTGGCCTCACCAGCCTCTCACTCCCATTGCGCCCATGAGACGGGAAGGTGCCGGCTGGTTAACACCCTTGCCGCACCAGGATTTCCTAGAGTTTTTTGTAGATCAGACGAGACGTTGCATATGATGACGGGGCAATTGCCGCTGAGCTCCAGCACACAGGGCTTCAGGTGCTTTGCAGCCTCCATTGCGATGGCTCTGCCCACGTTCGGACCGCCTGTGAACTATTCAATCACAGATGTGAGCGGAAGCTTGTACCTGAAAGAGAATCTCTTACGTTGATCTTTCGTACAGCTGGATGAGCGATCATCTCCGCCATGCACTTGCTGATGTCCTCCTCTGCTATGGAGATGGTGTTCAAAACTCCCTTTGGCAATCCCACCTGTCGATCCTCCATTTAGATATCGACATGAAGAAAGAATGATGCTTATGCATACCTCCTGGAATATCTCGCCAACGAGACTTTGGATTCGAGGACTGACCGCAGAACACTTCAGGACGACCGTGTTACCACAGATGATGGGAATGGAAACGGCGCGGAAAGCCAACGCCAAGGGCACGTTCCATGGCGCGAGCGCAAGGCTGTTAGGCGGTACGATGAGCGAGCGCGAAAGACCATTCGAGGACCGCTTTTCGCGTACATGACTCCCATGGTTCTTTTCTGTATCATCATCTGCGCGCCGGGTATCAAGGAAGGCTGGACCTCTTCCTTGAGCTGATGGACCACCGCGGCGTTGTGGCGCAGGTTGTAGACTGATGCCATCAGCTCGAAGCCTACCATGAAATCGGTAAACGCCAGCTCCTCCTTCAACGCTTTTGAGATTTTCGCTTGATACTTGGGCGTCGTGAGGAGCTCTGAAGCTTTTGATGAATATGTTTTGCCTATTGGTTAGAGGCGAGTGCTCCCAGTCGGAGGAGGCAGCGGCAGCCGCGTCGATGGCATCGTGACAGTCTTCGCTGGAGGCAGCTGCTGCGTGCCCTATGACTGCTTGCGAGAACGGGTTGCGCACGTCGTATCGCGCGTTGGTGCTCGATGGACGCGATGTCCCGTCGATAAAGAGGGGCGTGAAGGCATTCGTCATGATGTCAAGGTGTGATGAGTAATGTCAATGAGAGCGCCGTGAGTGGAAATGTTTTTTGGTCGGTCAGCGAACCGCGGTCAAGTTGTGGATACTTATAGGCAGCATGGATGACTTCGGTCAGCCATGGATCTTGAACCGCAACCACCATCTTCTTCCGCTAGCGCCGGGGGCTCGTCCTCCTCGTCAACGGAACTCGTGCACACAGACTACACCCCCAAACTTACACTAGCTGTCCGACAGGCCTTACGGCAATGGCAGGCTCAGGGACCCTCTGAGCTGCTCACTGACATCGACTCTCTGATCGATGCCGCCTTTGCGATTCATCAGGCAGTGTTTCGAGTCGTCGGCCGTGCCGAGCTGTCGACCCGAAAGAACACTGACCTGGACGATCTCCACAAACAACGTCTTCTAGGAAATCGTGGTGCGGCAAGGGTGTTAGCCAGCCGGCACCTTCCCGTCTCATGGGCGCAATGGGAGTGAGAGGCTGGTGAGGCCACAAACGACTGGGGCCTTGGTACTACAGGTGCGTACTTATATGCTTTTCCGCCCTTCCGTACTCGCCCGCTCCGTTTCCAGGTACTGCCCTGCGATGCGTTTCAGCCGTCGCTTGGCGCTCGTCCCTCCCGACGCGTTGAGCGCGTTCTACCGAAAGTGCCGTCGGTCGGCCACTTCCAACACGCCCCCTCGCGCGAGAATGCGTAGGTATTTCGTATCGCGCCCCCTCGGCGCCCCGTCCCTCTTCTTACTGCGCGTGACGTCCGCGCTCCCGGTTCCTTTGTGTCGCCCTCCCGGTGAGTGCCCTGTCCGTCTTGTATAGCGCCTGGACCGCAGAGCGCTCCGCCACTTGTATAGCGCCTTTACGGTCCAGGCGCTGCCCCATTTGTGTGTGCGCCTGGGCACCAGCGCCGCACATCCTTTTGTATAGCGCCCGTGCCAGGTCGCTCCCGCCTTGCGATTCCGCTGCCAATGCAGCCCGGCTCGCGTCGCCGACCGTATCGAGTGGTTTCGCCCCCTCGAGCTGAGTGGCACCGCCTCGACACTGCGC